GCAGTATTAATCTCCTTCCATGTCACTATCAATTTTCATCATACTTTTAAAATGCTTTGTAGGATTCTAAAATACATTTTGTGGACATTTAGTTTTTCATAGTTTTGCAATTGTAAGTAATGCTACACTGAACATATTTCGAGTATGTGAAAGTTTACAGAGCAGATAATAAAGATGTGTTTAGGTGCACAGTTACTTTGTACGCTACTACCGAAGCGCCTGCCAGAATGCTGGAATCTTTATACACTTCCACCAACAGTGGGGAGAACGCCTTTTCCCAAGACAGTAATTGTTGTCAAATGACATCGGTGAACACATTTGTAAGAGTGAGTACAGTTACTCTATTTCCATTGCCAGATTCATTTTCAGAGAATCCCTGGGGCATCCTGTAAAGACATTCCTGGGGAGACGGGGTCAGGTGGGCTACAACTCCAATTTGGCAAAGGGTCCACTATGAGTACTGATAACAGGTGCCTGTGTCAGGGCAACTGAAAAAAAGGAGAAGGAAAACCAGATGGAGGACCCTCTAAACCTGGAAAATCTGATCTGAAAGGGTGGGAAGAAATCTAGGAATTGTGACTCTTGGCCCTGTGTTCCAAGACAGTATTTTCCACCTAGACAGAATCAACAGCTTGTAACTGAAGCACTTCACATTGAAGTCAACAAGTTCAACACTGAGTGGTGTATCCAGGGCTCTACAATTACCATTTCGTAAATCAAGTCATTCTGGAAATACCAACTTACGTAACATTCAACCCTTCTGGCTACTGAGTCACTGAATTCCAGAAGCCTTTGGGGACAACAACTTATCCAGCACTGGAATAAGAAAAAGATTCTATTCTGTCCTTCCACAGTGTCTGCCCAGAGATGGATAGAACCAGGCTGGAGTGATCCTTGGCCTTATTCATAAAGGCAATACTTAAGTGGTGCTCTGCTTGCAAGGCTTTCAAGGTACTGCTTTTGTCATGATTACATTTTATCCTAAGTACAAACAGGTCTGGCTCCCTTTTCTATATCCTTCTTACTTCCTGCAGCTCGACAAAGAAATGAACTGAGCGAACATTCATTCAGTAGGTGCACGTACAGTTCAGGAGAAAAGGGATAGTATTTTTAACAAGTGGAACTGGAACAACTGGATACTAATCAGAAAATAAAGGAACATTGATCCATATCTCCATATACAAAAATTAATTCAAAATGATAATCAGTGACCTAAATGTAAAAATCTAAAGCTATAAAACCTCTAGGAGAAAACAAGAAAAATCTATGTGACCTTGGGTTATGGAAAAATTTCTTAGATATGATACTACATGCATGATGCATAAGAGAAAATAGTAAATCAGCTTCCATCAAAACTGAGAACTTCTTTAATAAGCACTGAAAAAAGAATAGAAAGCCTCAGGAAAGATTTGCAGATCACTGATCTAATAAAAGACTTTAGAATATATAAACAACTCTTACAACTCAAAAATAAGAAATCCAACAACCCAATTTTAAAAATAGGCACAATATCTGAAGACACTTCAAAGACAACATATGGACGGCAAGTGTGTACATGAGATGTTCCAGATCATTAGTTATTAGGGATGCGCAAGTCAAACCATAATGAGATACCACTACACACGTATTAGAATGTCTAAAAATTACAAAGACTGATGATACCAAGTGTTGGCTGGGACGTGGAGCAAGTGAAGTGGAAGCCTCAGTGTGTAATGGAGGAGTCATGAAAAATGGTACAGCTACACTGGGAAATCCAAACCGGAAACAATCCAGTGTGCATCAACAGATTAACGGATAAACAATGGTGTTATTGATAGGGACAGAGTAAAGGGACAAATTAGGTAATTAAAGAGTGAATCCCACTAGGGTCTGTAAGTAAAGAAAAAAGTATGGGAGACCCCTGTAAGTTAATGATCACTCAAGAAAGCAGGGTTGCTTAGCAACAAAACCATGCAATAGAAGCATGAGACATGCCCCAAAACAATAAAACAATGGTGGCAAGAAACCCACATCCATCCACCATACAGTGAGCTCAGTAAGTTAAATGATGCCTAGCACATGCTCTTCTGCGCACACTAAAAACAAAATATGAGGAAAAGGTGACATTATACCAAAACCTAAGATGATTTGCCATATTTAAGTACATGTTAATATCTTTTTGCTTGGCTTGACCAGGCAGGGACAGGAAGACCCCCCCCCGCGAAACGTGGAGGAGGAGCTGATGATGGAAGCCTGACGTCTACTCGGGAGTGAGGAAAAAGGGGGTCTTTTCTCTCTCCCCACTTTTCCTTTGATTATAAAGCCGTAGCCCACTAAGGTCTCAGAGCCTGGCACCCTCTTGCCCGCCTGCCTGTAAGCCTCACAAGCGTCCTATTCTAGTAGGTCACTTCTTATGTATCACTTTGCCTTCGCTGAATTTTTCACTGAGACATAAAGAACCGGAGCTCCTCGGAGCCCCCCGAAACACCACCTAGCAGTCTCAGTATGTCCATACAATGTAACATTGTTCAGCAATTCAAAGGAATGAACTATGGATACATGCTACAACATGAATCTCAAAATAATATGCTGAGTAAAGAAAGCCAAAGACATACGCTGTACAGCTGCATTTATATAAATTTCTAGAAAATGCAAGCTAATCAATAGTGACAGCAAATCAGTGGTTACCTGGAGATGAGGTGAAGTAGGGCAGAGGTGAGACGGAAGGATTCCCAAGAGGCCTCAGGAAGCTTTGGGGGATGATGGGTACGTTTATTATCTTGACTGTGGTAAGGGTATCACGGGTGTATACCTATGTAAAAACTTAGCAAATTGTATAGAGTTCACAATAATCACTCAAATAAGGTTGTTAAAAATATACCTGGGAGCACATTCAACAACATAGGTGGTCTGCTAGGTACTGGGGATACCATGTTGGGCAAAAAAGAAAAGGCAAGGTCTCTGTCTTTGTAGACACTAAAGACATTAAACAAAGAATCCTCCCTCCCATTTCCTTCCTCAGCTTCCCCTCCTTGCCACACACTCCCTCTCTGGTGACTACTGTGTCACAGGAGGAGGAGGTTAACATCAAAGAGGATTTATTCGATCACTGCTTCAGGCAAGGGCTGCTAGAGTTAGTGATCCTAGAGTTTGAAGCCAGACTTGGGCGCTATTTAGAAGAGGACAGAATTCTCTTGTCTCTGTACAGATTGTTACATGCATTTTGTGCTCTTAAAAAAGCCTATTAGCTCTCCTCAGGAAGAGCCAGCACTGGGTTAAAAAAAATGGCTCAAAAATAAACCCACACACCTACAGCCAATTAATCTTCAACAAAAGAGGCATGAATATACAATGGAGAAAAGACGGTCTCTTCGGCACCTAGTGTTGGGAAAGCTGGACAGTGAAATTAGAACACTCCCTCACACAATATATAGAAATAAACAAACTCAAAATGGTTTAAAGACCTAAATATAAGACATTACACCATAAAACTCCTAGAAGAGAACATAGGCAAAACACTCCCAGACATAAATAGTAGCAATATTTTCTCAGATCCGTTCCCAAGGCAAAAAAAGTAAAACCAAAAATAAACAAATGGGACCTAATCAAACATAAAAGCTTTTGCACAGCAAAGGAAATCGTAAAACGAAAAGACAACCTATGGACTGGGAGAAAATATTTGCAAATGATGTGACCAACAAGCGCTTAATTTCCAAAATACACAAACAGCTCATACAACTCAATATCCAAAAAATAAAAGGGGTAGAAGAACCTAAATACACGTTTCTCCGAAGACATATAGATGGCCAACAGGGGCACATGAAAAGATGCAAACATCGCTAATTATCAGAGAAATGCAAATCAAAGCTACAATGAGGTAACACCTCACACTGGTCAGAATGACCATTATCAAAAAGCCTACAAATAATAAATTCTGGAGAGGGTGTGGAGATAAAGGGAACCCTCCTGGACTGTTGGCAGGAATGTAAATTGGTGCAGCCACTATGGGGAACAGTACGGAGGTTCCTTAAAAAACTAAAAATAGAGCTACCATATGACCCAGCAGTCCCACTCCTGGGCTTAAATCCAGAAAAGAGGAAAACTCTCATTTGAAAGCTACATGCAACCCAATGTTCATAGCAGCACTATTTACAATAGCCAAGACATGGAAACAACCCGAATGCTCATTAATAGATGACTGGTTTAAGAAGATGTACACACACACGCTATGGAATGTTACTCAGCCATAAAAATGAAATATTGCCATCTGCTGCAACATGGATGGACTAGAGAATATCATAATAAGTGAAGTAAGTCAGAGAAAGACAAATATTTTATCACTTATATGTAGAATCTAAAAAAATAATACAAATGAATCTATATACAAAACAGAAACAGACTCACAGACATAGAAAACAAACTGTGGTTACCAAAGGGGAAGATGGGGGGAGGGATAAATGAGTATGGGATTAAGAAACTACTATATATAAAATAAATGAGCAACAAGGATTTACTGCATAGCACAGAGAACTATATTCAGTATCTTGTAATAACCTATAATGAAAAATAATCTGAAAAATATATATATATAACTGAATCACTTTGCTGTACACCTGAAACTAACACAATATTGTAAATCAACTACACGTCAATTAAAAAAAAAAGTTCTCAGAACAATGAAGGATGCAGAGTGTACTGAACAGTACCCACACGTATGCTTTCTTTTCTTTATCCTTTCCTTTTAATTGTATTTAAAGTGCTAGGGAAGGGTAATGATAAGGATAGAGAAATAAATTTGACATGACGTTTTATGGTGACAGATGTGGATTTTAAAACATTTCAGTGAAAAACAACAGTCAGGAGGTATTGGCATCTATTGTAATACTAAACACCTTCAGTAATTGTATAGATCACAAAGACTTCAAATTAATCTCCTCTACCCAAACTTCTCGGTATAATTTTCCTTGATGGGTCTGATGCTTTGCTGAATTCATGGTGTTTTTCATACAAACAATATTCTTACTTGGCAGAGATGGCCTTCAAAGGGCTTGACCAATCACTGACGTCTCATTTAAACCTTGCTGTCAATACACACAATGTCACAAGAGTTGGTGCAAGATGTATATAAGTATACTCCCCACTGCACCCACCCCTCCACCAAAAAAAATGAAGAAATTAACTCTGCAAAATAGCAAATAGAAAACAGCCTTGTTTTTGCTGAAAAAACGTAACGTGATGTTTGTGGTCTAATACTATGATGACACTGTACTTGTTCTCTGACCTCCTATTTGATCAGCATATTCCCCACAGACAAGAGAGGCTCACACTCATACTGCTCTTCCTTCTTTGCCCTACTCAGCCACTCCCTGCAATAATAGGAAGATGCCAATGCAAGCAAGGTTCCATTTTCCTTTAAGGTTAGAAACTATCGATAAGGTTGGCCCTATCCTTTGTTCTTCCCACATCTTGGATCCTCAGTGACAATATTTACTGAACACTAGGGATGTTTGGCTTTCTATTTGGAGAGGTAGGTAGAGTGGAATCCACTTGCTCTGAAGAAGAGTTAACATTAAGTTGTTTTTGTCTCCCACAGGGAGGTTAATTTAGCCACCAGGCAGTAAACAGTGGTGGTGATTTAACAATTACCTCTTTTCTAGAACAACAATTTCAAAGAATCAACCTAGCCACTTCCCTTTTCACAAATCGGTGACAATGAAATCAGCAATGCAAGAATACTGCCGATAGCCAAAGTCCTGCAAATAATAGGTGAGCTGAGTTATTACACAAGTAGTAAATGTTGTAGACAGGTAGTTACACTGCAAAGTTGACAAATACTATCAAACCAAATTTCTGTATAGAGCCAAAAGACAACCTAAATGAATGGAAAGCTATACACGGTTCATGGATTGGAAAACTCAATACTGTTTACATTTTTATTTCCTCAAATTGATCTATTTATTCAATGTTAATTCCAATAAAAATCCCAGCAGCTTTTTTGTTTGTGAAAACTAAGAAGACAGTTCTAAAACTGTAAATGCAAGATTATGGACACAGAATAGTCAAAAGTTCTTGAGAAAGAAGAACAAACTTAGAGGTCTTATGTTGCCTATTTTCAAGACTTTGTATAAAGCTACAGTAACGACATGGACGTAAGACTACATATATAAATGAGTGGGAAAGAGATTCCACATACAGATCCACACACACATGGCCAACTGATTTCCATGAAGGTGACAAGATAATTTAATAGAGAAGGATAGTCTTTTTAACAAATGGTGCAGGCTGGATTTCTATATGGGAGGAAAATAAATCTGATCCTTACCTCACATCATACAAAAAAATTACTCAAAATGGAGAATATACCTACGTGTAAAAGCTAAAACTATAAAACGTCTAGAAGAAAATAGGAAAAAAACCTCAATGACTTAGGCATAGGCAAATTATTTCTTAGGACACAAAGTACCAAGCATTAAAAAAAATGACATAACATAATTAACAGCTTCTTTGAAAGAGAAAAATGAAAATGCAAACCACAGACTGGGAGGAAATATTTATAATAAATATATAAGACAAAGGACTAGTATCCAGAATATAAAAAGAATTCTTACAACTTAGTAAGTTGTTTATCTTTAGGATACATCTCTAGAAATTGAACTGCTCTGTCAAAGGATATACATATCATGAAAAACTTCGGTGCATATTGCCAAACTACGGTACCAATTTTCATGGACCATTTAGTAGAAAAATGGGGGGCGGGGGGAGAATCCTCTTCTCACAAACCTTTAGTAGATACTTTTAAATTTGAGTAAAAACCTGGTCTTTCTGAAAGGCTTTCCAATGATTAAAATCTGCTGTCATATCACATCACTGAATTCACTGCATTTTAAATAATTCCATATTCATTTTGATCATATCAATCAATGCATATGACTTACCTATTAGCAGATTTGAAAAAGAATAACTAGGTATATATTTGCATTTTCTTCAGCTGGAACTCTTCCGTCTGAAATACACTACTATAGGAGTATTACACTGTTCTTTTCAAAACTGTTGAAGTGGAGAGAATCTGTCATAATTAAATGAGATAGCCAATCCTACTTAGTAAAATGTAAGAACTTAAACCTCTCTTTGGAGTACTAAAAGAATTTAATCATTTACTCATAGACAGTGAACACCTTCTATATGCCAAGAACTGCTCTAAAGGTTAGTTATATTGCAGTGGACAAAGCAGAGAAAAATTCCTGCCCTTATAGAGCTTACCCTTCAATTGGGAGTAAAGAGGAAACAGACAATAAGACAAGTTAGTAATACAGTGTTGATAAGTAATAGGTAAAGAAATAAAACGTGGCAAGGGAATAAGAATGATTCGTGGAGGTTGTAATTTTAAGTTGGACACACATAGATCTCACTAAATGTGTGCCATAAAGATATCTGAGAAAAGCATTCTAGGTTGAGGGAACAGCAAATGCAAAGGTCCAGCAGTGGGAGGAGTGAATAATGGGGAAAATAAGAAATGAGGTAGAGGTAGAGAACCGGTCCCATAGAGTCTTGTAAAGACTATTTTGCTCTTAACTGGAGTGAAATAGAAAGCTACCGACATCTGAACAGAATCACTCTGGCTACTGTGATGAGTTTCAGTTATAGAAAGCCAAGGAAGGAAGAGATAGGGGCATTAAGAAACTACCATAATAATCCAGTCAAGAGATAAGGGTGGCTTGAATAAAGAGGGTAGTAGAAGAGGTAGTGAGAATTATTAGATTCTAGTTACATTTTAAAGGTAGAGCTGACTAATTTGGATGTGGGAGAAGAGCTACAGATAATTTCAGGGTTTCTGTCTTGAGAAAGTAGAAGGATGGAAGTGCCATTTATTAGATGGGAAAACGGCAGAAAAATTAGATTTGGAACAATCAAGAACTCAGTTTTGGACACATCAAGTTCAGAAAACCTACTAGACATTCAAAAGAACTTAGACTTTGAGAGGGGAGGGAGGTTGTACTGACATATAAACTTGGAAGCAGGCAAGTTATAAATGATGTTTCAAGTTATGAGGTTAGATGAGATCACCAAGGTTTTACAAAGTATAATTGAGAGATCTAAAGATTAAGTCTTAGGGAATGCCTACATTTATTATAAGAACTTCTTTGTACTTCCATATGAATTTCATAAATCTCACCATACAGAAATTCTAGAATGTCAAAGATGGAAGGCTTTAATTTAAAACATCATTTCGTTGTTTACATTTAAGGTTGGGGATGGGGCTGTATAACATCTGACTTTGGTTTTACGAAGCCTAGAGGGAGTAGGAAGAAAAATTGTTACTCTGTAGTAGCACCTTTCTCCCATCCTGTGGAGTTTGTTTCGGGGAACATGCCCAGGAAGATCTCTATTAAGTAACAACAAGAAAGTATACATTTTTTTCAGGCTGTGCCACCATGCCAAGGGAAGGGGCCAGAGCCTCACAAATCATGAAATGACTGACAAAAGCTGGGGTCACATGGATCCTTGTAATTTAATCCCAATTTTCTTACAAAATAAACTATACGTTTTCAACACTGTCTTGTTCACTGTGATTTTAATAAACACTGATAATTATTTGTACAATTGCTTATTAATTTCCATTTTTATTTATTTTCATAAATCTTCCTTTGAGGGACTTCTCTGGTGGTGCAGTGGTTAAGAATCCACCTGCCAATGCAGGGGACATGGGTTCAAGCCCTGGTCCAGGAAGATCCCACATGCCGCGGAGCAAAATAAGCCCGTGGGCCACAACTACTGAAGCCCACGCACCTAAATCCTGTGCTCCGCAACAAGAGAAGCCACCGCAATGAGAAGCAAGTGCACCACAACGAAGAGTAGCCCCTGCTTGCCACAACTAGAGAAAGCCCATGCACAGCAAAGAAGACCCAACGCAGCCCAAAAAATAAAATAAATTTATTAGAAAAAAAAATCTTCCTTTGAAAGATGTAAACAGTTACCATTTGATAAAATGTAAATACTAAGAGCATCCTTGGATCCAGGATAATTCATTTTGCAGACAGAAAAATGAGGAATAGAGTGGGCTAAAAACATCAGTATGTTTTTGTGCATCATATGTTTCCAAAAGTCATAGTAATACTATCTCTTTATTGCTTTATAATACTTGTCCAAATATTGTCTGTGAAAGAATTTTAAGCTAAAGAACATAGGACTCCAATGTATTAAAATGACTGCTAATACTGATAGAAGAAAAAAGTTGAACTATACAATGTTATATGAAGCTGAGCTTTTAAGTCCTGACAATCCCTTGGAAGGTACAGAGATTTTCTACATGAAATTCTAAGACTAACCACTGAAACAATCAGAGAATAAGTTTCAAAATCACATGAAACAAGAAATGGAATATTTGTGTATCTCTTTGGTTAGAAAATATTTACATCTTGAAATATACCTTGTTTTTCTAGCTATTATCAGAAATTATACTCAAATGTAATAGAATTCAATGACGGATAACAAGCATTATAGAAATTAACCTATTAAACACCTGTATAACCTAAACTTGGCAATTGGTGGTGGTGGAATATAAAGAAAGATAGGGAGGAGAAAAAGGCAATCATATGTGACATAATCCAAATAAACTTGAAAATTATAATCCCAAAAGCTATTTAAAATAGCCAAAGCAATCTTAAGAAAAAAAGAACAGAGCTGGAGGTATCACACTCTCTGACTTCAGACTATACTACAAAGCTACAGTAACCAAAAGCATTGGATACTGGCACAAAAACAGACACATAAACCTACGCACTTATGATCAATTAATCTATGACAAAGGCGGCAAGAATATATAATGGGGAAAAGACAGTCTCTTCAATAAGTGGTGCTGGGAAAACTGGACAGGTACATGTAAAAGAATGAAATTAGAACATTTTTTCATGCCATATACAAAAATAAACTGAAAATGGTTTATAAGACCACAAACCATAAAACTCCTAGAAGAAAACACAGGCTGTACACTCTTTGACATCAGTCTCCAAAAAGATTTTTTTGGGGGGATATATCTCCTCAAGCAAGGGAAACAAAAGCAAAAATAAACAAATGGAAGTACATCAAACTAAAAAGTTTTTGCACAGCGAAGGAAATTATCAACAAAGCGAAAAGGCTGCCTACTGAATGGGAGAAGATACTTGCAAATGATTTATCTGATAAGGGGTTAATATCCAAAACATACAAAGAACTCATACAACTCAACATAAAAAACAAACAAACAACCCGATTAAAAAATGGGCAGAGGACCTGAATAGACATTTTTCCAAAGAAGACATACAGATGGCCAACAGGCACATGAAAAGATGCTCAACATCATTAATCATCAGGGAAATGCAAATCTAAACCACAATGAGACATCACCTCACACCTGTCAGAACGGCTATTGTCTTTTAGTGCTGTTGAGTGTGTGGAGAGAAGGGAAGCCTTGTGCACTGTTGGTGGGAATAATTGGTGCAGCCACTATGGAAAATAGTAAGGAAATTCCTCAAAAAAACTAAAAATGGAACTACATATGAACCAGCAGTTCCACTTCTGGGTACATATCCAAAGAAAACAAAAACAGTAATTCAAAAAGATACATGCACATCAATGTTCACTGCAGCATTATTTACAATTGCCAAGATATGGAGACACCCTAAGTGTTCATCAATAGATAAATGGATAAAGAAAATGTGGTATATATATACATATACACCCACACACACAAGATGGAATATTACACTCAGCCATAAAAAAAGAATGAAATTTTGCCATCTGCAACAACATGGACGAACCTGGGGTTCACTTACGCCTAGTGAAATAAGTCAGACAAAGACAAATACTGAATGTTATCACTTATACCTGGAATCTAAAATATAAAACAGACAATATAACAAAACAGAAACAGTCTCATAGCTATACAGAACAACCTAATGGTTACCAGAGGGGACAGGGAAAGGGGGGGGGGGGAAGTCAGGGGTAGGGAATAAACAGGTACAAACTACTATGTATGAAATAAATAAGCTACAAGGATATATTGTACAGCACAGGGAATATAGCCAATATTTTATAATAACCTTAAATGGAGTATAATCTATAAAAATATTGAATCACTATCTTGTACACTTGAAAATGATATAATACTGTAAACCAAATACACTTCACTAAAGAACAAAGTCCAAAAAGCTATTGGAAATACTAACTTTGTAGCATAAACTCCATTACTCTACCTATGTCTTAAACATTTTTGGGGGATTTGGGGATACTAAGAGAGTGAGGAAATGGAAAGAAGAGTAAATAAAACTAAATAGAAGGAGGATAACTAGAATGGTGGAAGTGACACTGTGGGAAAACTGCACCTCTAAAATCCATTATGGAAGGCTCTTTAGACTTTGCCTCTTTACCTAAAGAGGGAAGAACTACAAAAAGAGTATACAGCCAGGACATGTCAGAAAAAAATGTTTGTTAGCCAAAGAACACATGGAAGCAATTATGGGTTCTTAATATGTAAGTCTAGTTTTTAAAACTCTGTCAGAACACTGAAAAGTAGGCAAAAAACCTCACTACTGAGTTGTGTAAGTTTGAGGAGAATCTTAGCCCTTCTTTTCCTGGACCTTTCTTTTCTCCAACATGAATACACACATGATACCTTACATTTATATATAGTACCTGTCATCAAGGCATTTCCATGAACACTACTTCATTTGATAAGAGTAACCCATGCCTGTGCCCCTTCTAGGAAGATATTGAGTATCAACTGTGAGGCAACAGGAGATGGAGCAGTGGAGACACTAAATGTACACAGACACAGTCTCACTGAAAGCAAGGTTAACACCAATGCTGAGTGCTACTACTGTGAACTGGTATAGCACTTTATATTTTTCAAAGCCTTTTCATGATGTCATTTGATTAAGAGAATGGCCTTAAAAAGGCAACTATAACTCTGGGGGATACAGTTCATTAAAGGTGAAGATTTCTAATTAATATTTCTAATTAACAATTCTAATTAATATTTCTGATTAATATTCTTAATATTTATAACTATATTATTTATTTTAAATTAATCACATGTGATTTGCTAGACCTATATATGGGGGATAACTAATTACATGTAGGAAAAGTCATAATGCAAGAAATATATTAAGTAGGTGGGAGAACAGAACTGTTATACAGAAACATTATGCTGTGATTAGTTTTCAAAATAACCAAATCAACAGCTTTCTATAAATTGCTGGCCTAAAGGATATTCTGTTGTGGATATTTCTGAGTCTGGGCAGATGAAATGAACTGATAAGATAATTAAAACTCTGTTTATATATGAATCACAGTCATTTGTAGGCATAGAATTTTCCTCTGTTCCTTGTTCCTTAATGGAAAGTGGGTCAGCCAGAGACACTACTTAATATGAGGAAAAAACTAGACATGTAAAGACAGTGAACATTAAAGTAACAATTAGAATTGTGCAGAAAGAACAAGAAATGCTGGCCCTTCCAAGCAAGGTGACTGAGCAATTACACGTGTATACTGAAACAAGCGAAATCCAGAGGCAATTATTTCTTTGACAGATAAAGAACGAGTTTTTTATATTAAAGAAAGTTGAGCAAGAAACATGCCAATCTAATTCTGAATAAATATGAGAATGTTCTGTATGTAGTATATAAGACAGATGTAACTAAAAAATAGAAGAGCATGGCCACTATAAGAAAAATGTCTCAAGTTTAATAAATCTTCTCTCTGGTTGGTTGATATGTCATTATTTTTCATATCTTGATTTTTTTAAAAACTGAAGTATAGTTGATTTACAATGTTGTTTTAGTTTCTGGTGTATAGCAAAGTGATTCAGTTATACATATATATATACATATATATTCTTTTTCATATTCTTTCGCATTATAGTTTATTACAGGATACTGAATATAGTTCCCTGTGCTATACAGTAGGACCTTGTTATTTTTCTATTTTATATATAGTAGTTTGTATTGAGGGTTTTTTTTTTTTAACACATTTCAAATAGTCAAATAAGCCACAATTCTGGAATAAATTCTAAAGCGTAAATGAGTATGTCAATTTAAATGAAAATGCAATTCAGGGCTGTATGCAGGATATACATTTATTAACAGTGAAAAAGCATTTACCCAAAGTGAATGTTACAAAATACAAAGAGTACCTGCTGCACAGTCTGGCGAGCTCACTCTTTTAGGCATTATTTCAACCTGCGAGGTTTCTCTCTCACTCATTTTGACCTTTTCTTCCTCTTTTATCTCTAACCAAATTTTTAACTTAAAAATGAAGACAAACAGTAATATTCAATGCCTAACCCTTTAGCAACAGTTACCAGGGAAAAACATATTAAACAAGTTATCTGCTCTCAAGTCCTAGGTATTTTAAAACTAAATTATCTACTATAATAGAAAAAAACAGACCATATTACAACAGCTATAACATAAGTCAAATAAGCAAGTTTGATAAGGTTCACAGATACTACAGTAATAACTAAGGTATAAGTACAATGCTTCCACTGTATCGATCTTTAAAATGCATGCAGAGAGAGAGACAGTCTTAATATGTAAGGCTTGGCTTGAGTATCAAAATGAAGTTTCTGTACAGAGTCTCGAAAACAAATACAGAACTTAAGTATACATATAATGTAACTTATGTTTCAATTTCCCTGAAGTCAAGCCAATTGAATAAGAATTCCTGTTTCTGGGATGATAGTTTTCTGAGTAAGTTTTACTAATTCAGAAAGTTGGAGATATATGTCTCACATAATTTAAGTTATGGAGCAATACAGTCAATGCCCTCATAGGGAAATCCTCATTTAATACTCCCTGACTGGACATTATACTTTTACACTGAGGTATCAGGCAAGAATTTCAAAGGAATACCAACCAAATTCTTTTCTTATGGGATACTTCAGTTAATTGTTGACAAATTTAAAAGACTATTTGGAACAATTCTTCATATTTTATTCAAGAAAGAATCTGTAAAGATGACTTAATTGTTAACTGGCTATGTGAAGCCTTACTGGGTATGTGGCAAGTCTGGGATCTAAAGCTACACCACCTTTAAAAGCTGATTTACTTCATGACAAAGAGGTCATGTAGATTTCCGTTACTCAAAACTTCCTCTGCGAACCTGCTTCTCTCTCACTGCATACAGAAGCAACTGCTATGCTTTGGCTAAACTATCATCTCAAAAGGCAAGGTTGTCCGAAGGCATATAGAACTTTAATGTGCTGGTACATAAATTTAGTTCTATTAATCTCTACTTTAAAGATCTTGGTTTTCCTTTTAAAATTAATCACAATGTTACTTTACTTGGCTGTGCAGAAATACTCTCTAATTATAGAAAACTTTTTTTTTTTACTTTTAGACTGAGGCAACACAGATATGAATTGAAATTCTAGAAAATATTTATCTAATAGATAATTATGTAAGTTCTACGTATTAAGGACAAGTGTTCTAAACTTATTATCCAATTTGAATAGAATATTAATATATATTCTACAATAACCTGGAAACCTTTATAACCTGCCCTATTCTTGCACAGGAATAAGACATGCAAGTATCTAAAAGAACATTAGACCCAATAGCAGCAACACTGGCATTATTTGGAAGCCTGGCCTAAAGGCTGGGCTTTACAATAAATAGTATATTTCTCTAACTCTTGACCATTGCTCTTTGAATAGCCTACTTATACAGAACAGTGACTTGCTGTATAGAATTCAACATAATTTCCAAAAAAGATAGTTTACAGGTTAAGTCCAAACTTTATTTAAAACTACATTTTAAATTTAACGTTACCAAACATCACAATGGGGAAAAAAAATCAAGACCAAACAAAATGACAGAAAGAAAAAGAAAAAAAACCCACAGTGTATCAAGGCTTGAATCTGTCCAGAATTCAGTTTTTGATGTTTTAAACTGCCATGGGCAGAAATTAGCACACCTACCAAAAATGCAGTGTCAAACTAATTTACATTTTTTACAGATCAAAACAGATGTTTATTTAGTGCCATTTCCATATATGCATTGACTATGTAAAGAGAGAGTTAGATGAGCCTCTGAAGACATCTCATGTACTTTGGGCTCCCACTGTTTCTGAAAAACAGAATCATAGTTAATGCCTTATAAATTACTTACTAAGTTAAGACCTTATAGAATTTAGTTTAATACTGCTCTCTTCCATTAAAACTTTCACTTCTAATATGAAGTTATTACAAAAGAAACTTAGTTTGCTACAATAATTCCCTGATAACACACAGCAAGAGTTTAAAAGGCACAGGTAAGGGTTTCCATTTTAAGACGGCAGACTAAGCAGATACTTCCTCTCTCTCCAAAAGAAAGCCCCACTAGAAAAAAAAAGATATAAAAATGAATAAACCCAGACCAACAGAAGAAGACTGGCTGTGAGAGAACAGAGGATGGCGAACCACAAGTTCCCAGGATGCTCAAAGGAGACGGAGGCACAGAGAAGAGGGGAGGAAGCTGCAGCCTAGACACACTAGGACAGGCGGCAGTGCAGAGGGTACCAACTGAGTCCTAACAGGCAGAAATGGGCTGAAGAGTGAGGAATTAACTGAAGGTTTGACATTTGGTTTGCACTTCTCTTCACCCTATTTCTTAAAAAAAAAACAAAAAATCTTATATGAGTTTAATCAACTGATGAATTGATGAACAAAAAGAAATCTTTGAACTTGATGCAAGAAATGTGCTCCTCTGAGTGGCCCTTGGGTTGTGCTATTAGACCCATAAAGAAGGAAATCTGGGAGTATCACTTGGCTCTGCAACAAACCATATTTATATAGAATCATCTTCAGGAAATTATAGAAGATTCAATTATTATAGTTACAAAAACAGAATGTAAGTGTGTTTACTTTAATAATGTTAATAACGTAAGAATATGAGTAAAACTGAACAGAGAAGGCAGAAGGAAAAGGGGAGGAGCAAGTAGTTGGGTAATGACCAAAGTTGATGGAACTAGAAAATGTATATATTTATAAGAACAAAGGTAACAGGAAAACCAAAAATATAAACACTGAAAGAAGAAGAGGTAGGTCTAAATACTTTCCGTTTGGGAGACAGGAAAATTATCTAATTTTTAAAATTAAGAAAAATTATAAGAATAGTATTCAGAGATCTAGAGGGTCTCCTTCAAAAGAACTGAAAACCAATAATTAAAAGAAACGGGCTCTTGCCAATCATCACTAACTGCTTTATACCTTTCTTTCTTAAGCCATGTGCATATATTACTTTGTTAAAACTAAAAACAGGGGCTTCCCTGGTGGCGCAGTGGTTGGGAGTCCGCCTGCCGATGCAGGGGACACGGGTTCGTGCCCCGATCCGGGAGGATCCCACATGCCGCGAAGCGGCTGGGCCCGTGAGCCATGGCCGCTGAGCCTGCGTGTCCAGAGCCTGTGCTCCGCGGCAGGAGAGGCCACAACAGTGAGAGGCCCGCATACCGCAAAAAAAACCCAAAAAAACCCTAAAAACAGAAAAAAATTATCTGATAATACTATTTTATAAATTGGGCAGCTGAACGAATTTTTATAGAACTACGCTTCCTTTCTAATGTTTATCTTAGATATTCCAGGTACTAGTAGCACATTTAAAAAACAAAACAAAATGACAGTATCAAGATTCAGTAGCTTTTCAATATGATATGGTTAAAAATGATAACTCTTACCAGGTTCTTTTAGTGTCTGAGAATTCCCAGCTAGTTCTTCAGTCTGCATTTCACGTAATATTTCACCAGATAAATGGTTTTTCTGTTCTTCTTCTACCATTTTCTTCCTTAGATCTGCCTTTAGAATGAAAATTAAAAATACAAAATCATTTTTCACCTTAACAATATTTGTTATATAAAGACAACTTTAATTAAAGAGAGCAAAATACCTCTGAATATATTGTCAGTTTAAGTGGTAAATCTTCAACTTTCACAAAGTCTTCTTCATCAGATTTTTGACTTATGTTACCAGATTCTGCTTCCTATAAGATTAACAAATTATATTTAATGACGGCAATCCACTCTATCTCTGGATCTAAACGAAAGTAATCCATGCCAGGAGATAAAGCGGATTCTTACATATGTATATATGTCAGTAATTCTATCATATATGCTTTTCTTCTATATTCAGCTCAGTGAATAGAACAGAAATCTAGAGTTCATGAGAAGAGCTACACACTTGCAACTATGGGCACATAGTCAAGCTTTTCTGTCCCCATTTTATAAAACAAAGAGCCAGTTCACACAGGTTAGAGGAAAAATAGTAATAGTAATACTGAGGGCTAAAATAATTAGAACTACTCTTATTACTTGATATGTTTATAGAATGCATCAGAACTGTATCCAGCAGAATATAAGTAAACATTTACAGTCTGTCTTCCTTCCTTCCTTCCTTCCTTTTTTCTTTCTCTCCCTCTTCCTGTCCCTCTCCCTCTCCCTCTCTCTCTTTCTGGCTGTCTTGGGTCTTCATTGCTGCGCGCAGGCTTTCTCTAGTTGCGGCGAGTGGGGGCTTCGTTGCGGTGTGCAGGCTTCTCATTGTGGTGGCTTCTCTTGTTGCAGAGCATGGGCTCTAGGTGCATGGGCTCAGTAGTTGTGGCTCGTGGGTACTAGAGCACAGGCTCAGTAGTTGTGGCACATAGGCTTAGTTGCTCCGCAGCCTGTGGGATCTTCCCAGACCAGGGCTTGAACCCGTGTACCCTGCATGGGCAGGCGGATTCTTAACCACTGTGCCACCAGCGAAGCCCCTACAGACTTTCAGTATCAACTCCAGAGGTTCAAACAGAAAGATGAGGTATGAACTTAGTAACTCACAAAAGTTACTAAAAAACACCTCACACTGTTTTCCTGAAAACTGAAGTCTTTTATTCTCCTAGTTCTTTGATTTTTAATAGTATCATCATTCTACCAATTACCCAGTAGAAACCTTAGGTTTTTCTTTTTCTTGAAACATTTCTCACCCATGTCTCTCTATTCAGCTCATTTTGTATTTATATGATAATGGAGGCTCCTAACACAGCTTCCTTGACAACACTTCTTACATAGTCATCGGATTCATCTTCAAAAACAGTGACTTTGACCATTTCACTTTCTTGCACAAAGACCTTCAGTAGTGTTCCCTGCCTAAAATTCAAATTCAAGACCCTCTAAGATCTAATTTCAAGTTAATTTTGATTGAATGCCTCCTACAGTAATTCTATGCACTCATCAAATGATAACAAGAACAAATCTAGTAACTTTCAGTTTTAAATGCAAAATTTTACAGGTAGTGAAGCAAATAAAACAATTAAGAGAGTACTCTTTCTACGAATGTTTTGAAGTATTATAAGCCCCCTTGCTGAGAAGCTGTGAAATCATAAGTATATCTTTGGACAGAAAACTGATGTTAATTAAAAAATATGTGAAACACATTCTTTAGACCTAAAGGTACATTATTACAAATCCCTTCATTTTTACTAACAAGAAAAAGTAAAGTATATATAACATATACAGCCCAAGGATCCACCAAAAAAAACCTATTTGCTATAAAATTAAATTGAAACAAACATCCAGAGTAAAACTAAACTCAGCTACTTACATCATAAATGCAGATTTGCTAGCTTACTTTTCTGTCATTCCCTATACAGAGCTAGGGACTCTAGTGCTGTCAAACTGCTTTATTTCCCATCCCAAATGTAAACTTTCAGGGTTATCAAAGATTATGAAGTGTTCCAAACCGTTGAGAAGTCAAGCGTGGATGGCGTAAGAGATGATTCACATATCACTACCCCTTTAGATCTGAACTTGAACTCCCTCAAGGTTTCCATATAAAACTCATCTCTTTGCTTCTCAAAACTATGAAAAGTGGAATTTTAGGTTTTGAGATGGTCATCTTAATTCACTATCACTCTTCTGTTCAAGTTTAAAATAAATCTGAGTAAGAAATAAAAATGTTCCGACAGTTTCTAAACCTAAACACAAAGCAGAGTTGTGTTTATATACTAGAAATGTTAACCTGAAAATGAAAAAATATGCACAGAAATGAAATGCAAATGATACATACATAGTCATTCACTAACACTGGAGATTCAGTATCAGGACTTCCAGCCAAAGAGCTTTCAGGAGTTTCCTGGGCAGATTTAACTTCTTTGACTCTAGGCACCAAGGTTTCGATTTCAGTTAAAGGTAAGGGCAAAGCGTTAGGCTGATTAGATGAATCGATGGTAGGAAGAGCGTCCTTTTGGACAGTGCTGTTTAAAGGTTGCTCATTTTCCAAGATATTGAGGTAACACGGCTTCACAGGAGTGCTATCTTGGTCATCTGTCATCAAAAGAAAGTCTTAACATTAGTGTAATACAACTGTCATTAAATTTACTATTATACCAAATAAAGACTAAACAGTATAAATGAGAGTAATCAAGACATTTAAGACCCAAAAGAAAAGGCAACTAGAAATTAACCTTATCAATGGTTCCCAAATTTATTTGACCAGATTCATCTGGGGATGCTTTAAATATTAGATACCTGAAATGCACCTGATTTCTAATGAAATAGGATTTTCAGGAGTCAGGCCCAGGAATGGGTATTTTTTAATTTAATTTAATTTTTTAAATTTAATTTTTAAAATTTAACTTAATTTTTAAAAATCCCCCACATTGGTATCTAAAGATACATTCCTTACAAAATTTTTTTCTGTGTTTAAATATTTGTCAACTATTCTTTAACAGCTGTTTGCAGAAACAAAGCCCTTGTGTTTTCTACAAAGGATTTATGGAGGAAAAAAAGACATACATCAGGTCCAAAACACCTTTGAACTTCTAATGGAAGTTCAAAGAATTTAGATTTTTTTGTTTTTAAGCACATAAAGGGCACTTCAGATAATCTTAACATTGAAACTTATTTAGATTTCTTACCTTTACTAGTAGTGGGTTCTTGTTCCGATGGGACATTTTTGCTTTCCGCTGATTTTTCAAAATCATGCTGTGGAACCTGGAAGGAAGAAGTGATGTCTTAATAGTAGGGCCTAAATATATGGTCACTATACAGGAGATGCTTGGTAAGTGTGGTATTTCCACCCTGAGACCTCAGACAGGGGAATTTTAAAACACCTCCTAAAAGTGTTTCAGGGAGGAGGCGGTGGCTGCAGTTCCAAGGCAGCTCAGTACAAGGGCTCCTCTTCTTAGCCTCACAGTAACACAAGGAACTGAATGTTATGGACTCCACTAGTTTTTATTGTTTTTTTTCAGACCAGACTCTATCTTAAACTAAAAGACACCTATTTATATGCAGATGTTAAGTGAAAGGAAGAGGAAATGACGAGGAGGAGAGAAAGATGAACAGAGCTAAGTGCCTTCTGCAGGAGGACAGAAAACTGAAGACTCACCTCATAACTGGGTGTACCAGATTCTAGGAAGGAAGGAGTACAGTAGTGGGGTGGGAGCTGGTGACAAGGGGACGGTGCTGGTGGTTGTTTGAAGCTGTTTAAGAAATATGTGGACGTTTAGATTCCCTCTCCCAGGCTCAACAGAAAATGCGAGATTATGTTTTGGAGAAAATGAACTAGTGAGCCTCAGACCAGGGGCCACCAGGAAAGGGGTAGGCTGCAGAAAGCACAAGTGAAGACAGGATAAAGTGTCACACTGAAACAGAAAGATCTAGTGCAAGTCTGTATAGAGGTGGGACCCTCAGCCCTAATCCTACACCTAACTGCAGAACACCAACAGCCAAGGAGGCAGAAGGATACCGGAGGACCCTCCCTACTTTGGAGAAACTAAACCACCCCAGAGAAAAGACCAATAGGAATTAACATTTGAGATTTTCTGTCAAAAAGCTATACACTCGGCTACCCTATGGTGAAGCCCAAAAGAACCCCAACTGGCTTTTTGATGTATTATTCTTTAATATAAGCACCAAAGGTACAGTGGATATTTAAAGAAAGTCTCTAGGTGGGTAAGAGAAAATATTGCTTCGATGAGGTAATAGGGTGCTATAAAAAAGTAACAATCAGGAAAAAAGTACTTAGAAATTAAAAATGTAACAGTTGAAATAAAAATAATTTCACATAGGTATTAAGGTCAAAGAAATCTCCCAAAAAGTAAAAGAGAAAGAGCAATGAGACAATAAAAGAGAGGAAAAAATTAGATCAACCCATGAGAGCTAATAACGTTTGATAACATTTATTCCAGAAGAAAAGAAGAGAAAATGGTAAGGAAGAAATAAAGGAAATAAAAGAAAATTGACCAAACCTGAAGAACATGCTATATTGAAAAGACAACTGAGTACCTAGTGTAGTGAATGAAAAAAGACCTGCAACGATGTATATCACTGTAAAGTTTCAGAACTCTGGTGGGGGGATGGAGGGAAAGCTTCTAGAGCTAGAAAGAAAAAAAGATATATACAAAGAATCAGAATAAAGAAAGGCAATGGCAACACTGAAAACTAGAAGACAAGGACAGTGCCTTCAAAGACCTGAGGGAAAATGATTTTCAACACTGAAGCATTAAGTTTTCTTAGACAATATAAAGTCTCAAAATATTCTTTGCACTCTTTCTTAGAGAGCTACTGGAGGATGTGCTCCACCAAAATGAGGTAATAAACCAAGGAAGAGAAAGGCAAGATTTGATTCCAGAAACTGAGATCTAATAGAGAACAACAAAGGGCATTCCCAGGCTGGTAGCTATTTAAAGGTCTAAAGAAGAGCCAAACCCAGAATGGAGCAGGAAAGGAGAATGCTCCAGGAAGGACAAAACTGACTAATTGGTTCATGTTGAAAATTCTACTGAGAGGTTTATAAAACTATTGATGGGCATAGCAAAGACTTGGGTTTGTGATGAAAGAAAAGAGAGTAAATAAAAATATTGAGACAATTATTAAATTCAGGTGAAAAAATGTATAAGACTTAGCAATAAATAATATTTGCTTAGCTCAACAGTCAGTAATATTTACATATTTTGGTTAAATCTAAATATTTGGTTAAATACAGATTTAACCAAAAGGTATAATTAAATGAGGTGGACAGGATTAATATAATTAAATGAGGAGCCGTAAGTGACCTAAAAATCTTCACCTGCTATAACAGAAGTCAGTAGGTAATGCCTAATACATAAATGAATAAATGCACACACATATTATTCAGATGTAAGGAGGTAAACAGCAGAAGAAATCATAAAAAATTTTGCCTCTGGGGCAGGATGAGGTGAAGGTAGGAAAGGAAATGATTTTATTTTGTTACATACCACTTCCACGTATAACTAGAAAAAAATAAAACTTAAAAATCCAGATCTTCTGAAGTAATCACATAGTTTTTTAGGACTTGTTATCAAAAAAACATTTTTTTTGAAGTGCTTTAAATGTAAACATTGCTAAATACAAAAATAATAATAGTGTTTAGGATTTCAGTAAGAATATTAAAGTAGTTTGTATTCATGAAAATGAGAATGGTGAAGTTGTAAATTTTAACATCTGTAAAAAGAATCAGCTTTTTAGTAGTTACAGTAAGACTGGTGGAGGGTGTGTTAGTCTGCACTGGAATACCTGATCGTCGTGTTCATTTTCTTCTGTAGTTTCAGTGTTAGCCTGCAGTGAAGTCTGGACATCTACAGGTCCCTCTTCAAATTCTTCTATTTCTTCATCTTCATTCTCATCTTCTCCACTTCCATAATTAGTCAAAGCCTGAGTTTCAGCTTTGGACAAATCTAAGTTGATTAATAACACAATTTTTAGTAAAATTTCAGCTCTTAATAATAGCTACCATTTATTGCATTCCTGCATTGCTCAAGTGCTTTACATACAGTATCTGAAATCTTCAAAACAGTAAGTACTAGAAAACTGTGGTGTAGAAAGGACAGGTAATTTAGTCAGGGTCACACGGAAATTCAAATTCAGAGTTGTTTGACACCTAATTCTATAATCATTCCACTCCACCAAACTGTTTCAATAAGCGATCTATGAAGAACTAATGTATAAACCTAGTCTAGAGCCTTCAGACTTACTAATAGACACTGGACATTCTTCACTTTCTTCATCTTCCTCTTGATCAGAGACATCAGAGCTCACATTTTTGGGACCGTCACCATCATAAACCTCAGATGTTTGAGCCTGTGTAACTGTTTCAGTCTCATCCTTGTCCTAGCCACAAATAAATTTGAGTAATTAATTCCTTAAAGTACATTTTTCAAAGGTATATAGTACGTCTATCATAAAAATTAATAATAGTTATTATCTAATAAAAATATAAAGAATCATTTTAAATTTAGTTGTTTTTAGAAGAAAAGTTTGTCAGAAGAAAGGATATTTTATGATATACTCTGCTCTCAAACATTAAGGTAAAAGCTACTTAAGTTATTTAATCTTTTGTTTCAAAAGAATTATTAGCACATACTTTGTCTTCATCATCAATTTCTCCAGCAGGTGAGCCATGATCTCCTTCAAGAATCCTTTTGGCCTAAAAGCAAATCAATTAAGCAGAACTTAGGGGTAACCATTCATCATTACACTTAAGTACGCAGTAAACCTTAACAAATGCTGCACTTTTTAACCATCATCCAAAGAGTTGAGTGTTTTCTTAGAAATGTAAATTCAACTCTTTCATTTAAATCTTTTAAACGAACAAAACAAAAAGCAACACTGTCTACCGGACATCTCCTTGGATGTGTAAGAAATATCAAGAACTTACTAAATCCAAAACAAAAATTTTGATTCCTTTCCTTCCAAAACCCCATCTTCCTTCAGTCTTCCCAATCTCAGTAAATGGCCCTTCATCCACCCAAATGCACAAGCCAGAAAACTAGGAACCAGCCTGTACTTTACTTTTATTATCCACACTGAAACTATCAGAATGCGTTATTGACTCAATCATCCAAAGGTACCTGTTGTTACACACTCAAAGATAAGACACATAATTTCTTACCTGGACTATTGCAACAGCCTTACAACTGGTCTCTCTGCTTCCATCTCTACTCTTCTACAATTCCTAATCAGTATCATATCCAGACAAATCTTAAACTGAGATTATGTCACTCCTCTATTCCAAACTTTCCCATGAGTTTCCACCATGCTTACAACAAAATAAAATATAAGGTCCCTACCACCGTTTCTAAGGTTCCATAACTTGGTCCTACCTACCTCTGTGTACCTCATCTCCTACATGCTCGTCTCATTTCAAGTGTTCCTGCCTCCCTGGCCTTCTCTCTGTTCTCCAAAACACTCAATCCTGCCTTAAGAGTCTTTCTTTACACTTAACAGTTCTCTCTGCCTGGAATGCTCTTCCCTTTCATCTTCATTATAAACTCCTCTTGTCCCTCCATGGCTTACCTCCCTTTTCATCCCCTGAAGGAGCCTCGTGATTCCGCCATCTAAAGCAACCCTTCCTATCACTGTTTTATAGTATCATCCTCTTTTATTTTTTTCAAGCTCTAAGCAATGACTGAAATGATGTGAAACTTATTTATGTCTACAATAAAAACATTATGAAAAGTGTGAAAAAGATGGCTTGACTTTATCCACTTTAGGTTTCAGAAAGAAGGGTTATCTGTTTCTGTTTTGGGTCTTGACCTGCTTTCCCTCTCATGATTAGAGTCAAGAAAAGGGTGCTTGTCTAGGGAAAAAGCCTCCTGGTATGCCTTAAGTTGAGGGGAAAAAAACATCCAATTACATATGTGATCAAGACTAATTTAACAGGGTATAAGCAGCTACAGGGATATACAACCAAAGTCCTAACTAATAACAAGCATAAGTATTGGCTGCGGTGATAAATACTCCTGGGGCATCTACTGGGATTGGCAATAACCACTGCAGGCAGCTGGCCAAGGGCCGGATCCCAGCCCTCCTCTTTCTTCTGGAAACCTGCATAAGTGGCAATAACGTGAAGTGGCTATCTGATAATTCCGGCCACCTGTTCCTGCCTGCATTCCTGATTAACTCATATTACTAAAAAACCTACTTTTGCTGAGGTCAAGTATGATTTTAATTACTCATAATGATCAAGAGCTATATTTATATGCTAATTATAACTACTCCTAAAATCAAAATGCATGTAATTTACCTCTTTTGCATAAGACTGTATCACTCCAGCTGCTTCGATTTTCCTTTTGCATCTCTGTTTAACAGTTATACTATTATTATCCAAATCTTGCATGAGTTTAAAGAAAGCCAATTCATTAAATAACACTTCAGATATCTCTACAAGAAGATCTTCTCCACAATCTTTCAGTTTTCTACCAGCAAATTTTGCCAGTGAATCCTGTTCAAAGATAAACCAAATAGCTTTAAAGATTACAGTAAACTTCAACTGTGGGTAAAGCAATACAAACAACAAGTTTAAATTATAATACCAATGAAAAAACAATATTATTACTTTTTAGTATTGAAAAACTTAAAACTAATGACTAAGACAGGCTAAGAAAAGATATATTAATATTACTAAAAACATGACTAAGTGGGAATCTTGCTAGTTCTGCTTACAGAGTATACAAAAGAACATATGGTCATCCTAGCTTTAGTCCCTATGTAATATAACTGCCAGCCACAAATATATAAGATAAGGGATTCCTAATCTCAGAAGAGGTCCCACACAGTGCCAGAGGATACACATATAAACCACAGTGAAAAGCTGAAGTGCCATGAGAGAAGAAAATACCATTAGAATACTTTTCAAGTTTTCCCCTTTATGTAAGGCAGCCAATCATTCTAATTTAAATGTTCTCTTCAAAATCAGTCTAAAAGTAAACTTTAGTTCTATTTAAGTTGAAATATAGCATCATCAAATGAACAAGTCTGCTATATTCTACACCGTTTTTACAAAACCACTTTTATTTTTCTTTCTTCCTAAAAATATGGACTATGCTATTTAGAAAACAGGCAAACAACTATAATGCTCAGTGCCCCCTCCCTCCCAAAAAACTACCTTATCTAGCACAGTGATGGAGAGAAGTACAAACCCTGGGTCCTTCATGAAAAAAAATTCATTGAATAGGTTTTGTAAGAGAAAAAGTAGAAGACAGTAATTTAATCTCTACCTCAAGAAGAATTTTCAACTCTGGGCAAGATTTAATGTAAACTAACTTTTATTCTTCATGTAGGTCTCCTTGTGAAAAAAATTAGGAATACGAAGAAAAGCAGTCAGATTTTCTTAGACTTAGGGAAAAAAAACCTTACGTGCAAATTAATATATGGAATCTTCCCACAATTATAACGGTAGACAGAACTGAGGAAGGGCTACATGGATCCTGATTAACAAAAACGTTTAAAGTATCAACAGTTTCTCTTTCAACCTGACTCTAAAATGGAGTTTTTTCTTTCTGTAGGAATAAGTTACCTAGTTAAATTTATAAAAATACATTTACCTAAAAATTATCCTAAACATTTTTAAACAATGCGTAACACCACAGATGTCTTACATTCCTTATGTGTTAGTACAACTAGATTAAATAGAGCCAGGACACTTTAGGATCTATTACTATAGATTTATATAGATTATATAGATTTATATAGATTATTATAGATTTCCTGAAATTTATACTTCAGTCTTATTAAAAACAAAATGAAAAATTATAGTGATGGAAAAGCACATCAACCTAGGGTTTTTAAAAATTTGATGGACAAAGTGAAAATACTATCTCTAAAACAAATTTAAATTAAACACAGAATAGGAAGCAAGGAAAAATTTTACAGGAAAATTCTGTAATACAGATGAAAAGAAAAACATATTTTCTAGTTTGGAGCAATAATACACATCACTGAACTATTTCAATGGGAAAACATACTGGTGAATTTAACTGTCAAGATGTTTATTATATGGAGTAATTATGGTATCCCTACTCATTAACACAGGAGTTCTCATCCTTGGCACTGTTAACATTCCACAAAGTGCTACTACCAGCCCCTCCCTGCCTGTTGGTCTGAGGACACTGCTAAATGTCTCCCGGGAGGCAAAATTGCCCCCAGTTACAAACCACTAACCGTCGAATAATTTAAAGTTACTGTTACAGCCTAAGAAGTCTCTACAATCAAAAGCTAGCTTCCGGCTTCTACAATTTCCCAGATTGGTAAAAAAAATTATTTTAGAAAATATCATGGAATACTTTTTAAACAATTCAAACTTGAAATGCTCTTACTGGGTAGAAGAAAAATCAAAACAAAATTTTATTAGAGTTGGGACAGGCCTTAGAGATGATAAAGTTAAATGAAGACACAGGCCCTAATCCAACTTTTTTTAACTAAGTAAGCAATAACCTAAGAAGTATTAAAATGTCATCCCAAATGGATGCTAGAATGAATATCTACTTGAATAAACTGTGTAATGCCAGAAAATGGCAGAAAAAAAAATCCTAACCGCATGGTACTTATTGAAGTCATACAAGTACAAACTCTTACCTGTAATATACTTCCAAGTTGTTTATGAAAGAACTTTACAAACTCTTTGCTCTCATCGTTTTGCTGGGTAAGAGTCAAAACCATGCGTCTTACTGAGGTTAGAAGTTGAGAAGAGCATACTTCATCCATGTGCTCCTGAGAAAAGTCCTAGTTGGTTAGGATATAACTTATCTTGCTTAAAAAATATTAATCCACATAATGACATTGTATTTTTTTTGCATAAGCTCTTCAGCTTTTAGATGCACACTTGGAAACTTCGTTCATAAGAATAGCCAAGCTCCCGCGTACAAACATTAAAAGGTTTGCAAATTTTGATTCACTATAGCAGATAATAGCCAGTAAAAGAAACTGGCTGATTCAACATTTTCCATCACTTCCTTTCTGTACTTTAAGGAACTACTCATGCCATGGTTTCCATATTGCCTGTATTCCTATTTGCAGTTCAGTTCATTTCAACTACTCTCACCACCACACTTCACCTTCCACCCAACTTCCTCTGTGTTATCTTCTAACTTCTCTAAGCCTTGGCACTGCTGACATCCTGTGCATTGTAGGATATTTAGCAGCCCTCTGGCCTCTACCCACTAGAAGCTAATGGCACCCTCCACTCTCCCAAGTTCTGACAACTAAAAAACATACCCAGACATCACAAAATGTTATTAGGGTCAAAATCACAGCCAGTTGAGAACTACTGTCCTTTCTTAACAAGCCCCTTTGGGCAACTCTCTTCATCACCTTAATCTTCCTTTAGAAGCATGTGCAATCTACATAATAATCCAAACCAGAGTTAACTTTCTGAGGTGAGTCCATAAAACATCCTTATCAAGTAACCTCAAGGTTCTGATCCTCTTTCTGCCACTAAACTCATTTGGGCAGGTCCTCTAACCTTGACTCAGGTTAAGTTTGTGAGGTTTTTTTCCCCTCCATTAAATGTGTGGCCAAAGGTGGCCAAACTAGATGATATCTAAGATCCCTTAAATCTAAGGATTGAAGCTCATTTTTAAAAAATTCATGTGTCAAGGCAGGCAATTAAAAAAAAAAGACAACAGTCCCTGTCTTCAAGGAATCAAATACCACTGCAGGAGTCAGATCATGAGCACATCAATCACTACAAGCTATGCACCGTCCAGTAGGTGATACTTTTAAACTGCAGGGACTGTTTCTTACTCATCACCTAGCACAGTTGCTAGCTCACGGGAGATACTCATTACTTGCTGAATAAATAAGGATCATAAAAGAAGCACACACTAGGTGCCCTAAGGAGCTGTGGTAGCACATCAGAGCTCTGAAGAAAGGTCAGTCAGGCAGAAAAGAGTGACAGCATTTTATATTTTCAATGATGACTAGTTGCACAAAGGGCTGATATATGAAAAAGAAATGGCAGGTATAGGAAATGTTGAGTAGTTTGAAATGAGTATTTATCTAGATGGAAAGCAGTGAGAGAGAAAGCTGGGAAACTAAACCATATGCAGTGGTGAAATCTCTCGACTTCAAAGATATGAATTAAGGTTATGCTATTGGAGAGAAGGAAGTAAAACTAACTGCTCTCAGGGGCAAAATCAATTTTTTCAAACATCAATTTCTGACTCACAGGTGATAGAGGATAAGAGAAAGTTAGGAAGTCTAGCTTAGGTGACTGGGTGTAAGGCTGACACTAACAAAGAAGTTCTATAATCTTACCCAAAAAGTCAAGATTTGAAGTGAAATGAGACATCATAAAGTAGTTAAAATCAGACCATTAGTCCTACTCATTTTGTTGGCCTCAGAAATTGTCTGAAATGCTAAATTTAGTAGGGGATCCTTATGAAAGGATATAACTTAATCAGACACAAAATTGTAAATGCAATAAAATTTCCTGAGATGGTCGCATTCCCTACACATAAAGCTAAATCATTTATATTTTTTAACACTTAGAAAATAACTGTACATATCAAATAAATATCACTACCAATATACCTAATTTAACCAAAAAGCCATGTTTAAAAGTATTTACTGAATTACAATAAAACAAAAACCTAAAAGAAAAAAGGCAATGCTTTGTTGTCTATGCCTAAGATAGAAGCAAGCAATACCTGAACAGTTTGTCAATTTACTTTAGGGAATGGTTTCAAACTCTTAAATGAATATCTACCTATCTATCTATAAGAATATATACATATTCTTATAATTTATAGGAATATAAATATGTGAGGGGGTGAATACATATTTTAATAAAGGCACAGGAATAACGGATGAAACTGATGTATTTGTCTTATCTCCTCAGATTCCCTTCATCTAGTCTCTGAAGTCCTTCTTGAGTGAAAATACTAAGAAATCGAGAAAGACATTATTCTAGTGGGGAGATACAGGCAAAAAAATTGTGATACTTTGTCATATGTACCAAGTATCCCAGAAGCAGTTACAAGAAGGAGAAATCCTGCCTGCAAGTACATGCTAACATACGTCAGCTGGGTTCTCAAGGGTGTGACTGCCAGAGGAAGGGTGAAGGGCATTCGAGGCAAAGGAAGTAACATGGGCAAGGTGCCTTTTTGACAATGTCAAGTAGGATACAAGGTATGTGGGAAGGAACAGTTATGAGACTGGGACCAGGCTATAAAAGTTTTATAAGCAATGCTGAATCTGATCTGGATTCTATAGGCCAACTGTTTTCAAACTATATTTCAAACTACACTTGATCAGTTTGAAAACCAAAGTCAAGGTTTGGTGGATCCATTCACTTACTAATTAATTATTTACTGAGTACCTACTACCTGCATGTACTATACTTGGCACTGGTAAGACAGTAACCAAAACAGTTTAACATCTCTGATGTAAATCTTCCATTACTTCATGGAGCTTACATGTAACAAGAGAGACAGACAAAATAAATAAGCAAATATTAAATAGGTTATAAGGTGACAAGCACTATGAAGATAAAAGCAATAAGGAGTAGGGGAGATCTGCTCACCCAGTAAGTAACATTTGATTAAAGCCTTGAGGGTTCAAAGGAAAAAGCCATGCAGGTATGTGAAGGAAGAGCATTCCAGGTAGAAGTATCAGCAAGTGCCAAAGCCTTAAAAGTGTTAGCAACGCTAGCAGGAGAGTTGAAAGATTAGAAGAGGAAGCAGAGACAGAAAGAACCATTTGGAGCTGCTGTGGGTGCCCAGGAAAAGGCTAAGTTTTTCACTTTTCACATGGAATAATTTGGGCATAGACAGATGGATCCTCTCTCTCCTCTTGGCTATCACATCTCCTCAGAGAAAGCAGTTTCTATAATTGCCTTTACAAGGATCTCTCTTCTCTTAAAATATTCCAAAGGAAAAAAAAAATATTCCAAAGAAAGCAATTACTTCCACCAAGGGAAGAAATGTAACTATATGGAAACAACTTTCTGTTGTCAACATCCTACACATTGGCAAGTACAAGTAGCTTGTAAGAAATGAGCCCAATGACAACATATTTTGGAGTTTCCCACATCTGAATGAAAAGACCATCTTTTCCTTTTTAATTTTTTAAATTTCCACTTTAAATGAGAATGTAAAAGGGGCCATCTCAGAAAGAAGGCCTGGCTTGCACGCTTCTTTCTCTCCTCTTTTGTCATTAAACAAAATTAATGGTACAGCTTACTATTCTCACTGTTAGTAGGAATATAAATTGTTAACCTTTCTGAGGGACAATGCACATAAGGCCCCAAAGCCTTAAAAATATTCATACCCTTAAAGCTCGAAATTCTATGTCTAAGAATTATTTCTGAGGAAATAAAAATGGGATGTGTATTTAAATTTAGCTAAATCATTTAAGTATTGTTCATAATAGTGAAAAAGAAACCAGAATAAACATAAATGTTTAACAACAGGAACTGACAAAATAACAGGCAATTCTGTTCTATGAATACTCAGCACTCACAGTAGCAATCAACATAGCTCACTGCTGGCAGTCCTACTAGTCAACTCTGGCTCTTCCTCTTTTGCACAACTTTTATCCTGGGCCCCAGTTCTAGGCCACCTTCTCTTATCTAGTGCTGGGCTTTAGGTGACCCTACCTACTGTTAGTAGGACCAGATTTCCAAAATATATCCCAACTGTCTACTTCTCCCCATCTTTAGTGCCACACCCTTATCTAAGCCATTATCATTTCTCACCTGTCTCATTGTTCTTCTGAGCCCTATATTTAATTCTCCACAAACAAACCAGACTTTGTTTCTCTCTTACTTAAAATCTTCTAGGAGTTTCCCTTCGAACTTCGAACAAAATCCAAACTCCTAACCATATATGTAACTGGCCCTTCCCCCTTCTCCAACATCATCTCACACAAATTTCCTACAGCCACATGATCCTTCATCCAGTTCCTTAACATGCCAAGCTAGCTTCTAATTTAAGGCCTTCCTCTCTCTGGCAGGATCTTGCCTTAAGCTGGCTCCTTATGCACACCCCTGTTTAAACGTTCCCTCTTTAAAATTTAGCCTTCCCTGATCATCCAGTCAAAAATAGACACCATCACATCACCATATTTTAATTCTCTGCATGGCATGTATGACTACCTGATATATATAGCATGTAAGCTCCATGTTAGCAAAGGTCTTGACTTGTTCACTACTATATGCCAGGTTTTGTGGACAAAGTAGGCATCTTACAAATATTTTTGAATGAATAATGAATCAACAGTGTGTAACCATTAAAAAATATGCTGTAGAAAACAGCAATTCAGAAAGATGTTTGTATTATTAATATCTGAAAAAAGAAGAATGCACAAATATATGGACAAAATATTACAGAAAGGTTGACAAAATATTGACAGGAGCTATCTCTGGGTGACAAAATTATGAGTGATTTTTAGTTTTCTCTTTTGTTTACCTATTTTCTTAATTTATTACAATGGAGTCTTTGGTATGAATTTTAAAAATAAATACAGAACAGTTTATTTTTAAAAATTAATTGCTTACCTTCAAAAAGGGAATGACTTCTTTCATAATTGCTTTAATTTGCCGGTCCAGTTGCTGCGTATCAATTCTAGGACATGGGACGGTAGAAACTTCACTTACAGATTGCTGTGAACTATGATTTTCAATAACAGGAGTTTCCACTTTAAAAAAGAAAATGCTGTATTAGCAAAATAAAGTCTATGATGTTATATGTATACACTTATGCAAAATTCTAAAGAATATTAAACTCTGATGATTTTATGCTAAAATAACATAATGGAACAGCCATGTAGTTCTAGTACCCCTGATAATTAAAAGAAAAGTGGTCCAAAAAATCCCCATTAGGGCTTGCCTGGTGGCGCAGTGGTTGAGAGTCCGCCTGCCGATGCAGGGGACGCGGATTCTTGCCCCGGTCTGGGAAGATCCCACCTGCCGCGGAGCGGCTGGGCCCGTGAGCCATGGCCGCTGAGCCTGCGCGTCCGGAGCCTGTGCTCCGCAACAGGAGAGGCCACAACAGTGAGAGGCCCCCGTACCGCAAAAAAAAAAAAAAATCCCCATTACACATCACATGGGGCTCTTATTTTTTTAAATATGGAGCAATGAGTCTTACTTTTAATCAATTCAAGAACACACCTTCTAAACTATCAACCGTAGTCGGGGCAGCAGCACCATCCTCATCCTCAATAATCCTGCAGGTGCATCTGACATTTGTGTTACTTTCAGTCTCAGTCTTCATACGCTCATATTCTCTCATTCTGGCTAATGCTTGATCTAAGTGAATCACAGTGTTACCTGCATATGGAACAGAAATATTTCTAGAGGATATAAAAGCAAACTTTTTCATGTATTCCATAAAATTTATTAATAAAAAAATAATGTCTGAACATAGGTAAGAAAAACTACCTTTAACAAGTTCCAGATACTGTACTATTTGGGTACTTGGCATACACTATCACATTTACTTAATCCTTAAAATAACCCTATAAAGTAGATGATGGTACCCTCATTTTCACAGAACTTAAGTGACTGCCCAAGGTTTCACAGCCAGTTAAATACAGAATCAAGAATTGGAACCCAGGTCTCTCAGACTCTCAAGTCCATGAATACTTGGGTATAGTTTGATGTGCTACAGTCTGGAAAATGAATCAGGCACCTGGGCATCTTTCTTTTCTCTAATTTCCTTTCCAAATTTAGGACTTGGGTTTTTTTCTCTCTGACCTATGCAACCCTCTAAGCTTTTGTTTTACTACTGATGTAAAAAAATGCAATGTGCCATGCCTCAGAGTTACCTGGGTTTCCCACTATAAATTATATATGCTAAGAAATTTCAGTTCTTACCCAAATTATGAAGTTAACATTTTTATTGAAGACGTGATTGGATGAGGCATTGCTACCTCTGAATTTTTCCTACTAATTAACTGGAGATCTTAAAGGATGACCTTTAAGGGAAAGGAAATTAACATTCTCTGAACTTCTATTAGGCATGCTAGAGAGTTCTGTGTATTTTTCACAAGAACATAGCAAGGTAAATAGGACCTCATTTCCTTAGCATATGCAGAGAGTCAGAAAGGTTAGATGATTTGCCCAAAGTCAAAGAGTTAACAATTCTTGAATTTAGACTGATGGATGGATAGACTTTTAAGTCCACATTCTTTCCACCACATCTTGCCTTTCTAGACTTTTGTTTCCTTATCAATGCCATTCAAAGACTATATTAAAGTCGTGTTCTAAGATTATAAAAATTTTGCTTACCCAGATCATCTGTTGCAAAAGGCTCAAAATTTGAAGATACAGACATGACACTACCATTATCAGCATCATTTTGCTCACTTATTTTATGTGTTTCTCTCTCAAAGTTCTTCTCAAAAGTTTCCTAAGTTATAGTTTAAAAAAACAAATAAAAGTCACTAATATTTCTTTTAAAATTTTATGATTAATATTAAAAATTTAACATAGAAACTAAGTATTTGCATAAAACACTTAAAACTGTGATATAATGAAAGTTATAAAAAGTTGAATACAGAGTCACAGAGAATATTAAAATATTAAGTAACCTTGCAGAACACTTTGTCATTATGGAGATGAAAATACACAGGCCCAGCTACTAATTAAATTCTATCTTGGAAAAGGTAACATTATTTCTACACCATCAGAGAAACTCTATCTTCAAACTCTAACAATGCCTAGTACCTTACTATGATATCTGGTTGTCTAAGAAGAAAAACATGACAGCATATTCATATTTTTTAAAATTAACTTTATTGAAATATAATTTACATACAATGCACCCATTAAGTGTACAGTTTGATGAGTTTTGAAAAATATATGCACCAACGCAACCATCTTTCCTAAATATAAAGACCATTTCCACCAGCCCAGAGAGTTCCTTTGTATCCTCTACACCCCACTCATATGATTTCTATTACCACACATTAGTTCTGCTGGTTCTAGAGCTTTATATAAAATGGAACCACTCATTATATACTCTTCGGTGTCTGGCTTCTTTCACTCAGTATGTTTCTGAAATTAATCCATGTTGTTGTGTGTTTCAGAAGTTCATTATTTTTTAATGGCTGAAATAGTATTCCATTGTATGGATATACCACCGTTTGTTTATCCATTTATCTGCTGATGTTCCAGTTTGAGGCTATCATGACTAAAGATCCTATGAACATTAGTGTACAAGTATTTGTGGACATGTTTTCATTTCTCTTGGATGAGTACCTAGAAGAGAAATTGCTGGGTCACATGCCAAGTTTATGTTTAACTTTTTAAGAAACTGCCAAACTGCTTTCCAAAGTGGCTGTACAATTTTTACAATCCTACAAGCCGTGTGAGAGTTCCAACTGCTCCAAATTCACACCAATACTTCTTATTGTCAATCTTTTAAATTTCAGCCTTTCTAGTGGATGTGAGATAGTACCTCACGTAGTTCTGATTTGCACACTGGTCATTTACATATCTTCTTTTGTGAAGCGTATGTTCAAATCTCTTGCCCATTTTTTTTGAGTTGATTTCTTACAATTGAGTTGTAAAAGTTCCTCATATAGTCAGGATTTGTCTTTTACACAGTCATTTGCCAGATATATGTACTGAGGTTGTTTTCTCCTAATGGTATCTTTTGAAAAGCAGAAAGATTTTATTTTTATGAAGGCTGATTTATCAATTTTTTTCTTTTCATATTTAGTGCTGTGTCCTACGAAATCTCTGCTTATGTCAAAATCATGATTTTGTTTTCTTTTAGAAGTTTTATAGTTTTAACTTTTCCAGGACTGTAAGTAGTTTCAAATTAATTTTTGTGTATAGCGTGATTAGGAGACAGCCTCAATTATATTTTGACTGTAACTCATTTCACAATTGTGTTCTTTCCTAGCTACTCATCTTTTAAAGTTTTCTCTTAAATTATGAAATGACAGGTTTGTCCCTGATTAAAGGAAATGCAGGCATTAGGGAACATGTTTTAAGAAATGGAATCATTTTGCTACTCCTTTAAGTAAGACTTGAAGGTAGATGTACCTTTGCCATTTTATAGCACCCTGGAGTAGAAGATGCAAATTGTTTCTTCCTCTTCCTAAGTCTCAATTCCTCAACTTCCTTGACTATAATCCCCAGACGTCTACTTTAATTCTCTCTTTCACGGCACGAAGACTTTTACACGCTCTGAAAGGTATGTGTAAAAGCTCCATAAATGGAACTCAAAGGACCTTGGCCTAGAAACGTGGAGAATGAGACTCTATATCCATCCAGTATGGTAACCACTAGCCCTGCAGCTATTTAAATAAAATTTAAAATTTAGTTCCTCAATTCCAATAGTCACATTTCAAGTGCTCGATAGTGCCAATAGTCACATTTCAAGTGCTAATGGGTACTGTATTAGACAATGAAGATATAAGACATTTCCATCACTGTAGAAAGTTCTACTGGATAGCACTGCTCTAGATCTGCTAAGACACCTACTTATAACGTATTACTGTATCTTTAAATTTTAACTTTAAAACCTTGTCAGGTTAACTTTATCATAAATTGCAGCTTAATTTTCAAAATTTACTGTTGATGATGCAAACCAATGGGTTCAAATCCTTTAAAATAATTGGAAGTAATGCCGCCTATCTGAAATTTGGATAAAAAGAAAGGCACTGGAGTTAAGGCTATAAAATTACTAAAAAAGATTTCTAAGAACAGACACTCTTCATGCTCCCTCAGTAAGTTATTTCAGTACCTAATCAACTTAAATGTAACCTAGTAGCTCCTATTTTTTATGTATACAGCTGGACCACTTTTCATTTCCCACGAAAAAAGAGAACACAATTTTCAATTAGTTAAAGTAACAATTAATCCCAAGTAGCAATTAGTTACATTAATTTGTATTTGCCATTATAAAGTCAACCAAAACCATGTAGTTCTTGCACACAGGTTTATGTTCATAGTAGTATAGGAGTTGGAGCCTAGTGAAGAAAAGTTTTAAGCAGGAAAGATGACTTGGGGAAGTATTGTTTTAAACATGAGTAAAATAAAAGAGCAAAAATTGAGAAAAAGTCCTCAATAATTGTAAGGAAATTACTATACATGAAGAAGAGAAGATGATCTTTTTGAGAAAACACTGTCTTTTCAGAAAAAAACGTGTATGTTATATTAACAATGGGCAGAAACACAGTAATATGCTTCCAACTCTATACCTATAGCAGGTATTTGCTAATCAATTATGACACTCTTATCCATGAATATCCAGGTGCTGAAGTTGGTATAAAAAAGAATGTACTGGGCTTCCCTGGTGGCGCAGTGGTTGAGAGTCTACCTGCCGATGCAGGGGACACAGGTTCGTGCCCCGGTCTGGGAAGATCCCACCTGCCGCGGAGCGGCTAGGCCCGTGAGCCATGGCCGTTGAGCCTGCGCGTCCCGAGCCTGTGCTCCGCAACAGGAGAGGCCACAACAGTGAGAGGCCCGCGTACCGCAAAAAAATAAATAAATAAAAATAAAATAAAAAAGAATGTACTTGTTATCCCAGGACCACATATAATCTTTTACAACAGAATCAGGGTCTGAACCTTTAAATAGGTGATTTCAAATGCCTAGTGCATTATCTCCTCAGTATCCTCGTAGTTTGCCATACAGTTATCCAATCCAGTATGTGTGAGGTAGGTGTTATTTGGAGGACATAGTTTATTGAAAATATACATTTTCCTCACCACTCTTTTCCATTTCCAGGCCCTTTTTATTTTACTCAAAAATTTCATCAATTTTAATATATTAAATTACATTTTCTTCCAGGCTTTCTTTTGTCTAGGCTTCTCTTCTAACTCAAAGACTAACTCAATTTATCTTGTATTTACTCAAGGGTTCTTTGATCTAACTGCTGTCTGGTTTACTCAATGTCTTGAATGAAGACAACAATTTTTACTGAGTGTCTATTATGACTCAACTCCTATGTTGGACAAAGGAGATATAAATATGGCTATTTCAGACCTTATAACTTATTAATTTTTGGTGTTTGACTGCTGTCATATTGTGACTGAATTTTATACCTCACCTCAAAATAAAGCAATACACTACACTCAGCTTTTTAAAAAAGCTAAAAAACAAATATATTAGGTATACTCACAATTTATTAACAACCTACTTAACTTTTGTTAGCTGCATACTGAAATTATGTCTACAATTTCATTAATCATTATCAGCTTACATCATCAGTAGTAGCAAGGCTTTCACTGGGAGTAAGTTCTGAGTTTGATGCTATCCAAGTACCAGAATTCACTGACTTTACGTTTTCCCCTTCTTTTTCATGGTTCTCAGAAATATGTCTGGATACTATGTCCTAAATAAGGAAATAAGATAGATATGAAAAACATTTGTGTTTAATCACAAAATTAAAAGTAGAAGTAGATACCAGAACAAATGCAATACTCCTGACCTCAAAGGTTAACTATGAGGAAGACATAACATTTAGGATAAAACACTAAAAAACTGCTCAGAAAAAGACTTTATCTAAAGCTACATAAGCTATATAAGATTATTAAAATGGCATGGAAATACATAAAAAAACAGATCAAAATACTTATGGAACAAGGACATACTTCAGTCTAAGAAAGTAACCAGACAGAATGGTGAAAAATGGCAGTACCAGAAAGCGTAGGGGAAAAAATGTTAGATACCTGCAATGCATATAAAGCCCTCTGTCTCAAATAGTCTGTATTCAGTAGCTGAAGTTCATGGAAGAGTTCAATAAGAAAATGTGGACGAGATTCATTTTGAGAAATCAACGTAGCTACTTCAGAATAAATGGTATCCCGCAAAGCTTCAAACATGGAAAAATCACTCCCGGTTTCTGGAAGATATAAAAAGATCAGGAAGTTAATATTGATGAAATACATTCCTATTTCTTTTAACTTGCAACATTACTCTCACCTTTAAACTACTTAAAACACAATTCTATTTCAGAGCTTTTAAAGTAGAATAAAAATCTTAAAATTACCAAGAAAAAAAAATCTTAAAAATATCAAGATATACACTAAATATTTACTAGAGAAATAACATTACTTAGCATTACTTAGAGCAAAGTTATTTCTCAATGGAAAATTTTACACATTTCATAGGAATAATCAGTGGAAATCTTTCAGCACTTGAATGAAATAAGCAAATTGCAAACAATTTTCTTTTTTTGCTAATATGAATTTTTTTACAGAAAAGGAAATTCGTTTATTTTGTTAATGTTGAGAACTAAATGCTGCCAAGGAAACATACTATTTTAAGGCTTATCTAGTTAGGTCTACTGATTCTCAAATCTCCGCAATCATGCTGTATTGATGAAAAACTGAACTTGTAACTATAACAAAATAGGTCAATTTTACTACAGTGTCTTACTGACATACTCATTATAAGTTGGAGCAAGCAGTGAGGATAATGAAGTTTTCAGTTTCACAGAATCTAGGCATCACTCTATTATTTAGCAACAATTCTGCTACATATATTTGTTTATAGCAAAGAATTATCACCCTTAAAGGTATACACTCATACCTTTACTTTTAAGAGCACAAATTAGGAACTGTTTCCATTTTGAGTTCTCTACCGAAAAAAAAAAAATTTCCCAGTGTTCTTCTAGCTATCAAATTCTGTAAACTTTCTAGAGTAATAGTAGAACCACAAGCTAAATATTCAAGTTCTACAAAAATCAGTGATAAGTTTTCAAGAAAGAGAATTTGAAATGTTGAGTGTTTTAATATATTGTGTTTTCACATAAACATGCAAAGATCATTAAGATTTTAAAAATTCACTTTTTGCAAGAGAGAAATTTTAAAAATGCAAAGCAAATGTGGTTTAATGAAAAAACTTTCCATTAATTTACTAGGCAAATTAACATCCTCAGGTCTCAATTTCCACAAGTATAAAATAATAAGGGTAATAAATATGCAACTTCCCTATCTTGCCTCAGACATTTATGAGTATAAAATGAAATAATATACTAAAATTCTCTTAGTAGTTTTAAAATGTTCAAATGTGCTATGTTACTATAAAAATATTTACTATGAGCAGGAACCAGAACTATCTCTGTAGTAAATCTCTATTTATAGGAAAAATCCAGGTAAGAAGATGGGATGTCACACAAACTTTCCCAATTTATACACTATATTGTAGTTTGATCAGTTGTTTTAGAAAAAGTTTTTTATTTTAAAGATATAAGAACAAAGTATATTTAATTACCTCTGTATGTGATAAAATTATCACTCTAAATTATATATCAGTAAAGATTAAATTATTCCCGAATAATGAATTATGCCAAACATACGCTTCATCCCTCCCACCTACAATAGAAAAGTGGAAAGTTTTTGCCAGTTTCTCCTCCTGGACTAAAATGCATTAGTTTAGGCTAGAAAAATCCTTGATCTCAGCCAGATTTGTCTGACTCCATCTTGTTTTTATCCTACTTTCAGAGTTCTTTTCTTCTTTAGGAAGTACCACTGATACATTTAGCTTCCTCCATGCTAGGTCCTTGTTTTTTTTGTTTTCTTTAAATTCCCCTAGAGGTTCATACAGGCTTTTCTTTTTTACTCATGTATAGCACAGGAGGCATTAAAGAATATTTACAATTCTAAATCATACAGAACCATGTCTAAAGAAAATTCATAGTTTAAGGACAAAAATAGCATTCTGCAATTTTCCATGACCTTTATGTATCATGGTCTTTGCATGTCATAGTTGTTTTTGTTCAACAGTTTATTTTTTTATACATGTTGACTGGTAAGGAAAAATAAGAACTACAACAGAAGTCATACACAATACTTAACACTGTAAATCAGAGCTAAGAATAAAAGTAACTATATTTTTGTTTCCAAAAAATATGAATGCTCATAAGCATTTAAAGAATACAAGATAAATAACTTCAAATAAAATACTAAATTATAAAAATGTTTTCTATTACCTACATGAATGTGTTGGTTATGTTACATACACTAACAGAAAATGAAAATAAGAAAAGCAGCCAATTTTACCAACCAAGTAAAGAATTATAAATGAAAACCTTCAGAATTTAGTAAGTATGAATTCTTTCTCTTTTATCAGCCAAATAACACACACACACTAAACTAAATCTAAAAAATTAATTAGAACAATAAAACTAAGGATTTTTAGGACCAATGGAAGAACTAACAAAAAGTGGACACCAAAACTAAGCAGATTGTTACCTGGCGCTTCATTGCATGCATTTCTGTTAGACTGCTGTAGTATTCTCCTAGCATGTGCTGTAGGAAAGGGCAGACATAAGGATGAACATAAAATGTGTATGAATAGTAAAGACAGGGTCTGTAACATGAATAAATGAATGAAAAAAAGAAATAAGCAAATTTCTTTAAAATCGTTTGCCTGAACTAAAATGTTATCACAAGGTATGGTTTATGCTCTGTTTAAAAATAATCTCTCTTCAGGGAAAATATCAAAAGATCTGCTATAAACTTGTGTTGATGTGACTGATGATGACTATCATAATAAACTTCTACCATTCACTCTTAGAAGCATACACATCAAAGGGAACCCCCCACAACCCCCGAGGGAGAAGAGGACTGTATACAGTTCAATACTAGCAGCCGTATATGCTACAATCTAATGATCATATAACAAAAACTACTCTTACATGCTATAAAGAATTATAGGGTAATGCTTAAAACTATAACTGTCTTTTTATAAAAGAGGAGTATTTATATTATTCAAACATTTTTTTAGTTCACCAAAATTTGATGGTTATATGTTTCTAAGTGACAATAATAAGATCTGAAGTACTATGACCAACTATCAATTATTTAGGTAACTGACATCTAAGTTATTAAGCCTATCAATTTTGTGCCTTTCTCCAACCTCCACCCAACTGTTTATTGTTTGAAGACATCAGTATTTGATAAAGATAGTGAAAGGAGATGGAAACTACAAAACTTTGGTAAAATGCTAGGGTCGGAACAACAGAATTGATATGTTTGACAAAAGGATCTTGGACTTAACAGGAGACCAGGATTGAAACTTCGGTTCTACCATCTGCTAGCAATACAACCTTGAGGAGGTCATTTCAAAATATGAATAAATGTGATGTTTCTTTTCTGATTACAAAAGTAATAAATACTCATTATAAGTTTTATAAAATATAGAGGAGTTTAAAGATAATAAAACCACTATTAACATTTTGATGCATTCTCTTCCAGCTTTTTTATCCAGATTTTTGTTTAAAATAGTTGGAATCATAATGTTCAGTCAACACCTAAATCTCAATTTCTTCTTTTCACTTTTGTTTCCTTAGGATGGATGCCTACAAGTACTGGGTTAAGGGCATGACATTTTTCCCAAAAAACTGTACCAGTTTATACTACTGGTCCTTTATGAGCACTGGGAAAAAACAGGCACCCCCTCTGATCATGTTTCCTCATCTGCAAAATGAAAACAAAATGAATTCAAAGGATTATGAGGCTCAAATGAGATGAGTAATTTGTTTAGTTTGCAAACAGTAAAGCATACTACAAATGGTAGCTACTATTATCATTTTCACCAAGGGTCTTACTGACAACTGAAAATTTAGAGTCTATATTTACTGCCTCCCTCTCCATATTTCTTTGAGACGTACTTATTCTTTATAAATCAGGGACGTGCCAGTATTTACTTAAACTAAAATGGCGGCAAATACTTATGACTCCATTCATTCAATAAACACTCACTGAGTGCCTACCATGTGTCAGGTTCCATGCTAACATTTAAGATACAAATATGAAAAAATATTATCTACTGCCAAAGGAACCAAAAAGGTGATACAGACACTTAAACAAGTAAATACTACATAATGTGATACAGGCAACAAAAGAGGTTTACACAGGCTATGACAGAAAAACAAAAAGGAGAAAGGGTAACCTCTCCCAGCTTGGATTTGGATACAGTTCCAGAGTTGCAGAATTAAGATTTTACTTAAGAGCCAGCAGAGACAAAGGCCAACAAAGAGCAAAAAGGACTTGAGGCAGGAAGGACAACTGCTGAGGTAAGACAACTGCTGAGGTGGCTATGGGAAAACTTCAGTTTAGTGCCACTGAAAGAGTCAAGTTCAAGGCACAGGGTGTGAGAAATGAGTCTGGAGAGGCAGGAAGGAATCAAATCTCTGCTGGTCAGATATGTTACATTGAGGCATCTGGACTTTCTCCTGCAGGCACGGTGAAGGCCAAAGATTTTAAGCAGGGGAACGATGTGATTTTATATCCAACTCTTATTCAGATAATATTTTCAGAATTTCAAATTAGGAGTACCAAATTAATGTCAACTACACTTGTTCATTCAGAATTTTATCAAAATGCATCAAAAGATAGTATCACAATAACAATAAAATATATTTCCAGTCTACACTTCTTGACATCAAGAACTGTGTACTGTAAACTCTACTATAAAACCTTTCACATGATAGAAAAGTGTGATAGATGAATTTTAAGCTTGTTTTAATATAGCTTTTCAAATCTAAGGTGAAGAAGTCTTTAAATTAAAACAAACCAAAAAAAGAACATACCTGAAGATATTTCTGTAGACCTACTATATCTTATTACTTTTTCCAGCTGCTCATGATTCTTTCTGCTGAATACTTTTGCTTGAACAGGCTCTTCAGTCTGGGCTGAATGTCTGTTCCTACTTTTGCAAGGTTCACATGTGCTAGACATACTGGCACTTTCATACCCTTGAGTAAAAAAAGTGACAACTGTTATCAGTTGCAACTAACTCAAACTGAAAGGGAAATTGATTTCCATAGTGAAACAGTATAGGTCACTCAATTTAGAATGCTGTGAAGGCCTGGTATAACTAGAAATCAAACTAGTAAATAGTATGTTTCAGAAAAATCTTTGCGATAACCTTTGTAGGCACAGGATAACAGTAATAAATTCTAACACTTCATTGTCCTTCAATATTCATCTCAATGAATACATCCCAACTCAAACTACATGGCAGACCTTATATAACCCAAATTCTCTACTAGACTCCAAGCTAACAATTTTTCAGTATTAGGAAATACAAGAAAGAATCACATCTAATCTATATATGTCCATGATAGACAGAAGAATAAGGGGCATTAAATAATCAGATGTCTGCTTTTGTATACCTTTTGTTTAATATGACTTGGTATAAATGGTATAAAGCCTTCCCCACCCATAGGTTATACATATATTCTATTAACTCTTCCAAGTTTTGGAATTAATCTTTTTTCAGTTACTTTTCGGCACCTAGCACAAGGTAGGAATTCAACTTTATTTTGTTCCACATGGATAGTTGGTTACACCTACCCTTTTCCCACTGAATTAAAATGCAACCTTGGTCAATATATTAAATCTCCACATTTATTGGGTTTTATTTCTGGGCATTCCATCTGTTTAACTTATCTATTCCAATGCCACAGAAGTTCTACACTATGTTTAAACACCTGGTAAGACAAGTCCTATCTAGCTTCTTTTCTTAGCTATTTTTGGACACTGGTCCTTCCACAGAAGTTTTGAGATCTTTTTCCCCCAATTTCAAAAACAATCCATGAGGATTCAAAATAGAAACACATTAAAAGTATTTATTAATTTGAGGAGAATTTACTTATTTTTAAATATTTATTTATATATTTATTTGGCTATGCCAGGTCTTAGCTGCAGCACGGGGGATCGTTGTTGCAGTGTGCAGAATCTTTAGTTGCAATTTTATAAATTCTAACTTAAGAACATAGTTATGCTTTCATATTTGCTTAATCTTGTTTTGTGTTCTTCAAAAAAAATTTTATAGATCTCGTACATTTCTTGTTAAATTTATTCCTAAGGATTTTTGGTCCCAGTAGCTTTGGATACTACTATGAAAAGAATACTCCCTGCCACTTCCATTTCTACTGGGTATTACTATGATAGAGAAAAATATTTACACACTTATTTCATAATCTTATTTCATAATTACTTTACTAACTTAGCTAACTTAGGTAGCTGTTTTCCAGTGTCTCTCGGGCTAGCTTAGAAAATATATAAAATTTGTTTCCCTCCTTTTCAAATATTTATTCCAATCATTTAATCTTGTCATAATACTTTCCAACCAACGCTAAATAATGATGGTGGTAGAGAGGGAATCCCTGTTAATTCCTAATTTTGATAGAGATATCTCTGGAGTATTTTCATTTACAATAGTGCCTGTAAGTGGCATCAGCTAACAGCCTTTATTATATTTAAATAACTGCCTCCCTTTCTAGGTGCATTTTCATTAGGAATGACTTAAAATTTTATCTAACCTACCACTATGATTACATGACTTCTGTCCTGTAATGTGGTTGACAGAATCAATTATGTTGACAGATTTCCTGATAATAAATCACGATTACATTTCTGTAATAAACCCTGCTGACAACAGTCTAATACTCTTTTCATATACTGGCAGGTTCAATTTGCTAGTATTTTACTTTTGAATTTATATTAATAGCTGAGATTAAACTACTGCTTTCTTTACTGAACTGTTACCTCTCCTTTTCACCTTCCCTTATATAAAGGTCTCTATCTGATTCATATGTTGTCTCTATAGTTTTCTTCAGATAGGATACACCAGTATGTTTTTTCAGCTTGACAGGTGAAGAGTCTCTTGTCAGAGAGTAGGATTCTTGAGTTGTAGTCCCTTTTTGTCCACGAATGGATGTCATTTCACTTCTACTTTTTTAGGTTTTAAGTAAGACTGTCTGATGTCAGTTTGTTTTTTTTCTTTATATGTAACTTGTTCTTCCAACCTGGAAGCTTAGAGGATTTTTACTTTTTCCTCGGAATCCAGGAACTGTATCAGTCTATACACAGGGGAGAAGGGGTGTGTACTTTGTCTCCGTGCCTCCTGGCTGGGCAACAGTCAGCTATTTTGATCTGTGGTCTTGAGTCTTTCTTCATTAAAGATTCCCCTTTATTATTTGTTGAATTACTGCCTCTCCACTTTTTTTTTTTTCTCCTTTAGAACTCCTTGTATATCAGATCTCCAAGATTTGTCCTTAAGCCTCTAATCATTTCCCTCTTTATTTTATCTCTTAGTACTTTTTGCTCTGTGTAATGACATAGTTCTTCCCTTTAATTTTCTAGGCCAGTAATTTGGAACTTAATAGCATTTGTCCTCCTTTTCAAATAATCTAAACATTAAATGTGAAAATCATTTTTTCTAGTTCTCAAGAATTTACGTTATAATTCAATCTGCTTTTTAAAAATAATTCAATCTGCTTAAGTATTCTTATCATTTTGCTCAAGTGAGTATTTCCTTCAGTAATTCTGTTTTTACTAGATTTTACCTGTTCTAGTGGTCTGCTTCCATGACTTCTCTCTGGCTGCTGGTCCCTTTTATGTGCACTGTTATGTTTACTGGGTTAGCCCCAACTCTTATCTACCCTTCAGGCTGGACCTGACTGCTGGGCAGCTTTAATGGCAGCACGCTGGCAGTGCTTGGGAGCCTCATGCCCATGGTGAAGCAGTGGTCTGGCTGGCAAGCTGTCAGCCTCCCATCAAGACAATGAAGAAGGAAGCCTCTCGACCCCTCAGGCTCCTCAGCTGCAAAGGTAAATGCTTTACCGTGTTCAGAGTAGGTAGGATGCCGCCTCTTTTTTCAGTGACACCCTTTCCCGTTAGTACTTTGAAGTGGCAAAAGACTGCTCCTCTTGGAAGGGAGGGAAGCGCCCTCCCCGTGGAAGGAGGGGTTGCATGGATCTCCTCCAACCAAGTTTTCTCTAAGAACCACAGGGCTCTGATTTTTGCTCACTCTCTGAAAGAGCCAGCAGAACCTAAAGCCTTGCTGCTTATCTCTCTAGATCACAACGGCTGCTCTGTTAATAACAAATTAGTTCCCAATATATTGTCAAATTATTCTCTGTGATATCCTATCTGGATTCAACTTCCCTTTCTTTCTCTAAGGCCATCATTCAAGTTAGGACTTCATCATCTCATGTATAGGTTCCTGATTTCTTTGTTGGTCTCTCAGACTCTCAAGCCACTCTCATTCAATCTGCATGAAACTTACCGGAAAAAGAGCCCTGTTGGTTACTTTGGACTACTACATAAAAAGCAATAAAAGGTATGATTGCCAAGAGTAATATGTAAGATGATATAAATGGTAGTACTATTTCTTATTTAATTAACAGCAAACATAGCTCTGAAGAAAATAAAGAATGTTATTCTAACAAGAACATTTATATAAATGAAATTAAGCTTCTAACTGCTGTTACTGAATCATGTGAAAAGTGCTGAATGGATTCTAATCAAAATTAAAATATATATTATGCAGCATACACAAAATTCTCTTTAGGGAGCCCCAGTAGTGAGGGGAAAAAAAAAAAACTCAGTCATCTTCCAAAAGAGCTAAGACTGTGAAGAGAAGCATGCTATAATTTTTAAGATGCTATAAAAAGAGGGAAAAAAAAAAACCCCATGGTTTTACATGAGTCCCAATTTAAAAATATCAAGGGCTAGATTTCCAAAGTTAAGGTACTACTGTTGATTTGTTTCTCTTTGGGACACTTTAATAGTAATCCTCCAGGGAAAATAGAAGATTTAATGAAAGTCAGTAATACTTCAGAGTAACACTGGCCAGGCCAGCTGATATAACAACAGCAACAACGACATATGATGGTCATTATTATAAGGGGGTTATCTCCTGTCTTTCTCAGCACAAGTGGCTGACAGAGCTGGAAGAAACAGTATTTCTAGTTGTGTCTCCAATACAGGGAAACAGCTCAGCCACAGTACCCTGGAGACCTTCCATGTACCTACACAGGCCACACTGGGAAGGACTGAACCGTCGCTGAATCTAAGTCTTGGCGGAAGGCCTTATGATTTTCCTCTCTTTCCCCTGAAAGGCTGTCATGAGAGAACTTCTCATCTCCTCCTGGGCTCTGATGAAAACATAAGACCAGTTCGCCTCACCCCCTGAGGGTACATCTCCATTCTCGACTGTGGCTTAGCTACAGCACAGCATTGACTCCTAGGCTACAGGGTGCCCCACCACTCATGATGCAACTATCATCTGGCTATCAGCGTCGCCCTTGTGGTGAGTGGAATAAGGGACACAGGGAGCTGGCACCTTTGGCTACCCTTCCTTTCTCTGACTTCATTAAATAATAAACTCTGAATCTAAAATGGGCCACATCTGTCAGGGCTTATCTTGCCTAATGCGAGACATCCATTTTATCTCAATATTCATTAGTGAGCAAGAAGAGTGGGGGAAGGAAGAAACAAAAAGGTTCAGGACTGGGTGGAACCCAGAAGTCAGTATACTAATAGTCTCATCCAATTTCCCAAGACAAGAATGAGGACCATCTAGACTATATGCTTCTACTCCTCTCTAATACCATCAAAAGAGGAAATGGGTCTGGTAGAGTGTAGCCAAATTATGGGTCTGTAAACCAAGTCATATGTCTGATAACTCAAGTACCCAGCAAGGCAAGAAGTCATGCTCAACTCATAAAGTCTGAATTTGAACTGAAGCTTAAAAGATAATTAGCACATAATTTGTAAAATCTTACTCTGCATGCAATAATATGTATCTTTCTATATAAAGACCTTCTAAAGATTACCATCATTGGTACATTACCATCATGTGAAACAAAGTTAAATGAAGATTTAGCATGCTACTTCTGGAAGACTGTCAACATGTGCAAAAAACATAGAAACAGCTCAAATTTGGAACAGTATAACTGGCTGTACTATATCTTTTAAGACAGCAACTTAAGTCCCATTGTGCTGGCCTATTTGTCATATCCTATTTCCTTCCCCAGTTCTCTCATCTTCTCTTCTTGCTTCACCCTGACTCTATATTACTTTTCCTATTGTTACTACAATTTGGAATGCTTTCCAATCTTCCCCCCATCGACCTCCATTCCTACTTCCTTTAAGACAGAGTAAACATTCTTTCCTCTAAGAAATCATGGCTATTCCTATCCCACAAAGAGAACAAACGCAACATAAATTAGTGGTCTAGCTCAGCACTTCTCAGACTTTAATGTGCATATATTCGTATTAAAACATCGGGAATCTTGCTAATATGCAAACTGAAAAACAATGCGTACTGATTCAGTTGGTATAAGGTGGGGCCCAAGAGTCTGCATTTCTAATAAGCTCCCAGATGATGCGGATGCTGCCTGTCCATGGTTCACATTCTGCATAGCAAGGACTTAGCTCATTTGATTTTGCTACATATTATTTTGACTCTGCATATATTAGTTCGGTTCTGCTATCAGGTCTTTTACCTTTGTGTGTGCACCTTAAAGTGGAGCTCCCACTAACAGATGGTCTTAAAGCCCTCTTGAACAAATGTGAATGTGCATTCTTGGCAAGTATTTTTATACTGAAGCATGAGAAAAGAGAGCAAATAGATCAGAATGTCAATCTTTCCCTTGAAGTAAAAGAAAAGCTGAATTGTATATCTGGAACCATAATTCTTCAGAATAAAGGGGTTTCAAAAATACAAATACACCAGGATTTCTAGGCTCAGGCAGACATGGCCATATGCTGGCTGAGTGCCCTCTAAGACCCTGCTACTCAAACTGTAGTCCACAGACTACACTGTCAATGCTGGTCAACAACGCATGGGAGAACTCGTTAGAAATGCAGGCTATCAGGTCCCTCCTCAGACTGACGGAATCAGACTCTGACTTTAAGCAAGATTCCCAAGGAGATTTGTATGAAACATTATCAAGTTCAAGACGCACTGCCCTAGCACACTCAAAATAACCAGCTGAATGATAATAATAAAGGTTATTATAAAGGGATAATAAAGGTTAGTTTCTTTCCATTTACTCATATGACAAAAAGCATTTTGTTGGAGCAACTACGTTAATAAGAAGTTCAGAGTTACCCCGAGGGCCTCTCTCAAAATGGTCACTATCTCCTTAAATCCTCTCTAGTGGCACCAAGAGTGACCATGGAGAAGGCATCGTAGTTGTATTTTCATTCATTTGAATGGTTTCAGATCACTAATCTACTAAGTAATCAGCTCCTCCCAAACCTAAATAACTGAAAAATTATTTCAAGGATGATAATGTGTATGCTGAGAAAAATGTTACCCCTGTTCATGATTGCTTGTTTAACCATGAAATCAGATTCTTTACATGGGAGTAGGAGTAGCAGCCCAGGACCTTAGGAAACATGAGGTACTGAAATGAGAAAAACCGTACATGTATTCTTTTTCACATCCATAGTTTTCATCAGATTTTTCAAGGGTTCCATTATCTAAAGATGGCTGAGATGAATGCTGCCAAAGCTTACAAGTGGATTTTAACTGCAGAGTGTCCCAGGACCTTTACTACACTTATAATGTACTGTGAGCTTCCAAGAGAGGAAGTTAGTAGGTGCAGTGAGTTTTCACAATTTTCTGATTATAAGCCTAGAATATTTTGCTCTTAAGCACCAAATACTATCTCCTTGAACGCAGAACGACCTTTCAAGGCCACAGCCAAAAAGTGTCCCTTGCAAACTGGAAGGAGCATCCTTTAACTATAATATTCCAGATTTTAGCTAGTAAATCAATTTTTAACCAGTGTTAGACTTCACTAAGTTCTTCAAAAATCATAAAAAAATCTATTTTTTAAAGAAGTGGCATTCAGTGAACACTATAAAGAGAACTTTGATATTATACTCAATGACAAGATTCAATAAAATATGGATTAATGTTTTCTCCTATTAACTAAGGTTCAGTTCCTGAAGGACTAAGAGCAAACTTGTTCTAAAAGTGACTTCACCTACATGATATCCAAAGACTGCAGTGTAGTCACAGGCCTGCATTTCTTTAAATGAATCCATCGCGGATCTAGCCAGAAGTCACCAACGAGGTCTTGCACATAATATTAAACAAGAGAACAGTAAAAGTTCCGAGCTCATAGGAACCACATACGTAGTAAGAAGTTTTAAGAAGCACAAAAAAGAATAAATGCCATGTTTTAAAATAGCTACACCATTAAACCCTATTTGATAAATTTTATTTAAAAAGTTCTCAAAGGTAACTGAAAATGACTTTGCTCAGGTGGGTCTACAACAGTGCCTCCTCAACAGCCACACCGAAATGATACACGCCAACCTGTGAGAGTAAGCATACCAACATTTATGCTGATCAAGTCAACAAATTTCAGTACTTACCAATATTTTTAACTCTGCTTTTCAGCTGAGTAGAATGCCTCTTCTTACTCTTTGATTTGGGAGTTTTATCTTTAGATGCCAGGCTGGCCTGTGCAGATGCTTTTCTTGACTTGAATGTTTTAGTTACTGTTGTTGGATCTACTGGGTCAGGCATACTGCTAAAGCTTTCTAACGACTCTTCATCAAATTGGCGTCTTCTCCTACTGGTATCTAATTGATTTTTGTGATTACTATTTGTTGTTTTCTTTACAGACACTGCACATCCAGTCTTGAGAAATGGTTTTTCTACTTCACCTTCTTGGTCATATAACCATGGTGTCCTACTGTTCTCCACCTCCTCTTCGGGCTGTTTTTGATTCCTTACCAATGAAAATAAGTTTTTATATATTACAATGATATATTTCTATATCTACTGAAAACTCCAGATATAGTCTACTAGTAGATTCAGGTAAATAAAAATTGTCAACAGGCTATAAAAATATTCCCACAAAATACACATTAAAAATGAAAATGTTACACAGGCTAAGGTACTAAATTACTTTAAACTTTAATCTTAGACCTTTCTCACTAAACCATTTTCACTAGTGAGACTTCCAAACCAAAGGTCCAGCATTCATGATGGAAAGAGTGGGAAGGTAAGATCAAGGGAGGATGGGACATACAAGGAAAAAACAAAAAACTTAAAGAAACAACTGAAAGAGAACCACAGTAAAAAGTTTGGAAACGTACATGGATCTGTGTCACCTAAAGCAGTTCAAATATAACCAGAATCTGGCGAAAACAACTGGCCATGTAACTAGTAATTTATTTCTCTGCACATTAAGTCTTATTTAGCTCTGTTAGCTTAGTGTCATTTTCCAAATTTTATCTGCTAAACTTTGGCATCCCTTAATATATTAATAGGTATTCACTGGTTATCTAAATCTGGGAAAAAATACGCAAAACAAAGTTAAACAGGTCTGCGGTACTTCTCAGAACTTTCAATATGCCAATGTGTTTTATAAATGTCTTCGAAGGGAACATAGTGAACATGCTGTCTGAAACTTTTTATTACAGAACCTGACATGGACAACAGAGTTCCTAAGAGTATAATTTGGGAGACATTGATCTATAGGGATTAATTCAAGACAAAGATTAACAAACCTACAGTTTACATGCCAAATTCAGCTTGCTGCCTGTTTTTTTGTATGGCCTGAGAGCTATGAATGATCTTTATATTCTTAAATCGTTGAACAAAAATTAAAAGGAGAAATATAGTTTATGAGACATGAAAATTACATAAAATTCAAATTTCACTGTCCATAAATCAAGTGTTCTTGGAACACAGCAACTTATCTGTTTACATATTGTTTATAAATGCTTCTGTGCAAAAATGGCAGAGATAAATGGTTATGACAGACACTATGGCCTGCAATATTTACTACGTAGTCCTTTATAGGAAAAGTTTTCTGACCCGAGCTAACAACTACAATGTTTTATCTGACCTCTTTGTTATCTCCAGCCATTTAATTCAGGGAACCTATAATAGCTGAAATTTTGGAAAGAGATGAGGTCCAATCTGAAGTAGGTCTAATATCTAAAATAATAATACTCAGATGCATCTTTTTTTTTTTTTTTTTACTACCAATTACATATAAACTATAGATAATAATGAAGTAGGGACCTTCCAATAGGAAGACCATTCACTAAAGCTTTGAATAAATTTTTATTGCTTGTGATGGAGATTCATTCAACCACCATTTCTCAATGTCAATTGAACACTAAACACTGTTTTAGGCTCTGACAATAGAATACTTTCACAGAGTAACACAAGATTTAGTAGGAAAAAAAGGTTAGTGCAGATAAGAAAAGGAGTCAGGCAAGGTCAGGGAGGTCTACCACAGGATTCCTGGAGGTGAACACCAAGTTGAATTCTAAGAATTTTTGGTTAATTAAGTAAAGAACAAAACCAAAATGTTCATGATTTAACAATTAAACTGTCAAAATGCTAATTTAAGAGGCTGAGACATGCCCACACACCTAACTAAAGGGAGAAGTAATGTGACCTATATATTTATAAAGGGATAGGAAAAACAAAATCATAGAGATACTTCTGACAGAACAAGTATTAGGCTCAACTGACCTCTGATTTTTCCTCCTTTTAAAAAGTTTTTCTGAAGTAAATAACAACAATAAAAAGGCTATAATCGTTTTACCAGCAGGCTATCAAAATCATTTTCTGGATTAAAACAATCATTAAAAACATTATTTATCAAGTCATAAAAATGCTTTAAAGAATGATTAACCTGAGCCAATCCAATGAGTCTTTCACACACTATTTGGGTCAAAATTATAATTGGGAAGATTATCATATTAAAAAATAATAAATGTGGGCTTCCCTGGTGGCGCAGTGGTTGAGAGTCCGCCTGCCGATGCAGGGGACGTGGGTTCGTGCCCCGGTCTGGGAGGATCCCACGTGCTGCAGAGCGGCTGGGCCCGTGGGCCATGGCCGCTAAGCCTGTGCGTCCGGAGCCTGTGCTCCGCAGCGGGAGAGGCCACAACAGTGAGAGGCCCGCGTACCGCAAAAAATAATAATAATAATAATAATAAATGTTAGAAACAGAGAGAAAAAGGAATCCTGACTATGTATTGCTAAAACTTCCTTGACAAAAGTTGTTTTTATAACCTAATAGTACTCAATATTACATTTGGATGGGCCTTAGGAACTTACTCTAATCAGGGGCCATGAATCAAACAAAGGAGCCATCACTTTGTAACAACTATCCTCCAGCAGTTAATATTAGTTTCTATTTCTACATCAATGAACAGTGAACTGGTATAACCTTAAAGACAGATATCAAATCAAGGCCAAAGACACTCTATGGGTTAGGTCATATCCTTCCAAAATGAACCTCACGGGACACCCTGATCAAAACTCTGAACTGCTCTTGTACAAGGGTTAGCAGCAGGTATACACCTGAGTGACACCTGGCAAGATGTCAAAACTTCATATTCCCAACACTATCAAGTCAGACAATCACAAACATCCTCCCTAATTACATTCTCAAATTACAGAAAATTAGATGTAATCACAAAGTGATGTTTAAGCAAATAATGGATTATGTTTACAATCAAGTACCTTTGTTTTTCTGCTCCAACAGAAGAACTACTTTCAAAAGGTTTTGGAAAAGCCATGTATTCTGTTCTCCCTGAAAGATTCTGGGCTAATGGTTGCTGCTGTTCAGTGGGTGCAGAAATATTTTGAGAAAAATCTCCAAAATTAGAAGGAAATAAAGGGCTGAAATTCATACCTAATAAATAAAAACAATGGGTAAGACAACAATAAAGAAGCACCTTTAGCCTTAAAATGAAATTAAAAAATAGTTTTAATTAAATATGCCATTCAAATCCACCAAAAGAAAAATTTGTGATTAAAATAAAGTAACACTCATTTACTCAATCACTGTTTTACAACTCAGTCTGCTATGTTTTCAGCATTGGTGATTCAAAGATAAATACTGATCCCCAACCCCTTAAGACCTAAAAGTTAGCAAAAATAATGCTTGATATTTATCAGAGTATTACTGGGTACAAGACTCCACTGTAGGCACGTTACATGTTACTTCATTTAATGCTCAAAACAACACTGTGAAATAGGTATTATATTCATTTTACTAGTGAGAAAATAGGTTTAGAGATCAAATGCCTAGTAAATGAAAGAGCAGGTTAGATCTCGGGTCTGCATGGCTCCAAAGCTTAGGTTCTTTACACTCTACATGGGAAGTAAAATATAATCACATACTTAATATATATTGCTGTATCAGAGGTATTTACAAATGGCTACTTAAAACTTGTGGGAGAAGGGGATCAGGGAGGGTTTCACAAAACTGAACTAGATTGACTGTGAAGAATGAACAGTCTTCGTACAGGGTTGGCATGGGTATAAGGCATATTATGACAAAAAGGAACTGCATGTGCAATTTCTTACATTATTTGTTTCTTAAATGCCTACTCAAACAACGCCTGCTGGGACTTCCCTGGAGGCACAGTGGTTAAGAATCTGCTTGCCAATGCAGGGGACACAGGTTCGAGCCCCGGTCTGAGAAGATCCCACATGCCGCGGAGCAACTAAGCCCGTGTGCTGCAACTACTGAGTCTGCGCTCTAGAGCCCATGAGCCACAACTACTGAGCCCGTGTGCCAAAAGTACTGAAGCCTGCATGCCTAGAGCCTGTGCTGCACCACAAGAGAAGCCACCACAATGAGAAGCCTGTGCACTGCAACAAAGAGCAGCCCCCGCTCGCCGCAACTAGAGAAAGCCTGCAAGCTGTAACGAAGACCCAATACAGGCAATAAATTAATTAATTAATTAATTTTTTAAAAAGTCTGCTGCCAATATTAATCCACACCTAAGAACTAAAAACCTTGTTAAGTTGTTTAACGGCCATTGCTTTTATAATCCTGTTAAGAAAATACGCTGTATCTGTGGATATTTATATTCACAAAGCCCTCCCAACCCTTTTCCTCTTCCTATATTCTCTGGCAAACACCTTCAATTCCTCTCCCTTCATGACTCACCTCACCTAACTGATCATTCTACCTCCAGAATGTCTTTAAAATTACTCCTTTTTCTTTACCGCTACTGCCGATGCCTTAGGTCAAGCTGTCATTCCTTCCCTGCTATTACTGCAATTGCCTTCCAGTCACCATCTATACCCTTAGCACCTTCCCTCCAATCTCAATCAACACTATCACTAGTGTAATCTTTTTAAAATATAAACCTCATGCTATTCCTCTGCTCAAAATCCTCCAATGGCCCCTCTAGTAAGCAGCAGAAAGTCTAAGCTTCTTTGCACAGCACAAAGGCCTCCACTGCTCACCAGCCACATCAACTACTACTTCCCCTGTCATGGCCCTAAACACTAGCCATACTTCATGACCTCTAAATTCCCTAAGTAATATACTGTTCCACTGCTTTGTAACTCTAAGTGGTTCCATTAATCAGAAAGTCCTTTCCCTTCTAATCTCCCTGGAAAAAAATTATATTCATTCTTTAGCTTTAATATCACTTTCTCTAGGAAAAAAGAGATTTGCTGATAATCTCTTGCCCCAAGGAAAAGCAGGTCATTCACCTCATCTGCACCACTGCTACAGCACCCATGGCAAAGCACTAAGCATTTATTAACATTCTTGGCTTCTTCGCTAGACTCTAAATTCCTTAAAGCATCAGGCTTAACATCTTTGAATCCCAGTCATTTATATAGTGCCTGGCACATGACAGGTACAGAAAAAGTCTCAATAAAAGCCTAAACTAAGTAAAAGTAAATATAAGCCTAAGCCAAACACCTTTACTCTAGTGGTATATATCTCCCTACCAAGACACAAAGCTCCTCTACAAGAGCGTTGCCTTATTCACCTCTTCTCTCCTAATATTTTACACAGTGCCTGATGTACAGCAGCCAATAGACAGGTTAATTCCCTTTCTCCTTGATAAATACTTGTTGAATAATTCAAAGGTAAAAGACTAAGCAATCATTCATAATTTACTTAATTTCATTAGCAACCACATTCAGTTTAAGAGTTCACTATAAAGAATCAATGTAGAAAAGAGTTTATAACTTTCTTTGCCAACATTTCCTACCACTCCAAAAGGGACTGATAAAAATCCATGCAACAGACAAATGTTATTCTCAAACACTCTGCATTTATTTATTTTCATTTAAGTTTTTTCATTTAAGTTTTCAGCCACTTACCTGGTGCAAATGATGAAAAATTAGTAAACCCCGGTAGGTTGAACAGATTTACAGGCTGTGCTGGAAAGCTGAAAGGACAAAATAAACTGGGAGAAGGAGGGTGTGATGCACTACTGACTCTTTCCTTGCTTCCAGGTTTTTCTGGATGATTTTGTTGGCGCATAAGTTCGTTTAGCATTTGCTTCAACCTGTAAAAATTTAAGGAGTCAGTAATTTAAAGATCAGTTGTATTACCATCTATGTAAAGTACATCCAGAAAGAATATATGTAAGACATGATTCAACAGTATGTGGAACAAACTGACTGCTCTGATGTTTACAACAAATATCTGCTTGTCCTGCATGCTTAGTTCAGTAACTTCGCCTTTGCAAGAAGAACTGTGCTTATTAGCACTTCTAACAGATAGTAGGCATAATTACAACTCATTGTTTATATTGTTTACAGCTTTACTGAGGTATGATTTACACACCATACAACCTACCTAAGGTAAGTGTAAAGTTGAGTACTATAAAATTTTTTTTTAAAGTCAGGTCTACGGTATTAAAAAGGAACATTGAGCAATATCTCTGCTTATAAAATTCCCAAGTGTCAGAATATTCAAAAATGATATTTGGTTCAGGCCCTTTTCTCCCAGAAGGTAACTGTAAAACTCTTGCTCAGTTTTAGCACTTACTATACACTCTCACTACTTCTAAGAAACAGATTACCTTTGTACATTATTCTGTTGCCATGTTAGCTGGGTATAGCACTGGTTCAACTGGTGCATTATAAGGTGTACTTGAGGAGATGCAACATTGCTGGGCATAACACTGTAAGGGCCCGTGAGAAGAGTTTGTAGCAGACAAGACAGAGTCTGTGGAAAGAAAATTTTCAGAATAGTTGCTGATGACATGAGAAAAACGTGTACTGCTTCAAAAACAAGATAAAAAAATTCTACTTTACCTGCTGGTCTTGCATCAAAGTCTGACAAATATTGACACTGAAATCAAGTTGTTTCTTTAGCTGATTGATTTGTTCTTGCCACTGTTCTTTCTCTTCTACATAAGAGAGTTCTGACACCCAACGAAGGTTTTCCTGACGCTGCATGCTGATATTCTGTTGTCTTGTCCTGGCTAAAGGACGATAATTTCCATCTGCTGAAAAAGGGCGATTGTTCTTCCACCTAACACAAGATTTAAAGCATTAGGTCATCTTATGTAATTATTTGGTTTTTAAAATCTGGCAATAAACCTTGATACCCTGGGTCCATACGTCTGTATTCTCTTCACAGGACTTAAAATGTATGGAAAATAGAATGAGAAAAATTCTGGATTTCTAGTCTTGTACACTATCATTTTTCATTCCTTTCGAACCTTTTTTCATTTATGTTTTACCGAGAAGTGTCTATATAATTCTGTATTCTTCAAAATGAAAACAGTTATGGGACTTCCCTGGTGGCACAGTGGTTAAGACTCCACACTCCCAATGCAGGGGGCCTGGTTCGATCACTGGTCAGGGAACTAGGCCCCACATGCATGCAGCAACTAAGAGTTCACATGCCACAACTAAGGGGCCCACGTACCGCAACTAAGGAGCTGGCGAGCTGCAACTAAGGAGCCCACCTGCCGCAATTAAGACCCAGTGCAACCAAATAAATAAATATTAAAAATAGGGAGGGCTTCCCTGGTGGCGCAGTGGTTGAGAGTCCGCCTGCCGATGCAAGGGACACGGGTTCGTGCCCCGATCCGGGGAGATCCCACATGCCACGGAGCGGCTGGGCCCGTGAGCCATGGCCGCTGAGCCTGCGCGTCCAGAGCCTGTGCTCCGCAACGGGAGAGGCCACAACAGTGAGAGGCCCGCGTACCGCAAAAAAAAAAAAAATAAAGTGAGGCACTCTTGTGGGACTGAGCCTCTTAACCTATGGGCTCTGCTCTGACTCCAAGTAGTTAGTGGTGGAATTAAATTACATTGTAGGACACACAGTTGGTTCAGAGAACTGAAGAACTGCTTGGAGTCAGAAAGACCTGAGACTCTTAAAATCAAGCAAAAAATTAAAACAGCAAAACTAACCTATTTTTAGTTTCCTTTACATTATAGGAGTTATGATTTGCATGGCTAGGAGGACACACGGAAAAGCTAACCTCTTTTTAGTTTCCTTTACATTATAGGAGTTATGATTTGCGCTGCTAGGAGGACACACGGAAAAGCTAACCTATTTTAGTTTCCTTTACATGATAGGAGTTATGATTTGCGCTGCTAGGAGGACACACGGAAAAGCTAACCTATTTTTAGTTTCCTTTACATTATAGGAGTTATGATTTGCGCTGCTAGGAGGACACACGGAAAAGCTATCATGGGAGCCGGCGTCTTGCTCCTCCTCCTCCTCGTCTTCATCTGTCCGAACTGCTTCAGAAAGGTAACCATCTTCATCTCCTTCTTCATCTAGTGCACACTGGGTAGAACCTCCCCAAGTTGCCATTGTTCTAGAGATTAAGAGACAAAACACATGAGATCATTCTGGAGATGAGCTAAATACTTTACCGCCTATTATGTACCAGACACTGTACCAAAAAAAAAAAAAATATATATATATATATATATATATATATCACTGCACCAAAAAAGTGTATGTATATATGTATATATATATATATGTATATGTATATGCATATGTGTGTATATAAAATTTCATTTAGTCATAGTAACTATGAGATGGGTGGTACTCTCCAACTGCTGTTATAATCTGTTTACGCTACCTTCCAGAAAACAATTCTTCATATAAATTAAACTAGTAATCATATCCCCTGGAACTTATTCCTAAACTAAACCCCTCTCAACTTTCAACTTTTCCTTGAGTCACAGTTTTCTAGATTAGAGTTATCCAGTAGAACTTTCTGCAATAGTAGTAATAATCCATATCTGTGCTGTCCAATAGAGTAGCCATTAAATACACATAACCAATGAGCACCTAAAATGTGGCTGGTGTGACAGAGAAAATGAATTTTTAATTTTATTTAACTTTAAATAGCCACCTATATTTAGTGGCTGCCGTACTGGAAAGCACAATTCTAGACCCATGGTTCTCAAACCTAGATGTTTAACAAAACAATATAAAGAACTTTTTTAAAGTATAGATGTGTGGTACACAGAACACAATAAAATATTGAAGATATAGTTTGATCAATAAAATTCATATTGGCACTCCAAGAACAGGAATAGTTCTTTTATGAGTACGAAAGAGAGTAAGGTTTAGTGCAATGTTACAGAAATGCCATCTGATACCAAAAAATTAGGTCATAACAAATTTGGATTTCAAAATTTTAGATCTGAATACTACTATAAAGATAAGTAATTAACTGATCTTACAAATGACCAATTCTTTTAGAAATATTCTAAATATGGAAATTTCAAACATAAATCCTAAAAACTGAATGTTTTATACAATAAAATGTTTTCAAATTCTTAGGAAATTTACAAATAGCAGACACTCAATTTAAGTTAAAAAAAACCCACTTATTTCTGGCCTGATAGAAAAGCACTACAAAGTATCAAGCATTTTCTTTTTTATAAACTTTAAACTTAACTAAGAAAATAAGGCTTATATACTCAAGAAAATCTGTATCACCATTTGAGCAAGTATCTTGGTAATTTTTGTAAATTTTTTAAAAAGAGAGAAAGCTGATGCTGTGAGAAGTTAGAACAGAAAGTAGCTGGATTTAGTCAAACTGAGTCACAAAGGTGATGCTTAAAACACAAGTCTCACTGCAACAGCAGATTTGTGCTATGATGCAGAGGGGAAATGAGGCTGCCTACCCTATAGGCCGTAAATAGGTGATATTTTAAAAAATGATTTAAACAGCTCTCTTACTTTTCTGTTCTACTCTGTTGAGGCGTACACAGGTTCTCAGACCCATCACTTCTCAGTGAAACAGCCACTGGAGATGTAGTTTCAGCCAGACCTTGCCTCCTCTGATGTTCAGCCATCAAAGCTTCAAGCTGCTTTCTTCTCTGTCGCAGCTCTTCCCTTAACATTTCGTGTCTTCGCATTTCTGACCACAACTGTTATTTTAAAAATTAAGGCAAGTTGGTGTAAATATCGGGACTTGTTTTAGCCTTAAAGAAAAACAGCCTAATACTGTTGTCAATACCAACAAATATTTCTATTCTCACTCTATCCTTTTTACACTGAGACACCCAAGAAGGCCAAAATGATATTTTAGTAATAAGAAAAAATTAGGCAATCATTAATTCTTTATGAAAACAGGTAGCACCCAAGTATACTTTATCAACTATTAGAAGAAAGTTACAATGTTTTCTATAAATCCCATATAAATAAAATGCCAAAGGACAGGTTTTTCTAATTGAAATGATTACTATTTACTATAACTAACCCTTACATATAATTCTGCCAAATATTTGCTAATAAAGGGCAAGGCTATTTTGAAAATATACAAACTTAATTACTTTTTGGAAAAAATTATTTCTTCCCACAACTAAAAGACACATGATAGGCTACATTTAAAAACATGTTTCACAGATATTCAGTTTTCTTCCTTAAGACTCAGGAACAAGGTACAACATACCTCATTATCTACCACTGAAGGATCATCAGGTTCAAAAGCAGATCTGCTTGTACTGGCTTCATTTTCATTAACAGTTGGGGTTGAAGTAACAGCTGGCATATATTTTTTTGTGGGACAATTACCTGCACTAGTGGCTGACAGCTAAAAAAGAATTAAAACTATTATGAGGAATTAAAGCAATTATATGTTAATTTCGTAAAAACAATTATTTCACTGCTTCTCTAGGGCTCTAGTATCATATTTAATTTATTACCACCAGATTTCAATTGCCATCATGATCTAAAGAAAATCTGACATAAGCAAACAAAGATGAAAACACACACTAAAGTTGAACAGTAGTAACCAACCCTCCGAAACAACAGAGACATGAGGGATAAAATGTTACTGTGGAAAATTTCACATACTCAACCCAACTCCGACATATATTCCTCTGCACATTAGTTAGATTGGGAATGAGAAAAAAAGGATTAGATAAAGTAGAAAAGGTAAGTGTCTAGAAAATAAAGTTATATTAGGAATATCACTTGATATGTTTCCCTTTCTTTGAAAACAAAACCTGACTGAAGAATAGAGCTAACCAATAAAGTGTAGGAAAAATCTCAAAAAAGAATTGATATTCCCCTCCCATATTAACCCTCCTCCTGATTACCTGACATGGTCAAAGACTGCACATTCTCTGTTCAACTCAAAAACCCATGCATAGGGTACTATTTAATAAGCATATATACATTTAATATTCAAACTACAAAAACAATATTTTAATTTCCCTAAAAAACTCATGATGGCTTAACAGCTTTATTATGTAATTTTAGGCCAGTAAAAAATGGAAATGTTAGTCCCTTAACTGCCAACTTCAAACCAGAATATTTTAATATAATACATACTTATAAATACTCATGTTCTGAATCCACAGCCAGCCGGCCCAACAAGTGAAAGAATGGGAATAATTAGAGTCAATTCCTATGTGCTACCTTTCACAGTATAAATGTACATCCTTAACACATTTCATTTGTCCATCCATTACATTAATCATAAAATTAAGATATAAATCTATCAAATTAGCACTAAAAAAGGACAAAGAGTACTTTCAGTTGACATTAAGATTTTAAATATCTTTCTTCAGACAAACAGAAAGAAAGAAATTTCCTAATTACCTGTAGGTCAGGACATGCCTTTTGCAATGCTTGAATTTTCTCTTGAATCTCAATCAGTTTCTTTCTTTCTTCCTGCAATTGTTTGAGCTCTCTCTGTTGCTGCTGTAGTTTAGCCTCATAAAATTTCTCTCTATAATTAAATTGACATTATATTTGTGGACTCCAGTAAATCTGATAATAGCATTAAGCACGATGTAATACAGTACCTAGCGGAGTACCTTCTCTCTAATAGGCACTAAACTTTTATGACCTGAAAGCCAGAAGCTTAACATACCTTGCCTTTTCATTTACTCCAGCATCTTTCTGTGTTTTATTGCTATTTCCTCTAGTGTTATTTGCATTTTGTTTGGTGTCTTCTTCTGCTGGGTAGAAATCATCCAAATTTGAGGTATTGGCAGAGATAACTCCTTGATCTGCTGTATCATCATCCTAAAACAGCATCATTATATTAAAACAATCTTGATATCTAAAGACATTATCCAATTCATACCTTAGTAAATAGAACTAGGTTGTAAAATTAACATAAAATTTAAAGCAGTAGGGAAAGCATATGATTTTGAGCAATGAAATTCATCCTCTACCAATGGCAGGAAATAAAGTACTAAAACTAAAAACAGTACATTAATAATTTGAGTTGCCAATTACCCAGCAATGGCAAGTACTAGTTTGCCTTTTCTTTCCTTGACCAGATTCTAAAATCAAAGAAGAGCTTTCTAGAGAATATGAAAAAGATACAAAATATATCATTGGAGCTTGGAACTCTTGATATTAGATACTTTTTCTTCAGATATGACTTTTACATTAACAATTTAACAACCAATGTCTATTACCACTTGTTCACTTAAAAAGCTTTCCATTTCCTCACTTTGGTCTTTAGTTTGCCAAACAAGTACCAATGGCTCACAATACAAAAACGAATGAGAATGTACCACCTCAAATCTGTAACTACTGGAAAAACAACAAAAGTTCATATCTTCCTAACAGTAGATACGTATCTTCTGTTGAAATCAATGTGCTTATTAAAATGGAGGACTGGGCTGGCAGCGCACTGGTTAATAATCCGTCTGCCAATGCAGGGGACACGGGTTCAATCCCTGGTCCGGGAAGATCCCACATGCCACGCAGCAACTAAGCCCATGCACCACAACTACTGAGCCTGCGCTCTAGAGCCCGTGAGCCACAATTACTGAGCCCGCATGCCACAACTACTGAAGCCCGCGCACCTAAAGCCCGTGCTCTGCAACAAGAGAAGCCACCACGATGAGAAGCCAGCGCACTGCAATGAAGAGTAGCCCCCGCTCACCACAACTAGAAAAATCCTGCATGAAGCAACGAAGACCCGACGCAGCCAAAAATATATAAATTTATTTTTTAAAAATCTTATTAAAAAAAAATGGAGGATTGGAGGTAACCTATGACATTTTCTTAAAAACATTTAATATTGGGCTTCCCTGGTGGTGCAGCGGTTGAGAGTCCACCTGCCGATGCAGGGGACACGGGTTCGTGCCCCGGTCCGGGAGATCCCACATGCCGCAGAGCGGCTAGGCCCGTGAGCCATGGCCGCTGAGCCTGCGCGTCCGGAGCCTGTGCTCCGCAACGGGAGAAGCCACAACAGTGACAGGCCCATGTACCGCCAAAAAAAAAAAAAAAAAAAATTAATATTGTATACTTTATATTTACTCATGCTTTCTCTGCAGAAATCAACTGAAACTTTAACCTTTGGAAATAGAGAGTTAAAGCTAACTTTGATTGTAAAACTGTCTAATCGATTTTAAGCTTATAGACATGGTGTTATTCTGGTCTTCTCATCAATCTAAAAGCTAACCTGATTTATTACTAAAATGGTAAGATTAAAAAGAAACTGAGTTGGGACTCAAAAACAGAGAAGCTGGATCATGAGGCATTTTCCCACAATAAAAAAGTGGAAAAACCAAAGTATGAAAAAAAAAAACTACATAAAGTTTCAGATTGTCACATGAGAGTGTCTGAACTGAAATGATATAAACTCCGAAGCTAAAAGTAACTGACTAAAGAATTATTGTTTCAACACATGCTGCATCACAGACTAAGGAACCACATAAGGGCCATATAAATTGTCTAAGCTAATCTAATCAAGAAGAGTAATAATAGTTTTATACAATCATGATAACTATATAACTGTTTAAACCTTCTCCTGAGTCTCTTGGGAAAGGATACAAGTAAGGGCACAAGCAAAAGAAGACTACCCTTAATAAAATAAGTAAAATGTATCAATCTTAAACATATAAAAACTTGGGGAGTTTGGATCATTTTTTTTTAAATAGCTCTCAGAATGAGGACCCTTAATCCCTCTGTATTGCAGTTTTCTCATTTTTCATACATGTTATTTCAGGTCTTAGAACACTCACTAAAGCAAAAGAGCTGCATTCAACATAAGCCTGAAATTAAGCTGATTCATCTATAAGCCACCAAGTTATTCATCATTTCTGATCTATTATTCCCACTCGGGCAATACATCTGAGGAGAGGAGTCATAAAGAAAAAATGAGAAAGTAATTAGCAAGTACAATGATGTTCAAGATAGCACAACCTATATTATTATTTGCTTTAGAAGCTGTCTTAATTTTTTCAAATGGTACTACTGTCATACGATCAAAGTTCAAATAGTAAAAAAGATGTTTAGAAAAATCTCCTTTCTATCCCTTTCCCCAATTCCATTCTCCATAGGTAACCAGTGTTACCAGTTTAGGTATCTGTCTACAGATATACTTTGAATATATAAGCAAAAATATATACATGTGTACATAAACCTGTATGTGTTTGTTTGTATACATGTGTTTATGCTCCTTCTTCCCTTCAACACCCCTTCTTACAATAGGAAAACCTTAGAAAAAGCCAAAAGCCAATTCCAGTAATGGTTAAACAAGCTATATGGTATCTCAATAAAATAAAATGTAATCAAGGGTATAAGGAAATGGATTCATCCACCACTGCTTAGATATCAATTAATATAGTCATTCTGGAGAGCAATTAAGCAGTGTCCATTAAATTTAAAATGTGCAGGGCTTCCCTGGTGGCGCAGTGATTGAGAGTCCGCCTGCCGATGCAGGGGACACGGGTTCGTGCCCCGGTCCGGGAAGATCCCACATGCCATGAAGCGGCTGGGCCAATGAGCCATGGCCGCTGAGCCTGCGCGTCCGGAGCCTGTGCTCCGCAGCGGGAGTGGCCACAGCAGTGAGAGGCCCACGTACCGCAAAAAAAAAAAAAAAAAAAAAAAAGTGCATAAACTCTGACAAAGCAATTCCACTTCTTCATATCTGCTCTTGAAAAACACAAATGCATCACAAAGCTTGTGAAAGAATGTTCATTGGATTGTTGTTTCTAAATAGTGAAAAACTGGAAACAACAAAAGTAAACATCAATAGGATGTTAGATTAACTAAACTAAGGTCCACTGATAGTACAGAAAACTATATTGCAGCTAAAAAAGAACTGTATTTACTGTATATATATATATATATATATAAAACATGCACAGTAGCATCTGTGAAGGAGAATGGGATTATGAATGAAGGCTCAAAGGGAATTTACTAGTAGTGTTTCCTTTATTTAAAAATGGGAGCACATTCATCTTTCACTTGAGTTACTCAAAATAAGTAGCATTCCAAAAGAAGTTGTGAATAACAATTTAATCTTTTTCATTCACAAAAAAATTGTTTTTCTATACATTAGTGTGGTTAATTTTAATGTTCTATACTTCATTTTTTTCAACCTAACACAAGCTAAGCAAACCTAAATGAAGACAAATCACTCATTAATTTTACCAGAAGTTTTTTGGCTTCCAAAAATCATATAAATTTCAATACTTTAGGAAGTCTCTCTTAAAGATATTTTTATAGTGATTATGTTACTAAGAATATATATATATATATATATATATATATATATATATATATATAAAAAAACAGATGAAAAGGAATGATTTTAAAAAGTTCAATCATTCTTAGAAAGTTTTATACCTAGTCTAATAAACTGCAAAAAGCCTCTGGACCACATCAGTCAATATACAAGTGTGAATTGTTACATAATTTCACGTTCATACATTCAAATGGCTTTTTAAAATTTACAACTAATAGTTCCAACTTTACTTGTTTGGCCTTACTGAATAAGACAATATGGTTTTTCTTCTACATCAAGTGAGTTAAGATCTCAGCCAGAATGTCAGTCTCAACTCTGGCTCTGACAATGGTATAACTCTGGTCAACTAACACCTTTAATCTGTGTATCTGCCTCACTGAGATGTTACCAAGTTCTATGTGATATAGAACTGGGGTCTCCAGCAAAAAAACAAACCTGTTTTTATAATAGTTATACTGGTACACAGCCATGCTCATCTGTTTGCATACTGTCTATCACTGCTTTTGCACTGAGTAGTTGTGACAGAAACTGTATAGCCCACAAAGCCTAAAATATTTACTAAGTCACCCTTAGAAAAAGTTTGCTTATCTCTGATAATATGGCATGTAAAGTGCTAAGCATTTAAACCTGGTATATAGTTAGAACTCATTAAATGTGTACTAGTATACTTATACCAACATAATTATCAAACACATAAATTTTACAAGACTGTCCATTTGACACTTTTTTTTAAAAATACAAGCAGCATTTACCTGCACCAATGCAACAAGATCTTGTAACTGTCTAAGTTTCTGTTTTGCAGCCATAAGTCTGCTGATCTTCTGTTCAAATTCAGCATCTTCAGGCGTCTCATCAACCAGACTGCTCCGATGACTAGATAATGACGCTCCACTGACTGCCTCATCTTCTGCTTCTTCCTCCTCCTCCTCCTCACCTTCACCTTGTGCAACGTGAATCCCCTGTTCTCGTTCTCTATTGTATCGACAATCTGCTGAAAACATGTACCAGTGAAATCAATACCTTAATAAACTTAAGAGTACTAAAGAAAGGAATTCCGGGCTTCCCTGGTGGCGCAGTGGTTGAGAGTCCGCCTGCCGATGCAGGGGACACAGTTTTGTGCCCCGGTCCGGGAAGATCCCACATGCCGCAGAGCGGCTGGGCCCGTGGGCCATGGCTGCTGAGCCTGCGCGTCCAGAGCCTGTGCTCCACAATGGGAGAGGCCACAACAGTGAGAGGCCCGCGTACCGCAAAAAAAAAAAAAAGAAAGGAATTCCACTGCCCAAGAATAATATGGTAAAATTATCTGTGAATAGAGTCAATCATACCTAAAGAAGGAGGCATGTTTAGAGCCCTTATGTTGGCAGCAGATCTGTTGTTAATTTCACAATTAGAATTAACTGATCTCCCATCTCTATTATTAGAAACACACTGTGCATTAGAATTACTATTTACTTCATTCCAGGTGGCAGCTACTTGTGGATTTCTAAAAGAAAGAAAACAACCTGAAGTTATTTAAGGTAAAAAATATATGTAATAATAAAAAAATCAAAGTTTTACAACTGCTGATAAAATAATTCCAGACTATGAACATCATTGGCTATTTCCCCATTTAAATTCATCCTCTAAATAAACGGCTCTTGCTTTTCACTAACTTCTCCTATTCACACATTTAAGAAGAAAAACATCTAAAAAAATCAAAATTACAACCAAAAAAAAAATCAAAACTACACCTAAAAATAAAGAGGTAGGAAAATGAAGTTACGTACTTCTTATGATTAACTTTTAGTTGATCTAACAAACAGCAAATTTACTAAACTACTGTGTTCAATACTTCCCTATTTGTTTTTCTTTATAGAACAAGTAAGAGTACACTAACCAAAACAGCAGACTTACAGGAGAAAAGCTTAAATAAAAGGCAAACGGTAGGCACTCTACTGAGGTTTCTTTTGTTTCATATTAAATGTATTGTTAGGATGAATATGTTAGAAAAACAACTTAAAAAAAAGTTCTTACCGAATGTTAGTAACAGGTTCAGAATTTTCATGCTCGGAATCATATTCTGACTCTTCAGTTTCTTCTTCTTTTGTGTTTTCATTTACAGCATCTGTCATCATATCTGATGTTTGCTCATAATAATGAACTAATTCTCTTAGCTCATTCAACCTCTTTCGAACTTCATTTAACTTCCTGATAAACAACAAAAACATTTATATTAACACCCATTTTAGCAAAATAAAGCATACACTATTTTCATACAGTAGCAGCCAGCACAAACAAAATATAAACCCAGTCAAATATCCAGGGGATGTGACTATAATGAATGTAATTTCAAGTATAGGTTATTCAAAATCTCATCACCTTATTTACTTATGTTGTGTTACGGACAAAAGCATAAGAAACCCTCTTCCAAGTGTTCACTTTAAGCAGGTATAGATGTTAACATCTTAAGTCTCAATGTCAAAAATATTCCTATGTTTCTTAATAAGTATCAAAAATGTAAAGTACTAAATATTCCATTAAAATAGGACCTCTTAGGCAAATCAGGTATGCAGGCATTCCTGAGCATTCACAGAAGGTTCCCAATTTGTCTACAACATATAGAGATCTACCAGTTACCATACTATATAACATGTTTACCAAAAAGAATAATTAGGTTGTTGAATTTTTACTGAGTCCCAGGAATTATGCCAATGTTTTTTAATCCTTAAAACACCTTTATGAACAAATATATTATGCCAGGTGAAGAAAAAGAGGCTTAGTGAGGGTGCTATTTGTCCACAGTCACACAACCTTGTGAGATACAATTCCAGGGCTGTCTGACTCTAGAGCCTGGGCTCTAAACCACTTGAATACAGAAATCTTTTAACTGTAGTCCCTTTATTTGGAAAACAGGAATACATTAGCTATAGAAATTACATGTTACTACAATGTCTCATTTCTCTAGGACAACTCAAAGATGCACATATAACACACACACTTATTCTACCACCATACCACTTAAGAATGTTTATCATATCAAATTAACTCAGTTTTTCCAGAATTTTCAACAAAGAAAAAACCCCCAAGATTTATCCCCATTATTCAATTCTAATCTATGTAAACAATGTTTGTAGAAATGTTTTACTGGAGTTTTTCAGTTGGATTTAGGTGGCCTTCATTTTCACTCTGATTCTGAGAAACCAGAGAAGCAGCAGGATAAGGAACAGATGATGTGAGGCTATTGGATTCTCCATTGACAACTGGTGTTAAGCCTACAGGAGCAGAGGGAGCTGCTGTTGTACTTCTCTGATCCACACTCCTTTGTGGGGAGGCAAAAAAAAAAAAAACAAAAAAAAAAAAAAAAAAAAAAAAGACCAGTTACCATAAGTAAACAAATACAGCATCAAACAACACATTCATAGTTGGCTCATAGAAAAATAAAAAGTAAAAGTCATTAACATCTTAAATCCTGCAGCTTTAAAATGTGAAACTTAAGGATATAACCAGGCCACTTGTTTATTAACATGTCTTTCAACCAAACACAGTTAAAACAGAAAGGAAACAATAAGGAAAGACAAGATGGAAACCAACAAGAACTACGATATTCTACCTTGAGAAAGTAACGAGAGTACTCCTCTGATAAACTTGGTTCCAGGTTAAGTTAAACAGAGCCACTGCATATGATGTGCATGCACACCATCTACAAATCTTTACAGGGCAACCCTAGCTGATTAGGTCCTTGAGAATGTTCCAGTCCAGAGGGATTCTATCTGGTCTCCAAGATGGAACTTTTCTTGTTCCAAAAGATAAAGCAAAATTGTTTAAGTGACTGCGGTACATAATACCATGAATACTACTCAGCAATAAAATTTTCTTATTAGATGATGATTAATCTTCTAAGACAGCTCTTGAACTACATTTTAATTACTTTTCTGTCCACACAGATCAGACAAAGATATCTTATGCTTTCATGGGTAATAAATGAAGACTAAGAATCTTTGTGCTTCTCTCTCTCCTACCAGTTTATTTATTTTTTTCTTTTTATTTATTTATTTCTGGCTACGTTGGGTCTTCATTGCTGCGTGTGGGCTTTCTCTAGTTGCAGTGAGCGGGGGGTTACTCTTCGTTGAGGTGCACGGGCTTCGCATTGTGGTGGCTTCTCTTGCTGCGGAGCACAAGCTCTAGGCACGCGGGCTTCAGTAGTTGTGGCTCACAGGCTCTAGAGTGCAGGCTCAGTAGTTATGGTGCATGGGCTTAGTTGCTCCACGGCATGTGGGATCTTCCTAGACCAGGGCTCAAACCCCTGTCCCCTGTACTGGCAGGCAGATTCTTAACCACTGCACCACCAGGCAAGTCCACTACCACTTTAAAACTATCATCATTTATCTCTTCCTCAGTGACAATCGTCATTTATTGCTCACGTTATCCACTGTTACAGCTGGTTTCCAGTAGTCTTTTCTCTCTATTCCTTGACTGTTCTACCTTTTGCTCTGCTTTCACTCTGTTTCCCAGAGAAATATATGATTTTTTAGTCATCAGTAGACAGAGTGCTACTTTAATTATGTGTGTAAAACTGACCACAAGCGTTTGAGTACAACTTTGGAAAAACTAAGTTTTTCTTGGCTGTGTTCATCTGTTTAGGGAGGATGGGCACTGGGATTAGCTTCTACTCTAGAGGAGGCCGAGGAGCAGCACAAGTCAGGGAAAAGAAAGGAGCACGTCTCAGGGCAGAAACAGTACAGTTCTTTGAAGGTGGCAGACAACTAGGGTGAAGTACAGGGATCCAGAGATGATGTTTCTATCCCTGTCTGTTCTTTATTAAGACAGCATCTGGAATGCTAAAGAATAATGACCAGTTAGGGTTGACCCTACTGATTCCAATACCCAATGCTACAGCTCCTACTAGCAACCGTCTGAGTAAGAGGCAGAGACCAGGCTTGGGAAGGTAGGTGGCCAAGTGAGGACTAGTAACTGAATCTGAATTAGACAAAGGCAAGTAATCTGTATAGCAAAAAAGACAGTTCCTACAGTATAACTAAGATGACTATTGGCTTTCCTATATAACTAGTACAATCAGCCCTCCATATCCAAGAGTTCTGCATCTGCGGATTTAACCAAAAGCAGATAGAAAATATTCAGGAAAAAAGAAATTCCATAAAGTTCCAAAAAGCAAAACATGAATCTGCAGCATGCTGGTAACTATTTATATAGCATTCACATGTATTAAGTATTGTAAGTAACCCAGAGATGATTTAAAGTGTACTGGAGGATATGCTTATGTTACATGCAAATACTATGCCATTTTAGATAACGGACTTAAGCAGCCTCAGATTTTGGTATCCGTAGGGGTGTGGGTGTGGGTGTGGGTGTGGGTGTGGGTGAGGGTGCTGGAACCAATCCCCCATGGATACTGAGGGATAGTTGTATAACTCTTTAACTAGTATACCTAGGATGACTATATGCCTTTCCTAGTCCCACCTAACTATTTATGTATTTTAAAAAATGGGGAATATTTGGGACTTTCTGTACTAAGTAAGTTTTTCATATCTCAGGTTTTTATTGTATAAATACTTTCTAAATCTGTTTCATAGTTTTAAAATCAAAGTACTAATTTGGTTTAGCTTTTCCTTAAGGAAAAATTTTGGATATGCGAAAAAGTGCAGTATTATTATGTCAAAGTGTCTAACAGTTACCTTCTCTTATACTTTTCCCTTATTTAAAATCCTACCGGGCTTCCCTGGTGGCACAGTGGTTGGGAGTCTGCCTGCCAATGCAGGGGACACGGGTTCGAGCCCTGGTCCGGGAAGATCCCACATGCCGTGGAGCAACTGGGTCCATGCACCACAACTGCTGAGCCTGTGCTCTAGAGCCCGCACACCACAACTGCTGAAGCCCGCGTGCCTGAAGCCCATGCTCCGCAACAGGAGAGGCCACGCGGTGAGAGGTCCGAGCACTGCAACGGAGGGTGGCCCCTGCTCAACGCAACTGGGGAGAGCCCGCGTGCAGCGGCGAAGACCCAACACAGCCAAAAATAATAATAAATAAATAAATTTATAAAAAATAAAATAAAATCCTACCAATTTTTCAAGCCCAAATTCATTCTTTTCCTTTTCTGAATTTTACAGAACAGATCTACCATCTATTTGGCTTTACCATACATTGCCTTGTTACTTAAAAACTTTTCACATACAAGTCCTATTTCCCCACAAAAATTATAATTTTCTTGAGTAACTATGTGTTTATTCATTCACCAAATATTTACTAAGGAATTATTACATGTTGGCATATATACTTACGTGTCCTCTACCTAACACTGCTTAGATTTACTTACAGGATGAATTGTTCAAATGCTCATCTCGAAGTGTATGAAGTTCTCCAAGCAGCTTGTCCATTTTTTGTTTCTTTTCTTGTAACACTCTCATTTTGCTAAAAAGCTGGACTTTCTCATCAGGTAAATGCTCTGAAACTGATGGATTTCTGCTCTGAGAAACCTCCCTAGTTAATGAAAGACTTTCTGCTTGTCTTCTATTGTCTGGAACAGGTGGAGGCTTTAAAAAAAAAGAAAAAGAAAAAAAAGAAAGATTAGGTGACTAAAGTTTGCAATCTCATTTTAAAAATGCATAAATTGGGCTTCCCTGGTGGCACAGTGGTTGAGAGTCCGCCTGCCAATGCAGGGGATACGGGTTTGTGCCCCGGTCCGGGAAGAACCCACATCCCGCGGAGCGGCTGTGCCCATGAGCCATGGCCACTGAGTCTGCGCGTCCGGAGCCTGTGCTCCACAACGAGAGGCCACAGCAGTGAGAGGCCCGCGTACCGCAAAAAAAAAAAAAAAAAAAAAAAGCATAAATAGGGCTTCCCCGGTGGCACAGTGGTTGAAATCTGCCTGCCAATGCAGGGGCCACGGGTTCGAGCCCTGGTCTGGGAAGATCTCACATGCCGCGGTGAGCCACAACTACTGAGCCTGCGTGTCTGGAGCTTGTGCTCCGCAACAAGAGAGGCCGCAACAGTGAGAGGCCTGCGCACCGCGATGAAGAGTGGCCCCCACTCGCCGCAACTAGAGAAAGCCCACGCACAGAAACGAAGACCCAACACAGCCAAAAATAAATAAAATAAATAAATAAAATTTTTTTAAAAATGGATCATATATTAAAACGGCATAAATATTCTCTCTCATTTTTTCTTTTGACTGCACTGGGTCTTCGTTGCCGCATGCAGGCTTTCTCTAGTTGTGGCGAGCGGGGGCTACTCTTAGCTGTGGTGCGCAGGCTTCTCACTGCAGTGGCTTCTCTTTCTGTGGAGCACAGGCTCCAGGGCAGGCGGGCTTCAACAGCTGTGGCATGTGGGCTCAGTAGTTGTGGCTCGTGGGCTCTAGAGTGCAGGCTCAGTAGTAGTGGCCCACAGGCTTAGTTGCTCCGCAGCATGTGGAATCTTCCTGGACCATGGATCGAACTCGTGTCCCTTGCATTGGCAGGTGGATTCTTAACCACTGCGCCACCAGGGAAGTCCCAAAAATACATAAATATTCTTTATAAAAAGAGATAAACATTAGTGTAGGTTGTGCTGGTCGGTAAGTATATATGCCTTTCCTATTCCCAAATTATATACATACTATTCCCTGATGTGCCACCATATCTATATAACAGTATATATATACTGTTTTATAGACACACATAACTACACAGTGGGGATTCACTGGATGTTATTAACTGGATCTAAATTAAGTGCTAGAAATGCCATATTTTATATAGAATAAACCTTCAAAAATCTCATTCTCTTGCCATCTTTTTAGAACCACAATCATAAACTTTAATTTCTTAACCTATCAGTTTCTCCTATCACTTCTTTGCTACTAAAAAAAAAAATTTATGAAACATTTAAAAAATCCACTAAGGATTAGGGAATCATATAATGAGTAACCAGCACTGAGCTTAGTCAAATTTTAGTATTTTGCCACATTTGCATCAATTCTTTCTTTAAGAGAAATATATTACAGATAATGGCTAAAGCTTTATACATAGAAATCCTGACCCCATTACTCTCTTGAGATAACCACAATCTGGAATTAGACACCTACCATTCTCAAACGTATTTTTATTTTGTAATACCTATGAAGGTATCCATAAAAAAAAAAATACTTGGGGCTTCCCTGGTGGCGCGGTGGTTTAGAGTCCGCCTGCCGATGCAGGGGACATTGGTTTGTGCCCCGGCCCGGGAAGATCCCATGTACTGCGGAGCGGCTGGGCCCATGAGCCATGGCTGCTGAGCCTGCACGTCCAGAGCCTGTGCTCCGCAACGGGAGACACCACAACAGTGAGAGGCCCGCGTACCGCAAAAAAAAAAAAAAAAAACACACTCTACACATTTTAAAACATAAGCTAAGTGGTATCCTTCTTAAACTTGCATTTTCATTCATTACCTCTGGTTCATTTCCTGTAATCGGTTACAGGATTTCACTCTATGTATATATCATAACTTACTAATCCATTTTCCTGTTCATGGACATTTAGATTGTTTCTGCTTTGCTATTAATACAATGCTGCCATGAACATTCTTGTATGCATCTCCTTTTGAGCAGGGTCACTAGAAAAAATGTACTAGATATTGCTAAATAACTCTCCAAAGTAGTTAGATCATCTTCTTTCATTTAAACTTGGGTCAGCAGACAGAAGATAATGCATTGTCAATTATACCCATTTCCAGTGGAAGGTACTAATTCACTCTTTCTCACTCAACAGACTAAAATTTTGCATTTATATCATTATTTACAAAGGTCATCAAATTATAACACTTATTAACTCTGAAATTAAACTTAAGAACTTCCTTAAAATTGTTAGTAAAACATTGCAAAAGCATAGATTCACACTAACTTAAGTTTAACAGTTGTGACTATTAACAATCTTAAAGGTGAAATAAGAATGCGTCATCTAGGAGCATACAAAGGGGAAATTTCACTAATCACTTCATTCCAAGTAGATATTTCCTCTAAATTAGTGTTTCCCAAAGCATAGTCCCGAGACTTCCAGCACTGGAATCACATGGTGGGAAGCCCACCCCAAATGTATGAATCATAATTTTGGAGGTGGGGGGATCCCACTGACCAGAAATCTACATTTTTTAACAATCATGCCAGGTGATACGTATGCTCAGTAAAGTTTGAGAAGCACTGCTTTAGTTAATGTGATTTTAAATCCAGTATACAAAAAAAATGAAGTTACCTGAGAATCACGAAGCTGATTATGAAAACGCTGAATTAAATCATTCAATTCTTCATTTAGTTCAGATGTGATACTGACTCCAGATAGGCTACCTGTAGTTTCTGTTACAGCTGGAAAGGAAGTTAACAACTTTCATTCAAGCAAATAATTTAATAATTCATTAAAGCAAATAAATAAAAAACAACACTTTAACTTCTGAGACGCTAAAAAGAAATTTGGGGGGAAAAAAGAAATTTAAAAAATCTCAACGTAATTTGAAACTAGTTAACCCTCAGATTTATCTGTCAACCAATCATTTTATAAGTTTCCACCTAACCTGAAAATAAAGGGACACTCACAAAACTCTAGTATAGTGGTTCATCTTTTTCTGTCCCAACATTCAAGGAGGGATACTGTTACATCCCAATTAAGAATAGTGACTCAACAGAGTCTGGGTGTGGGAAGGTCCACCAGGTTGGGTTGGAGGCGTGGCGGGCAAAGTGGTTCGTCTGAAAAAGCACAGCTAATTCTGACCAGTCTCAATCCCCACCTCCCCAACAGAATCAGTGCTGTAGTACAGGGGCTGGCAAACTTTTTTTAAAGATTCAGATAGTAAACATATTAGGCTTTGTGGAGATATAGTTCTTGTCTCAACTACCCAACTCTGCCACTGTGGGGCAAAAGCAACTATATACAATACATAAACAAATGGACATAGCTGTGTTCCATAAAATCTTATTTCAGGCAGTGGGCCAAATCCAGCTGGCTATATATAGTTTGCCGACCCCTACTGTAGAACAGATAATTTATTGAAGGAGTTGCTTGTGATACAAGTCATACTAAAAGACCACAGTTTTTATCTTCCTAAGGCAGTATTCTGATGACAATTTTCATAATAGTTACTCTCTATTACTCAAACACCCCATGCTTATCTTTCCAGCTCTAAAAGAGACAATGACTATAAACTGTTTCTGTTTTGAAGGAAAATATTAGCTTTTTCAATGAGAAATTAGAATTACAGGGCAGGGTAGATTCCCATGTATCCAGTCCAAAGTACTTGGGGACAAAAAAAAGCAATTACAGTCTAGATAACACACAACTTGCTAGTTAAATGGTTAAAGGAACACTCTTTCCCATGACAATTATGTTGCCTCTCTTATATACCTAAAGATTACTGTAAGTTTGTTTTTCATCAGTATTCTTCTGCAAAATCTCATAAATGCAAGAGAAAATCTGTTTTCAATCATTAACCTAAAATTCTTTTTGAAATAGTACATAAAATAAATTCGAATTTTAACTCCTGTTTATTCTTCTCCTGGTACTTGTCTCATAATAGTACATTAAAAAAAAAAAAAGAAAGAAAGAAAGATTATCTGCTTACTTAAAAATAAAGGTTTGTATTCAGAAATAGAAGACCCCTGACCTGGAACTCAAGAAATCTGATTCTACTAAAATTCCATATAAGCCTAGGCAAGTCACGAGTTCTGTGTTAGAGTTCCTTCTCTCTAAAGTGAGAATTATAAAAAAAGCCCTGGCGACTAACCTACAGTTTTGTGGTGATCAAATGAGATGACGTAAATATAACTATTTGAAATAACATAACTATCACAAGAAAGTCTCTGAAATCTGATACTCCAATCTTGAAAAATATTTTAAAAGTTGGTCATTAACCGAACTGTATTTGTCATTGTTAAAATATTTTGTTTTTTCCTAAATCTAACAGCTAATGATACTTTGAATTTTGCAAGGGAAAAATGGGGATGAAAATTTGCATATTGTATACTATTATATACTATACCATATATATTCTATACGACTATATAATTATTACAAAAGAGTAAGTTACTTGCAAGTCATAAAGTTCCTTATGGAAATGCAAAATTAAATTACATATAACAGTGATCAGAAGGCTGAGCCAGTGGGCTAGGTGTGGACAACACGATAAATTGAGTAACAACAGGGTAACCACAGTAAGGACCTAAAATGGAGAGCTCACAGGAGATAAATTATTATTAGACTGTAATGACAGACTACTAGAAAATATAATTTGGCTTTAAGTTTTAATAAGTAACAATATGTTTTCAACTTAATGAGAAATTAAACACGTAGGTTTGCCAATAACAAGACAAACTATAAAGTTAGACTCAATACTAAAGAATTCAATACAAAGGATGGGGAAAGGTTTCTTAAACAAGATCCAAAAATACAAAACTTAAATCACTAAGATGTATACTTTAAATATCTTATAATTTTATATGTCAATTATACCACAGTAAAGCTGAAATTTTTTTAAAAATGAAAAAAAAAGAATTCAATACAATTTCCATCTAAGTGATACATGGGTATGAGGGAAAGAAGGAGAAAGAAAAGAACATTTCTGAGTCTCAGGGAGACTGGATAGGATATAAATTTAGTTCAAAGGAACTAGTGCATACAATTTGATACCTCACTACTCATGTCAGAAGCCAAAGAACCTTACATTTATTCACTGTCTCACTTAAGGTTTTAACCCTTCCTTGGCAGGCAAGCAAAGTACAGCAATCCTAGTTAAATAAAGTACAAAAGGCAGAAATATAAGCAACAAGAGCCCTATAAATTTGAGGTACAAAAACAGAACTACATCCTGTCCCTTTTACCTCTTAAGGGTACTCTCTGATGAAAAGGAGAGCGAGCTGGCTGTCTGCACGGTACAGTATGATGGCCAGGAGTTGTCCCTGCAACCTTTTCTGCATAACCAGAGAAAAGCACAGGACAGGGTAAGCCTCACATGTAGGTTTCTAAACTAGACAACAATCAAGATCTAATTATATAATAACCAGCATCCACCTTGCAATCATATCATTATTTATTGAGCCTTACTTATAACAACATTCTAAGATGGTGGCATACCAGAATCATCCATCACAGCAATAGCTTGCTCTGCCTTATGCTGCAGAGCAAGAAGAGCAGCTTGTCGTCCCTGCAGAGCTCTCAGCTGCTCCTGCTGCTGTAACATCCTTTTTAATAAATCATGTTGTTTCTTCAAATTTTCTATCTCTTCCATAGGCTCCTGCTGAGGATCTCTGGCCTGAAAAATAAGACCAACAACGCTTATATCTTTTAAAATCCATGTTCCTATTTCAACTACCAACGGCAAGGTACATACATAGATAATAAATTAGTATTAAATATACAACCCTAGATACAGACTTGAAAGAAAAAGAGAAAGAAGAAAATGATGACACAGAGACAGCCTGTCATGTTAAGAATTAGATAGTTAGGTAATTTCAAGGTAAAAGACCATATGCATATGCTTAGCATGAAGAATTAACAAAAAGAAAATAAAAGAAAAGGCATACAAAAAGGAAGACAGGAAGGCCGACACACACACGCACGCACGCACGCACGCACGCACGCGCACACACACACACACACACACACAAAAGAATGAGGGATCCAGACCAGGCCTTACAGAAAAGGAAGAGCAGATCATACCAGGCTAATGCCCTAAAAGTAGCCCTGGAGAAAGAACAGACTAAAAAACTCTTCTGCCCCATTCCTAGAAGTGATGTTTAAAAACCAACAAAACAAAAACAAACCAACTATTTTCTAACTACGGATGGAAATTTTTAAAATATACTTTTTATTTGATTATTTGATGTGAAAGGCTTTAATTTACTTGCATCACTTTATATTATCATACAGTAAAGAAAAAATATTATCTTTTGCATCAAAGATATCATTACTATTTTTTCTTTCAAAAGATGCTCATTTAATGCTGAGTCTGAGGACATAAATTACTTTGAAATTCCCCCCAAAAGATAACATTTTGCCTAAAAGAGGAACAGATTAAATAGGTGCCACTTATAAGGAATTATAAAATTTTAAATGTTAATCTTAAAACTATTCAAGTGTAACCCAACCAGAAAAAATAAAGTCAATTAATCAAAGAGAGAAAGTTAAATACAACCTGGAAACAATAAATAAGACAAATTATGCATGAACTGTATACCGTAATGGTATTTTTCATCACTGATTTGCCTTTTAAAAAATTCTGTATCTTAAAAGTTTAATGATTTTAGCTAATATTTACATAAAATATTTCTATTAACTTAGAGATAGTCAATTTTAAATTTGTATTGCTACCAAATTGGAGACTTTAAATGAATGATCTCCCCTGGCTCTGACCAAAGTTAACAAGGAAAATAAACCTCAGTGATTTCTTTTCAAAGTAAAAATGAACTGATCTGTTCTCCCTATGTACATTTGATTCCAAGAAAAATTATGGAGAACACAGACGGCTCCAGAGAAATTCTCTTCTGGGTAACATTCCTTAACAATACTTTGCAAAAACCTCTTCTCTTTACCTCCCCAAGTAGGACTCATTAGTATTGTAAATAAGAATGAGTAACTGTGATAACTTGGCAAGCAATAAAAATAATTACATGGCTCAGAATTAAGAACTCAAAGAAAGGAAGCTCAAATAGGAAGTAGAAGACTACAGTTAGAATGTTTGATGTAGGTATCAGAGAAGCCAGGTCAGTGCTCTATCCAGGACTGGCCAACTAGACTTTATGAATATGGAAGAGAAATAATGTACCTTGGTTAAGCTAGTATTTACTGGAGACTTTCCAATAAACTAAAGCCATTTTCAAATCAAGTACAATTTACCCAGTTCTCTCCCATCTTATACAAGTGGAGTTACCTAGTTAACATTACATTCATTCCTATGAAAATTCATCTTCTTAGTTCTTGCTCATTTCAAGACTATTTACATCTTGAAAAAATAATTTGAAGGGTGAGAGATAACTATCAATCTGAGATAGGTAGCCATCTCAGATCTGATCCAAATTAATTTCATCAAAGTCACTGGTAAAATATAAAACCAAACCCAATCAGGTACAGATTTCAGTGGAACAACTTGGAGAAATCTCTCCAGGTTGACATCAATCAAATACTCCAACAAAGCATCAGTGATAAATGACTAAGAAGAGAAACATTACACAAATAAGGCAAAAAGTCATCTAGGAAAAAAGAAAACCATCAAGAATGCATTATCTCCATCTAATTCATAATCCTCCCATCTCAAAAATAGTTTAGACCTCAAGCTAACCTTAAAGCTATCTAATTTTGAAGAACTTACTAAACAATTTAATATTATGGTTTCTTACCCTTTAAAATGCAAACTTTTAAAAAGAACTTTAATCCTTGTTAGTCACATTTATTTGCAAAACTTTGATACTCTAATTATAAAGAATTCTGAACTTCAGATTTTTCACTAATCCAAAGATGAATTCCCAACAATTTTTGAAATTAGTGGAGTTTTATTACTGCTTAATAACTTTTCCATCCACATAAATAACATTTCAGACTAATAATTTGAAAAGATGAACTGAGGGAGGTGGGTGGAACTACAATCAAATATAAAGAAAGGGAAGATGAGAAAATGGTAATAAAAATACCTGGGGATAAAAACATGGCAAGAAGATGGTACATGGAATAGAAATCCAAAAAAGGAGGCCAGGACTATACGCATCCTTCAAACACATATTTTCATTTAAACGTTTTGAGTCACTTTCAGTAAGTACATTCTTAGTTTACAAATTAAAAAAAATAATAACTTAAGCATGAAATCTCGAGTTGCATACAGGTAACACATTTCAGAAAACCCTAAGTCTTCCTTTCCTCTACTCAACTGATGTTCTTCCAATAATTCTTCATGGATCCAAATATATTTTTATGGCTGAGAAGTACTTCAGTTAATATGTATTCTAAGTTTTGTCATCTGAAAGGTGAGAAACTATAAGCCCAGAGAAGATAAAGCTGTGATTTATCCAATATCACAGTGAGGGGAAATCAGATTCCTAAGTTCTAGGTTAGTGTTTTTTCACATCATACTATCTGCCCCAAAATTACATCCATAGACTATGTCTTCTGTATTTAAAACTATCTCTGAAGAAGCATAGTCTAGTTTGGGAGACAAATCTAGCCCACATGAAGTAACTAGAAATGATAAAAACGATAGCAAAAAATGAGTAGATGGTATTTTTAAAAGCTTATGAATGCTCTAAGAGCTGAGATTAAGTGTGGGGGAAAGATGAGTATGGGAAAACAATGAGGGCATGGGTATTCAGGGAAAGCTCTTTTTAAAAATTATGCAACGTCATCGTGTCTATAAAATATTTCATAAAATGGACTCTGCCCTTGTAGGCAACTCAAGAATATCAATTATCTCCTATCAAGCTGCAACTCACAAGGTTGCTTTAAGCTCTGAACCTCAGTTAAGACACCAACTTTTTTCCCTAGTCTTCTAACAGAATACTACATTTTGAAAGGATGTTAAGGAGGGAATGAAGGTAGGTGGGGAGAACAACAGATTCTGCATAACAGAGAAAGAATAAAGTCAGTCAGTGGGAATTAGGGTTTTTTCTAAGAAAATGAAATCATTTTATGAACACAGTACTGATAGAATTACCCTAGGATGGCCCAAAGAATCAAAAGATTAAAAAGAATCAAATTAAAATAAACTCCAGAAAGAAGTTCAAGAGAAAATAATATTTATAAGGACATTATTCAAAGAAACTTAAAACAGAAAAGTGGTTTTTAAAAGCAAACCTAATGCCTTAGGGGAAAAAAGTAAAACTGGAAGATGCTATGCTGTAGTAACTGTCAACTCAAGTTCTGTTTGTCACTATTCAGAAGACTTAAGAAAGGAACATTAAGTTCCAAAGGATCTATTTCCCCCCATTCACTTTCTCTTCTCCAATGCTAGTAGTTTTAAAAATAATCAGCTACTTTACTATTCTGTTGAACTGGGACACCTTTTGCTTAACACTTTATAGTAAGATCACTATAGCTGACTTCAAACTATATCTTCAAACTCTTGTGGGAGAGCGGGGAGACACCATAATATCTAGAGGTTAAACTTTGTCATTTTTAAACGCCACAAAAAATATAAAATATGTACATAACAGAAAGGAAAGCCTAATCCTAGGTAATAAGCTAGTAATAAAACATAGGAAATTGGTCTTATCTATACTCAATTATTAAAATAGTACTTTACTCCTGTCAAATATGAGCACTTTTACAAATGCCATTTTTTTTCAAACTGTTTTAAGTGGAACTACACAAATAGTTGTCTTTAAACCTTTCCTGAGTGTCTTTATGCAAATCATGGAAAATTAAAAGAAAGAACATTTACAGCAAACTTTGGAGAAAAAAGTAGCAAAAACATCAGGAAACAAGTCAACTGGATAATTTTTTTAAAAATAGAATGGAAGAAGGGATGTCCAATGGGAAGAAAAATATAAACAAAAAAACACTAAAAATATTGGGTTGGTCAAAAAGTTCGTTTGGGTTTTTCCATAGGATGTTAGGGAAAAACCCAAACAAATTTTTGGCCAACCCAATATTTCATTATTAAAAAAACAGGAAAGCTAATTGCTTGCTCTATTTTTTCTTTCTTTAATGAATGACTACAGGAAATAAGACAAAACTTAAAAATACCATCTTAATCCATGAACACAAATATCAGAAACAAAAGGCAACTAATGGTCAAGGTTTAAGAATGTGTTATATTTTGAGTTCTCAACAGCAAAAAAAGGAAAATGGATTAAGTTTCAAGTCCTTTGTTAATACAAATTAAAAACAGCTGCCACACATAATCCATGGAGCAGAGAATAAGAAAGCAGAAAAGGAAAAAACACTAAGGGACAGCATTTTACTAATGCAAATTACAGTACAATTAACCATGTTAACGTACATATTTAAAAGTTAATAGCAACAACAAAAAAGAAAATAAAGGAGAGGAAATATGAACAAAAGAGGTGCTCATTTAGAGACTTCCCAAGTTAATATTGTGAAGTATACCTTTGAGGGAAATCCACGTTTTCGGCTATATTTCCTATTAGGCCTCAGTTCCCTGTCATTCTGAGGAGGTCTGTCACCTTTCCCTTTTGGACTTGTTGTAACGTCAATGTCTGAAACCTGTTCTTGTGAAGCTGAATTCCCTAGTTTGTCCTCAATGCACGGCCGAATTCTCAGACTAAAAGATGCCTCCTTTATTAAATAGTGTAACATATTAATTTCTTAACACAAACTCCTGTTTAACATATAAGCCAGTCTTGTAAATAAATATAAAAAATTACAAGTCCATCTTTCAGAAAATCAATCCACCCTCCCCCAAGTGGCAATAAAACTTTAAGTTAGACTTTTAAATTCCTATAGACTAGACTCTGGGCTTATTATAATTAAGTGAATATCATATCCTAGGCAATAAGCTATACAACAATTGCTGAAGCATATTTCAACATTTATTCTGCTGTTATTAACTTTCAAAATTTCCTGATTTAATGATATGAAAGAAATTCTCATCATGGGGAATACGATACACACTAGCATATAAGTTATAATAATCATCTATATCATTTCCCACTCCTCTCCAACAGAATTCCTTTACCGACATGCCCCAACCCTTCCACTTCTGCTGGAATGAAGTGTGAGAAAGAAATTAGTCCCAGCACCACTGTAAATAGAAAAACAATTTCCCCGCAGTAGAATCCATTCTTCAACAACCATTTGGATCAAGCCCTCTGAGCATCTCCTGGTGGAGATAATGGAGAGAAAAAAAATTCAAATTTCCTCTTCAAATCAGGAAGGGCAAGGAAGAGAAAGGAGGCAGACAGGAAACTATGCAGGTCAATATTAAAAGGAAACAAACCCTCAAATTCCTAATGCTGAATGGTACTTTGGAACATACCTCGGACACAAAAGATACACGTGGCTATCCTTTCACAAGAAAGGCATTACTGATAACAGACTTTCAAGTTTACTAATGCATGGTTGTAGGTTCATCTGCTAAAATTAAAATGCTTAGAAGTATACTAGTTTCATACTAACTTCTACGAACTAAGTTTATTTTATAAATCTTTCCTCAAAGTTCTGTAAATTTCTGATTATTTTTCCAAAAGACAGTATTTTGATACATTCCATTTTGCAGAGTTAGAATTTATAGTATTTTTCTCACTGGAATAAATCCCAAAGTAAATGCTACCCTGTCCCATTTTCATCTCAATTTATCAGTCGCCTGGTTTTGCTTCCGTTCTAAGCTAGCCTGAGAAATGAGAATCCTAACAGCCTTAAAATGGTTCCTCAATGGGAAATTAACTTGGAGACTTTTCCAACAGACGACGTGCTAAGCAATGACACTGTACTTATAGCTCTTACATCCACAATGAATTTTAACTTTCCCAATGCTTCTTAAAATGAGTAAAGCTGTGCTTAATGAAACAAACTAGAAAAACCAGGTTTCTGCAAATTGAAGATCAGATATTATTAGATTTAATCAACCATTAAAACTATTTTTAATGCTAATAAATAAAACTTTTAAACTTCCATGTTCAAAAAGAATATATACAGCATTAACAATCTGAGGGTTTCTTCCCTGAGATAAACTTTTCATTAAGGAATGCCTACAAAAATATCATCGTGAAAAACGGGGGAAAACTTTATATCTTCATTTCCAGCACTTGAATTACTAAAAAGCCGCTTACCGTGGTATCTGAAGCCTCAGACTGCACATCTATGTTTAGCGATGTGCTCTCAGCTACAGAACCAGATCCCACAGCTGAATCTATAGTCCGAACATCCTCCTCCTCATTTTCTCTAGCCTGAAATATTTTAGCGGTATAAATCATACAACTATTAAAAAGGGCAATAAAATGTTATAATGGATGGCACGATTTTTTGAAAATATATTAACTCCTCTGGGGTGGCATCAGAATGTCATCAGTACATGTACACTGATATACTACAAAAATAACTCAATACGTTATTTAAAGGGTCCAAAACTTACAAGAATTTTTTGGAGAAATTTCATATATGACTTTTCTTGTTCTTTAAGGTGATCTATTAGATGAGTAAGGCGCTCAACATTAGCAGATCTTTCATTTTTCTCTACAAGATCTTCCCGCATGGAACTAGCTTTAGTAATATAGTCACGAATCTGAACAAGCCTGCTTACAATCTGCAAGGGAAATATTTGGGGTGGGGGGGAATTATAATTATAGATTTTAATTTCAAATAACTAAAGATACTTCTAGGTTTATTGTGTGAATTCATACATGCAAAAGATCTGAATCAAATTTAGAATTTAATCAAAACATAACAGGCAATACTAACAATTCCAATTACTGTTAACTTAAAAATTTCAAAATGTGTTTTAGTTTCATTACTTGGGAACTTCATTTTATAAAACTGCATATCAAACATTTATATAAATTTCTCTACTGTTTATATATTTTATAAATAAATTTTAAAAATTAAGATACTTTGAAAAATAATTTTTTCAAAAAATTATACAACCATTTAAAAAAATTTCTACAGCAATCTATTAATCACATTGCTCCCAATTGCTCTTCACTAAAAATTAGCAATACAGCATTTGGCAGATGAACAGAAGTCTTAATTTACCTTACTATGCCATTTCTACAATCATTTTGGTAAAAAGAAATTTACACCATTTTGAGTAAATCTGAGATATTAATGAGAAAGTTCAGAGAAGTACTTTAATTCTACCTAAAATTCCTATGTGCATAACCCAATATTTTTTTTAAATCTTAATGAATCTACTTTGAGGTTTATGAAAGCAAAGAGCAAAAGAAAGAAGTTTTATCACCTGGCTGCTCTCCATTGCAGGCTCTCCTCTCCCATCTTCTTCAGAGACTTGACAGTTTTGCAAAAGGTCATTACTTAAAGCAGAAGCAAACAACTCTTTACATTGTGCTGATCCAATCATTTCTCTCTTTTGAGGATTTACAGCAGCATCTTTGCTCTTGTTAGTATTAATCTGCATAGGCAAAAAGTTGAAGGGCTTTCGGTTTTCACTAAGCTGACGTTTGTTGTTAGCAGCTGTTGCTCTACCTTGAGAATCACTTCCAATGCTTCTCTATATATGAAAAAGAAACCAAATCCCACAAACATTAATCTTTCAAAATTAAAAAAATCCAATGTTCTTAGTTTTACCATCAGATATTGATTCACAAGGTGCATATAAACAGATTTGCTGTAAGGTTCAAAACAGCTTCAGACCTACAAAATTCTTTTAGTAAAATATCAAAATTCAATTATCACATCCTAGGCCTCATTCTGTCAGACAATTCAAATGATGAATATGAGCAAGACTAGTCTAAATGAAGTAGCAGGATTATGAATCATATTTATAACTCATATTGCTAGTCATACTTGATCACAGAATATAACATAGGCTTTGGACCCAATGAATCAATGTTAATTAATATGAACATCAACATAAAGATGTGTCAGTGTAGGACTTCCCTGGTGGCACAGTGGTTAAGAATCCACCTGCCAATGCAGGGGACACAGGTTTGATTCCTGGGCCAGGAAGATCCCACATGCCACGGAGCAACTAAGCCCATGTGCCACAACTTCTGAGCCTGCGCTCTAGAGCCCGCGAGCCACAACTACTGAGCCCGCGTGCCTAGAGCCCGCGCTCCTCAACAAGAGAAGCCACCACAATGAGAAGCCTGCGCACCATAAGGAAGAGTAGCTCCCGCGTGCCACAACCAGAGAAAGACCACATGCAGCAAGGAAGACCCAACGCAGCCAAAAATAAATAAATAAATTTTAAAAACAAGATGTGTCAATGTGAAGCATTGTCTGATAAAGTACTCAACTCAGTGCCTGGCATACAGTAAATGCTCAATAATTAACACATAGGTGACTAAATGATATATGATCATCACCATCATACCAGACTTGAATCTACCTTTATGCATATTTGGAAAATTTATCTCTATGAAGTACAGATGTGACAGTAAAATGTTAAGAGTTCATTATCATTTCTACTTGCTTTTAGTTCTAAACTTGATTTCAGTGATTATAAATACAAACAACTGTTTTATTCTAAACTTGAGATAAGCCAGCACATCCCACACTTAACAAATGACAAATATTCTAAACTGGATATTCCCTTTTGCTTAATAGCAATCTTACTCAGTTACTAGCATGCATAATTTAGTTTCAAAATGAAATCATTTAAGTTAGTCATATAGTATAATAATAAAGTCCCAAGAGACTTGTCCTCAGCAAGTTTAGAAATAAGGACTTTATTGCCCTCCAAAGAACACAGTACCATCACAACGGATTAACATTCTCTCCATATGCACAGAAACTAAGAAAAAGGAAATAAACAGCTCAAATTTATTAAGACAAACTATTTAGTCTTTTGCCAATATTTTCCATAGTCATAACTTGATTTTTAAAATAATTTACAAACCTGATCTAAATCACTGAAGTTTATCCGCTGTTTAAGTTTCTCCAATTCTGCCTGCTCGGGAACAGACATCTGCGTCATGTATCTACTATGCGGAAACGTATGTGGAGTCTTCGTTCTTCGCCTTCCAACTCCTGGCGATGACTCCGGAGAAATATCATTAGTTACCCTTTTATCACTTTCTACACCAAACTTTTTCTTATTCTTTTCTGATGATCTATTTGCCTTCTTCTGTTGGCCACCCCAATCCTTTAAAAAAAAGTACAGGCAAAGGTTAATCTGGCCTCTATCAAATCAGGAAAATATTTTGGTACACTTAAAAATTTTTGGCCTTAAAATTTTAAATGACAAACATTTTTCACATAAATATATAGTCTTAGAGACAATTATTTACTTGTACTAACCCATTTTCCCTCCACTACACCTAGCCTAAATTTCAAACTGTGCTGAAATTATAATTATTCAGAAAATAATTACTTTCCTATCATAGGTCATTAACAAATACAAATACCCAAACTCCAAACCTAGCGTCAGTCTGAATATTTTCAAAAGCGTTTTTAAAAATGGTTCGTTATTATTTATAAACTGAATAGTGAAATAAATTATATATATCTTTACTGGCCTCCTTTAAAGTCAGTATATATAGGTAGACAGATCTGGAATCAACCTGTGTTCTAAAGCAATTATTGTTATAGGAAGAAACGCCCCACTGTGTGACCCCAGGCAATTTATTAAACTTCCCAAGATCTCAGTTACCTAATCTCTAAAATAGTGTCACCTTTAAAACACGATTAATAATAACATACATAACGGGAGGGTGGGACAAACTGGGAGATTAGATTTGACATAAATACACTACTGTGTGTAAAGTAGATAGCTAGTGGGAACCTGCTGTATAGCACAGGGAGCTCAACTCGGTGACAACCTAGATGGGTGGGATGGGGGCGGAGGAGGGAGGTCCAAGAGGGAGGGGATATAGGTATACATATAGCTGATTCACTTCATTGTACAGCAGAAACTAATACAACATTGTAAAGCAATTATACTTCAATAAAAAAAATTTTTTTAAGAAAAAACGTACATAAAACAGCTAGCACAGTGCCTAGCATATAGTAAGCAATAAATATAACTATTATTTTCTATAGGCAACAATGTACTACATGATAAGGTCTAATATGAAATGACAAAAAATGCTTAATTATTTTTTTTCTTTCTTTTTTTTTTTTTTTTGGTACGCGGGCCTCTCACTGTTGTGGCCTCTCCCGTTGCAGAGCACAGGCTCCAGACGCGTAGGCTCAGCGGCCATGGCTCACGGGCCCAGCCACTCCGTGGCATGTAGGATCTTCCCGGACCGGGGCACAAACCCGTGTCCCCTGCATCGGCAGGCGGACTCTCAACCACTGCGCCACGAGGGAAGCCCAAAAATATGCTTAATATTTTAACTAGAAAACATTTTTATTTACTTAGCTATACTCACATAACGCATTCAACAAAAAAGATATAAATTCCCACTTTATCCATATTGGAAGAGTCTTTTAGTTTTACTTTAGTAAAATCTTTTGGGATAGTTTTCTCTTTTATAATAAAACTCCTTTCTCTACAAACTGTCCCTCCACCCCAATCCATGTGTGGGTGTTCCTGCCAACCTCTTGTTCTACTTACCCCACCCAATCCTGGCCACATATGACTGGAAAAGAGATGCATATCTAATCCAAATTGGGATAATCATATGTTAAAATTTCAAATTGGAACTAAGAGATAACTAGTCAGTATATAATTGCAGCCATAGCTGAAAACTTTAGAATGAAGGGGCAGCCATAGTATACCACATGGACCAGAGAGGAGAGAAAACTGGTCTGTGAAAAGAAGTTGTGTTAAGCAGAGGCACACAGAAGCAAAGAGTCAGCGTAATGAAAAAGTAATTCTTGACAACTTTCTGGTTGCATTTTCTAGTCCCTTCCTAAAACCCCGCTATATTCTTTTAAGTTGTTTTCCATAAAACATCTTTATATCCTTGTAATAAATCTCTTTTTTGGCTTAAGCTAACTCAAGTTGATATATTACCTACAAACAAAAATGTCTTAAAGTAATATAACAAATAGCCCAGGGTCATTTAATATCTTGGACAGCAAGAAAATATGTGTTTTCAAAGAGTTTCAGTGAGTATGACTTGGCTAAGTCAGGGGAAAGTTGCATTCTAACATTAGCAGCCAACGACACACCATCAATAGTAAGATATCCTACCATGTTGTTGAGTCGGTCATCAACACCCTCATTGCTCCAGTTTGGTAAATCCTGATCATTCATGCCTTCTTCAAAAGGACCTCCTCCTGTGGCCATACTGGCTTTTATAATTAATGTTCTGCAAAACAAGTGAAAACTAACTTTCCTAACACATAAAAACAAATTGTAATTTAAATAATTCCATGAAGCTTAGCAATATGAAAGAATATCAGAAAAGCTGATTTTATGAAATAAAAGAGGCACTGTCAACTACACATCACAGACGAAATGATTTAGCTGCCATAGTCATAGTACGATTAGCATGCATTAAGTAGCCAAAGTGATGGGGAGGGGAAGGAAAAATCTCAGAATATCCACTGTGTCAGCTGGCTTGCATACTTTAAGGTTATTCAATTTAATTTATTCAACACAATCCTAAAAGGTAGAGTAATCACGTAGGAAAAAGTTATTAATAGCTAGAACCAAAACTGCTCTTCGAAAAGAAACTAATACCCCCAAAGACCTGGGCATTTGTTTTGTGTCAAAGATTCAAAGAAGGTAGAATGGCTCTGCATGGAACATGAAGAAAGGTTTGGTCTTAATGGGAAGGTAATGGTAAGCAAGATGAAAAGAAAGCAGCAAGAGAGAAACAGGACCAGGTAGGTGAAATGGCCGATAAAAACCAAGAATACAGTGGCTAAAAACATTTAAACATAGCGATGTCTCCTGCCCTATTTTAAATTTATTTATTTATTTATTTTATTTTTGGCTGCATTGGGTCTTCGTTGCTGCCTGTGGGCTTTCTCTAGCTGCGGCGAGCGGGGGGCTACTCTTCGTTGAGGCGCACGGGTTTCTCACTGTGGTGGCATCTCTTGTTGCGGAGCACGGGCTCTATGAGCACAGGCTTCAGTAGTTGTGGCATGCAGGCTTCAGCAGTTGTGGCTCGCAGACTCTAGAGCGCAGGCTCAACAGTTGTGGCGCATGGGCTTAGCTACCCCACAGCATGTAGGATCTCCCCAGATAGGGATCAAACCCATGTACCCTGCACTGGTAGGCGGATTCTTAACCACTGTGCCACCATGGAAGTCCCCCTACTGCCCTATTTTAAATTATATTACTGCTACCTCATAGTTTTCCCTAGATCTTGATATAGTCTACTAAAGTCACAAATTCTCCCCACTAAAAAAAAGTGGGGATTTTGTGAAAATCAAGGAAGGTACTAAATTTCACACCTGGGTCAAAGAGCTGAGAAATGGAAGAAGCAATAGTACAAGCAAAGGTTCAGAAGCATAGATGATCATGAGAAAATAAGATTTCTACATGATCTCGTAGAGGACTTTGTATTTCCACTGGGTGTGGAACTGCTCGGGTTGGAGGGGGACTGAGTGAAAGGGGAGACAGTGAGATAAACTTTATCTGTAACTCAAGGGGCAGGGTAAGCCATTAGACATCAGGATTATAATAGGTTTTTCAGTTTACTAATACTAACATTAACATGCAAAGAAGTCAGTTAATTTTGTCAAGGTCATTCAGCTAAAAATGTCATAGAAGAATACAAATCCAAGTTGCTTTGATTCTAAGATCCTAACTTCTCCCACTTACTAGAGTATAATATTAAAAGGATTTTAACCATCCATGACAAAGCAGGATTTATCCCATGGGGATTTGAATGCTAGGATATATATTAGAATAATACATTACATTAAACAGGTTAAATATTATCATCTCAAAATAAAAAGTGATAAAATTCAACACTTAATTTGAAAAAAATCTTAAAAAGTACAAATACATTGGTACTTCCTTACAGGTATGTGTATTTTTATGCTGTTTATTTCAATAGCATTTATTACTTTTTAAAAAAAATTTTATTGAGGTATAGTTGACGTACAACATCATATAATTTTCAGGTGTAAAACTTCAAATTTTTGAAAGGTTATACTCAATGAGCATATGTTACTTTATTTTATTTTATTTTTATTTATTTATTTATTTTTGCGGTACGCGGGCCTCTCACTGCTGTGGCCTCTCCCGTTGCGGAGCACAGGCTCCGGACGCGCAGGCTCAGCGGCCATGGCTCACGGGCCCAGCCGCTCCGCGGCATGTGGGATCTCCCTGGACCGGGGCACGAACCCGTGTCCCCTGTATCGGCAGGCGGACTCCCAACCACTGAGCCACCAGGGAAGCCCCATATGTTACTTTAAAAATTTTCTAAAGAGTTGAAAAGTATATTTTAAACCAATAGCCAATGATCTTAAAATAAGATATGAAGAATATTCCTATTAAAAGACCAAAACGGGGCTTCCCTGGAGGTCCAGTGGCTAGGACTTCACCTTCCAAGGCAGGGTGGTGGGGTGGGGTGCAGGCTGGATCCCTGGTCGGGGAGCTATGGTCCCACATGCCTCTTGGCCAGAGGACCAAAACATAAAACAGAAGCAACACTGTAACAAATTCAATAAAGACTTTAAAAATGGTCCACATCAAAAAAAAAACTTTAAAAACAATTTTTAAATAAAAGACCAAAATACATATTAGTTATTTAACATTGTTTTGAAATTGTTTGTACAAAATAGAAAAATATGAAACAAATATTAATACTGCAAAGAGAAAAGGTGGTATTCTTAAAGAATATTCATTTTAAAAACGTAGAGAACTTCAAAATATCACAAATAACCAGTTAGAAATATACTGGGTGGAAATGATATCACTTATAACAGTGGCAAAAAAATAAAATTATCTAGGAATAATATAGTTTTGCCCTATGTAAAGAAGAATTATTTTTTTAATTGAAGTACAGCTGATTTACAATGTTGTGCTAATTTCTGCTGTACAGCAGAGTGATTCAGTTAAACATATATAAGAAGCACTATTAAACTCTATAAAACAACATAACAGAAATGTGAATAAGCAGAAAAACAAACTATGTCCCCTAATGAAAAGGCTAAATATTATAAACATAATACCATTTTTTCTAAATGTATAAACTTAATTAAATACTAAGAAAAATCCCACTGGAATTCTTCTTGGAATTTGACAGAATGATTCTAAAAGCCATCTGGAAGAATAAACAAGTAGTTGGAAATAAAATTATCTGAAAAATAAAAGCAAGAGTTACAAGAGAGGTCAAGAGAGTAGAAAACTAGTCCCAAGATACTCAACCACGTTAAGTATCTATATGGTTGTATTAGTACCGCCCAAAAAGAAAATCCTCAAATACACCCAATTCAAAAAACTTAATGACAAAAAGTAATTATAGCTAACATCTATTTTGTTCACTATATGCCAAGCACCATGCTAAATATTTTATATGCGTTTATCATTTAATCTTCACAACAATTGTGTGGTATTAGATTATTCAGTGGTTGGGACAATTTGCTAACAATGTTGAAAAAAGTTTATTTAGAGCTTTAACAGGCTTCCTAAACTAGGATGCTTCATCTTAAACACAAACACAGAAAAATGATTTGAGTAACTATTTTCTCAGTTCTCCCAAGGATGGTACATACCCAGCACCATTCCAGACACACAGAAGGGGAATTAATTCACAGTAAAAAACAGATGCCTTAGAGCATTAGAGCTTAATTCCCTCCCAATTGAAAAAGACTGCCTTATATCATAACACCAATATACTATCTAGTAGATTAAAAATAGAAAAATAAGATGAAAGAATCAAATAACAGACAAGAAAAAAGAACAGACTTGAAAAATAGAGATTTTACTTATTTGGAATGCAGAAATAAAAGGACTATGTTCAACCGATTTGATTCATATACAAGTGAATCCCAAGTATACTGAGAATAAATAGTAAATGACAAATTGAGAAAAAAATCTGAAAGAAACAGGAAGTATATAGTTAGTATCTTTACTATATTAAAAAATGCTTGCATGAAAGCAATTTTTGGTTGCAGGGGTAGAATGTGATTTTTGCTCTTTTCTGTCTTATATATTTTCAGCAATATTTTACATCATTTTTTATACTAGAAATATATTTAAGAACTTTGCAAAATAACTGATACTCATAAAGAGGTATGCCCAGTGAACTGAAATGACTCATTTAAATGAAACATTTTACAAGTACCTTTTTCTCGATGTACTAATATAATCTGTAATATTAAAGAACAGGAGCTCAAAAAAATACATAAGCAGTAGAGGTGATAATGATACTTAACATTACTAAAAGCAATTTATCTTAAAATGGAAATTAGAACAGAAAATTATTAAAATATTTAGGAAAAACTCTTACCAATTTTTTTGGTAAAAGAGTATGTTACATTTTCTTTTTTAATATTTATTTATTTTATAATTTATTTTGGCTGTGCCGGGTCTTAGTTGCAGCATGTGGGCTCTTAAATGTGGCATGTGGGATCTAGTTCCCTGACCAGGGATCAAACCCAGGCCCCCTGCATTGAGAATGCAGAGTCTTACACACTGGACCACCAGGGAAATCCCTTTTTCTTCTTTTTTTAATAGAGTATGTTATATTTTCTATCAGTTGAGTAATAAGGTAAGTTTACTTTAAGATAAATTATTAAGACTATATTCAGAGATGTTTTATACTCATTTTTTATTATGATGAATTCCCCCTAAAATGAAGAGCTTTTTCTAGGGATCTATTTACAGGCTAATGACTTTGAACACTATTAACGTAAGTTTCTAAAACATGGTTTAAAAGGCACACTCCTAAAGAAGTAAAATTATCAGTATGAAGCTAAAGAAATAATTGCATGTGAGTCAATTCTCAGTGTATTAACATTCAGCTGATTTCTCTACGGGAGTAGCTATCTCGCCCTACAAAAGGGAGAAAACAAAGGCAAGTCATTTCTTTTTTATGTCAACCTCTCTAACCACCTCAAAGTCACCATTAAAATTACAGGTCTCTCTCTACCTTCTAAATTTTATTCTGTAAACAGATTAATATAATTATTTATATAGTTTTTGATTATTTTATGATGATTATAAACTATTACTTGTATAGAAAGACTTCCAATAATCAAAAAACTAGGTATGTAGAGAAGAGGACCAACGCAAGAAAAATTTTTATGGCAGAATCAAAGAACTTGGTGACTGTAATGATGTGGGAGACGAGGCAGGGAGGAAGGAGTTAAAGGATGACTCCCAGATTTCTAGCTTGAACAACCGGGTATAGGATGATACATTCAAAGTAATTTGAAAAGAAACAAGTTTCTGTTGAGAGAAGATGAGTTCAGTTTTAGAAATATTTGAGATGCCTACTGTCCACCAAATTAAATGTCTAGTGGGCAAGTACTGATCTTTCAGAAGTGAAATCTAGGCTAGAGAGATTTGCAAATCATTAACTCATAAAAGAACTTAAAGTGGAAAAGAAGGCTCAGGGAGAAGATGAAGAGTAAGAGAAGAAGACTGAACCTTGAAAGACACTGATATTTAAGAGAGAAAGGAAAAGAACACTAAGAAGGTACAGAAAGACAGGAGGAAAACCAGAAGAATGTGCTAGAAAGGGGGAGAAGTATATAAAGAAGGAGGATATGATAAGAATGCCAGATGTTACTCTGTCATATAAGGAAAGCAGTGAGAAGTGTACACTTGGATTTAGCAACAAGGGGGTTACTGACAAGCTTGGTAAGAATCAATTCCATAACAAATGCATTTATTGATGGGAAAGGGAAAAAATAAAGGAAGTAATGAGGTGATTTTTTCAAGGAATCAGCCTGTGAAGGAAAGCAGGTGGCGATGGTCAAGAGGAAGTTTCCTTAAAAGAAGGTATCTTGAGCACGTTTAAAATTTGTCGGGATAGAGCTCACAGAGGGAGATAATGAAGATGCAAATGACAAAGGAGATAAATTGTGTGGTCTCCGAAAAACCAGGAGCAGCTGGGATCCAGGGTGTAAGAAAAATGATTAACTTCAGAGAGGCAAAGGAACACCTCTTTTACTGAAACAAAAGAAAAGAAAGGATACAATTGGATACAGGCTGGCTAGCAGATTTGGTGGTAGGAAGCTGAGTTTGTTAAGTGAGGTGAAGTAAAAAGGATTGCTCGTTAAATGTGCAAGGGTAACATGACAGTGTCTGAGAGACTGGGGAAGAGTGACGTGGGCAGCACTAAGGACTCAGATGAGAGCAGTAACATTCCCTGACATCACTAATGTATCACTAATCTGCAGTGTGAATTTTTTTCCCCCAGAAGTGCTCATCAGCCTTGGTATAAACACTCCATTGAATCCATCCAAGGTTGGGATTTTGCCAGGCAGGTTTAATAGAAAGACAATGAGATGGAAAAGCTGAAGCCATTGGAAGATAACTAGTACAAGTGATGGATGATGGTATGTGAAGCTGAATGGGGATAAGAGTAAAATTCTACTTCAAACAATTCTGTGCATCCTATGACCTACTAAACTAAGTTGAAACTATTATTTATAGGTTTCATTTTGCTATTTTTGACAGCCTTATTTGGTTCCCCTATCTTATAAGGATATGAAATGCAAAAATACCACGGCAATTTATAAGCTACTTTCAGTGACTGATCCTTCTGAAGAAAATCCTGTTGTAGGATTCTTACTATAGAGAAGTATTATATATATCTAAGTAGAATATCACAGTATTAATTACCATGAAAATACCAATGGTTGACTAAAGTTACCTTTGAAATAAAAATACAAAGTAAAGAAGAAATTAATCAAGAAAAGAAAAAAGATTATTTTTCCTAAAATCTTTAAAATTCAGATATTATTTCTCAAATAGTATTAAATTACTCATAACTGTCTTTGGAAATACCTTACTTCTCACCTGACAGCTGTAAATCAAGGTTTTAGAAATACTCATCCAAATAAAATAATGTAGAAACTATAGGTTTTTTCCTAAATATTTACTTAGAGTCACAAAATAACCAAAGCTGGTACTTTATGTTATCTGCACAAGTTTTCTGAAGGTTGCATTATTTGGAATATTTCTTTTACTAATTATATAAAGGAAATACAAGCATACTAAGCACTTTTAATGGAAACTGAGAAGAAAATGCATAAGTTTCTGGCATTATGTGATTGTTTAGTTTCATTTGAGGAATTTCTCAATTTCTTCTCTGTACCTAAAAACCATACAGATCTTTCCCTTGGTTCTTTCAATTTGACACTTCCTAAAAATTTCAATAATTTTCTAGAACTTAAGATATCTTTCTATAATTACCCTCTTTAAATTAAAAAAAATTAAAACTCTTAAGGTATTGGGGGGAGGAGAATGAATAGACTGCAACAATAGACTACAATATATAACACTCAATTCGAATTATCAACAATTTAATTAGACCTATGTACCAAGTATTGCACTGGGTCTCTCTTATGGTACAGTTGCTCTGTAGAGCATTTCCACACCAAGAAAATTTAATATATCCTTGCTCTCTACAAAAGCAAATGAGAGCCCTGAGGTCAATTAAATTCTGCTTGCTAAAACCTCTCCCTCTCTGCAATTTATATTCAAATCTGTCACTTCCTTATCACTGATTACATATAACTCCCTGGGTACATCTATATGCCCTGCTATAATCAATCCCAATCTTCACTGCCACTCCATCCCATACTCATTACTGATAACAGCTCTTCCTATGATCCCTTTCCACTGGACCATTACATACAAACTCCCTATACGTCCTCCATCTGTTCCCAAATATTCCTCCTACTTTGGGTTCAATAAAATCCCAAGTCACTCTAAAAGCACTATTTCCTTAGAAATCCTTTCTAAAAGAAGATGCTACTCTTCCTAGTCTTTCAGATTCATGGGGGGAAGGATACCAATTGCAGACCATTCTTATTTAACAATGCTTAACCTTCCTCTTTCGAACAAATTAACCACCAAAAATACCACTCTCCCTATCTTGGGTACCATTTCCTACTGTCCATCCCAAGACAGTCTTACACTTTTCTTGGTAACAACAGGTTCATGGTTTCACTCTGCACCTCATTCTCTGCTTTCATGACCTGAACATCTGTAACCATTTTTCTAAACTCTGACCTCAGTTCCAACATCCATCTCATCTTCTCTATTCCAATACTATTTCTACTCTGAAGAGATAATTTGTTCAAGATCCTGAACTTCTGAAATCCCTCTTTCTGAACCTAAGACCTTGCATTCTACTTCTCTCACTTGCTCATGGCCCTGCTGAACACTTCCAGCCCCTTGATCATTTCTCTTTCCAGGAATCCATTAAACCCTCACTTTCTTACTCAACCCCAAATACAAACCCAAGTAAGCCATTCCAAAAATGACTTGCTAGCATCCTTGGCCTACTCAACTATTTGCCCATTTTATGAATTCAATTCTGGATAAACCTCATTACCTAATCTCTTTGCTTCTACTCTCAAACTCAAAGGTAAGGTAAAATAGTTATAAAATGGCAATGACTGTGTCCACTATTAAGGTATATTATACCATACTACACACTCACACTTGCAAAATGTAGGTTTACTCACTGAGGTAAGGAACTTTATCTGTTTTGCTCACTGCCACATCTCTAGTACTTTATAGCCATTAAGTCGCACATTGTAGGCACTGAATTAAATTTGTAAGATGAATGTACTGCTATGTACCCCCTTCTGGCTTCTTAATAAACTCCCTAGTGTGATTATTCCAAACACTTTCTATTTTTTCCAAATCTCACATACATTTGCCTCCTTTACAAATGGCCAAACCTCCTACTGAGAAAACGAAGGTCTTTTAAAATGAGTTTAACTCAAGAGCCCTATATTTTTATTCTATTTTATCCATCTTCTCTAATGTGTTAAAAGGAAAATTATTTTATGACTGATATTATAACTGTTTTTATTTTACCAAATGCCTATTACACACTCCAGTGTTAAGAACTCTAATCCACAAACTCACATTTGACTTTTCCCGAGTTCCACTTTTCTTGTTTTATTGTTATACTCTTTCAATTAAAAGAAAAAAATACCAAGAATTATAATTAAGATATAAATCAATGACCAATCTATATTTTCTCATGATAGCCTATTTCATAAGGGAGCTGAAGATTTGTCTGCTTTCCTGGAAAGCAAGGATATAGTAAACACATTTTAAAAATGGTCTGCCTTAAAATTTTAACAATAGAATTAAATTTTCTGAGATTTTTTTTTAAAAGACTAATTATTGCTGAAATGCTTCTAACAAAAACTTCTTCTAATCCTCATCCTTTGGTCATTTAATTTCTGAATGGTCCTTGGCAAACAATTACTTAACTTTCCCTCAATGAACTTACATTGACTTTTTTCTGCTGGTCAGAGAATATCTTTACATAACCAGCATTTGACAATGCACTGTGCATACAAACTAATGTTTAAAGTAATTTTAGACAGCTAAAAAAAAAAAACAAAAAAAAACCAACTTCAATCAATAGTATATATAATAAGCTCAAAAAGTAGAGGTTTGTGCATAAAAAATAAAAAGAGCCAACTAATAGAAAAGTTGTACAAGATGACTTAAGAGTAAATGAATTCAGAAGAAGAGGCTATCCAAATAGTTGTTACAGGACACATTCAAACTGAAATGGGCTGAAGAAGAAATTCTGCGAAGACAACGACATTTAAAAAGGTATTGCATAAACTATTCTAGTATTTAATAATTAGGAATGACATGACTCTTTTCAAACAAAAGTATGAAGGCAGACCAAAGTGGCATGCCAAAAGCACAGCAAACAGGGCAACAAACCTAGATCGTTTGTTTACTACACGCACTGGTATTTTATAACAGTCTGCATCATAAGGTCTTCTTCAACTATAATACAAAGGCCAATAACATACATAATGATGTCAAGTTACCTGTTTAGAAACTAGTTTTTGCAGCTCAGAAACGGCTCCTTTCCTGTTTCACACTTCAAAACTGTTGTCTGTTTATGATTTAAAAAAAAAAAAAAATCACTTCAGTAAATTACACTATGAAGTACAGAATAACAAATACTGACTATATTTATAACCTGAAGTATGTTCAGGAAATCAACAGAAAAGGAAAAATCCAATTTATCACTATTTTAAAATCACCTTACTTTCATCTTTTAGGAAAACAATGTGGTACACAGGTTTAAACCCTCCAACCTTGTAAGATCCTACCAAACAACAGTGTGATACCTTAATACCTACTTTGGAATATAATGTAATCATCATGTAAAAAATCCATGCCCAAGTTTACTCTTCAGATTGATAAAGTCATTAACTTCCTGTCACTCAAAACTTCCAGAACTTTGCAGACCCGTTGATGAGGAAAATGTTTCTTTATTTAAAAGCTGGCTACTTCATTAAAAAATAACCCTGTAACTACATAAACACAAGGTTTACTTTCAGTCCAAAAACTCAGAATTATAATGGTTCCCAGTGGCTCTAACTGGGAAGGTGATAGGGAAAGAAAGGAGCAGGTGCACCGAAGCTTGACAACACCCACTCCAGTAACCAGAGAATACCAGAAGGCGGAGTCTGGAAAGCAGCGATGGGGCGGGGGTGAAAGGGGCGCCCAGAAAGCCCGCTTCTTCCAGCGCCAAGACACGATCCGTCACCCGTAGAGCAAACGACACAGATCTCCAATCGGTCAAAAAAACTTTTTTCTTTTTTCAGATAGGGCGAGCTCTTGAGGAGTGAGCCGCGGGATGAAAAGTTTGGGCGACCCGCCTCCCTAGCGGGGCCTACTACGTAACCCCCAAACCCCCGTTTCTGCAAAGCAAGCGATGTTCCCCGAATTCCATTTGGCATTTAGTTTATCCCCACCCTGGGCCCATCCAAACTGGACCAGCAGTAAGGGATGGCGAAGGGGCGCAACGGCAGAGGCGAGGGAAGAGCTCTGAAATGAACATTCCCCTCGCAAGTAGAAACCCCAAAGCCAGGAACGCCTCCCGCGGCCCTTCCGCTCTAAAAACACCCGAGACAGCTTAAGTCCCGCTGCCCACAGCCCAACCCCGAAGTCGCGTCGCTCCTCACCGGCCCTTCTCCACCCCAAATTCTGGACCTCGAGAGCCCCACCAGAAGAGAATTTGGGGGGTAGGGTGGGAGAGGCGCAGTGACGAAGACTACGGCCACTAAGGCCCCTTACTATGGAAAACTAGACCCCCTGCCCCTGGCAACCAAACCGTAACCCGCACCCCCCCCGCTTCCTCCACTAGCAAGGGACATTCCTGGAGCTCCAGAGTCGCAGGGCGGCCTCCTCCCCAGGGCCAAAAAGAGAGAGGGGCGGGGAGGCAAGAAGGAGGGTTCTGTGGTCGCCAAGATGCGTCCCTTGAGGCTCACCCCGATATCGCGTCGGTCGGTCCGGGGTAGGGGGCGGAATGCCTGACCAGGGGACGGGAAGCAAGCAGCAAAAAAACCACAGGAGCCCAGACAGAGGCGTGGGCCCGAGACCAGGCCCTACGGAGTCAAGTGTCCCAGGGCCGTTGCTCTCCCGCCCCTACGCCGCGCTGCCCTCGGTTGCCAAGGGCTGGAGACGCTCAGGCATTACCTGTAAATGAAGCAGACGCTCCCGCCAAGGGCGGAGTAGCGGCCAGCCCCCACGAACCGCCACCGGCGGCGGGCCTCCCTTAGAGACCACAGCAGGGAGAGTCCCCAAGTTTCCTGGCTGCTTAGGGCCCAATGGCCGCCTTTTCTACCTCAGCTACTCGGCTCCAACCGTCGCAGCCACCGCCATCTTAGGCTCTCATTGTGGTGGGAGAAGAGGGGCGGGGGGACTGCAGAGAGGGCAACGCGCCGGGAGACATGCGCCGTCTCCTCGGCAACGGCCGCGCGGGGGCGAAATTCGCCTGGGCGGGAGCCGCAGTGCGATCAGCGCTCTAGACTGGAGTCATGTGACCGGCGGGAGTCTGCGGTGTCACCTCTGGCTCCGGAGACGGCTGCCGATTACACAAACCAACCACCAGGAACTACATATCCCAGAATGCCAACTCGCTCTCGGGTTATACGCGCCCGCACGTTCGCCACGAGGGAAATGACTATAAATCCCAGCATGCTGGGCGCTTCCGGCTCTTCCGGCGAGGAGGTCGAGGCCTGTGCGGAAGCGGATGGAGCCCTCTTGGGCAGCTGGAAAAAGAGTGGAGGCGCGTTCTGGTTTTCTGTGGGTGGGCGGGTGGTGCCAGCTCCGGAGAGTGCCGGAAGGAGGAGAAAAGGCCGCGGACTGCGGTCGCCCACTACCCACATCCCGGTCACGAAGGGGTGGAAGCAAAAGGACCTTTACAATCTGGGCTTAATTTTACACCTGAGGAGATAAACCCACGCGAGTTAATTGGACAAACGTCGTACAGCTGGTCAGTGGGAGAATCATCAGTGTTAGTAATTAACTCCACCTTGGATTAACGCCCTAGTTTCCTTAGAAGAACCAGATGATTTTAATCAAAATTTAATATCGAAGAATGTTCTCTAAAACTATAGTCTCTGAAGTCCCTTTTTATTTACTCTCTTTTCTCAGCAGCAGCCCTGTTAAGGTTAGTATATAAACAGGTTCTCTCTTAAAACAAACCCCCAGAACACGGTGACAATTAAGGTCTTCAGTGTGGCTACCTGAAAGTTTTAAACACTGGTCAGTTTTTCTTTATTTTTCGACAGTTTGTAATTGTGGGATAACTGTTTTAAGCAAAATAAGGGTAGGAGGAATGAAGAATGGGTATCTAAGTTCCAACAGCAAATTGTTCTAAGTTACCAATGGAATTTGTTCACAAAACCAATTAATAGAACTGCATCTCAATAGATGATTCAGCTAAATCAAGCCCTTCGTGCTACTGTAATTTGCAACTGAATCCAGGTTCAGCTTCAGTGCAACGATCTTTGACCCTTTGTCCTGCATTTTTTAAGTACTTTTCTGTGCGTCTAACAGTGCTGATTACTTAGGTAACAAAAACATAGTCCCTGCCCATTAAGAGCTCATATTTTAATGAATGATGAAGAAATAGGGTGTGATGTAAATAAACTGTTTTATAAGAAAACAAAGTGCTGTGGGAACTCCCAGCACCGAGCAGCTAATGGATTAGGTGTTTACTGTAGTCCAGTGTGCCCTAGGCCTCATTGTAATTCCACCGCACACTAGCTCTAAGATCTTGGGCAAGTTACTTGACCTTTCTGAGCCTCAGTTGCCCCACCTATGAAATGAGGGGGAGGAGCTAATAATATTGCCTACCTTAGATCTTTTTTTTTAAAGTAGTGTTTATTCTGTACTAGGCACAGGATTAAGCATTTCATCTCTTGTGGTTTTCTGAATTCTCACAACTATCCTGAAGATACTGGTTCTACATCAGTTCCATTTTACTAATGAGAGGTTAAATAAATTGCCAAAGTTCTGACAGCTCCAAGTAGGAGAGCCCAGGTGTAAACTGAGGTCTACTGACTCCTCGAAGGAATTTTTTGATTAAGAAAATGCATGGGAGGGCTTCCCTGGTGGCACAGTGGTTGAGAGTCCGCCTGCCAATGCAGGGGACACGGGTTCGTGCCCCGGTCCGGGAGAATCCCACATGCAGCGGAGCGGCTGGGCCCGTGAGCCATGGTCGCTGAGCCTGCGTGTCCAGAGCAGTGAGAGGCCCGCGTACCAAAAAGAAAAAAAGAAAATGCATGGGAAAAAATACTGGCACATGGTAAGCCATAATCATCACCATCATCACCGTTTTGTTTTATACATATATATTATTATTTTTAAATATGTAGAAGCTATTGTCATTGAAACAATACAGATGGATTCAAAAGCACTACTGAAATCATATGGTCATTATGTTCTTTTAATTTGTGAACCCTAAAAGATGCCAGTGCTATTATTGGTCTGTTAGGTGGTGGGAGAAGTCTGAGAAATTTTTACATTAAAATGGGGTCCTCAAACTAAATATGGGCATTATTGATCTTAGCAGGGGACAGAGGACCCCCCGAATGATGAAATTATCCTGGGTTTCTAAAACCTTCACATCTAATTTAGAAAAACAAACTATGCAAATGAACCAGTTTAGTATCAGTAGTGTATGAATATGGCAAATAAACAATACAGTAAGTGCTTTAGGAATGCAGAGAAAGAGTACATTATATTAAGTATATTGTATTATATTGTCTCAAAGATGATGATAGCTCCAGGATTTCTATGTAGGATGAAATTAGGGGCAACAGTCTGGTGGAAATGTAAATGGGGAACATAAGTAGCCTTTAAGAGATATAGGTTGAAACTACATCTCAGTTTTCCACATTTAAGTAAAACTTAAACACATGTATTAAAGGTGGGTGAGGAGGCCGAAATGGAAGAATGATGTTCAAAGGAAAGGAGCACACCTGTAACACAGATAATACATCCAGAATAAGCAATGAATAATACAGAAAACAGACTGGGTCAAGTAGGGGATTCATGTGGAGATGGGGAAGCAGGAGAAGAAAGCGAGAGCCATGAACAGGTTGGGGCCAAACTAAAAAATCTTAAATGTTGATCTGAAATGTTTCGGCTTTGTTCAATAGATAATGTGAAACTAGTTGAGGGTTTGGAAGAGGCAATGATATAAGGAAGTAGTTGTTTTAAGACTTAATCTAGTGGCAATGTTTAGAACAGACTAGGGAGAGCAGAGGAGAAGGGAAAGACAAAGAACAGGTGGTAACTGGCATGAAGTAATTAAGGCCTGGCCTAAGGTGATAGCAGAATGAATCAAGTGGAGGAGTTGGAATCTGATGGTAAATTAAATAAGCTGTCATTGCTGTGTAAAATATTTGTTTCTGTTATTTGATATTTAGTATGACATTGACCAGAGGGCTCTTAAAATTTAACATTTTGTGATATATTATTTATCTCTTTAATGAGTTCTGTACATTATTTATCCACAGATAGATTTTAACCATGGCTAGAGCAGAAACCCTGCCTTTTATGCTTCTTTATATCCCAGATGCCTTGTAGAGTTCATTTATTTTGATGTTCATTAATTTGGTCTTTGAAGACGGTTTTCTGCAGTACCTAGTTTTAACCTGTAGGTGGCGAGAGAACTTAAAGGTAAAACTTCAGTGACCACTATACTATTATAACTGAATTTAAGATTGTTTTTATTATGTGATTTTTGATACACTCAAGAAAATGTATGACATTTATGTAAATTATAAAGTACAATAAGAAAAGAAACACTCAAGAATCCACTTCCTAACCTAAAACATAGAAAATAATCAGTATATTTAAGGACCCCTCTGCTTTCCACCAAACTCATTCCCCTTCTTTGCAGTCATAAGTACTATCTTGAATGATATCAGTGTTATAATTCCTTCATTTTCCTTGTGTAACTATATGTATATATCCCTAAGTAGTATTTTTTTAGTCTTGCTTGTTTTTGTACTTCATATAAATGGTATCATACTGATTATATTCGTGCTTGATGTGCTTTTTGATTCCTCATTATGTTTCTGCAATTCATCCATGTTGATGGGTAGAAACACAGTCTGTTAAGAGCAGAATGTAAAATTAATTTTTGAATAATCCTACAACTGAATATAACTGATTTTATCTTTATGCTTTATCTTAGCTTGTGGGTAACTTGATGAACAAAGAGATTGATCATGTCACCCAGGGAACTAGTTGGAGACCTCTGGCCTAGTTCTTATACCTTTCGGTTAAATTTGAGCACTTCACTGCTCTGCCTTAATTTGGCCCAGAGTTTGTCTATCTTGACATGGTTGACCTGTAGGGCTGGATGATTCTTTGTGATGGGGGCTGTGCTGTGTGCTGCAGGAGCCCTGGCCTCTTGCAGCCTGTAGCCCGCTGCCTCCCTGGTGATGACAAGCAAAACTGTCCCTTGACATTGCCCAATAACCCCAGAGTCAGGGTGCGGTGGGCCGTGTGGCTTAAGGGCAGAATCACTTCCAGTTGAGAAACACTGTCTAGTCTTTGCATTGAGAAAACCGTGTTAATTATGATTTCTCTTATGTACCTCTTTTGCTCAAAAACCTGAACATATAAATAATTAAATCAATTAATTACTAGGTAATTATATCAACTAGTTATATCAAATCCTCATGCATAAGTAATGTTTCAAGGCTCTTCTTACCTTCTTCCGTTTCCCCCATATCTAATTACTACGACAGCTCTCATTACTGCCTAGTTCAGACTCTTTATTACTAGATTCCAAAATACCTAATTGCTGCTCTCAGCATACAATATTAATGTTACACCAGTCTGAACTGCTCTTTCCTTCATAACCAATTTATGGTCCTTTTCATTCAAAAATCACTCTTTCAATAAATGTAACCCTTGTGATTCTGACAACTCCATACATATTTGCAGGTCATCAATTTTTTTTTTAATTTTTTAATTTAATTTTATTTATTTTTTTATACAGCAGGTTCCTGTTAGTTATCCATTTTATACATATTAGTGTGTACATGTCAATCCCAGTTCATCCCAGCACCACCCCTCCACCGCCACCACTTTCCCCCCTTGGTGTCCATAGGTCTGTTCTCTATATCTGTGTCTCTATTTCTGTCTGCAGGTCATCAGTCTTTACATGGCTTTCCAACTCTAGAGTTGTAATTACTATACACTTCTTCCTATATTTTCCTTGTCTATATTCTTGGGGGTCTGTGTGTTTTTACCCCACCTTCTCTATTCATTGTAAACCTGATCAGAGCTGCAGTAGTGCAGTCCTATGTGCAATGCTTGCTTCCCAGGAAAAAATCAAGTTGAAGGGTTTTTAAAAAGGTGTCCTGAGTAACAATAAAAAACTGGAAAGAAAATAATCTATATCTTTTCTCCTAGCTTCCCACCACCCCTACAATAGAAAGTCTTAAATATAACTAGATGTAGGTTGTTAATAATTAGAGAAATCAGGTAATTG